TGTCAAAACTGCTCAAGCATCGACTGAATTTCAGCAGGAGACCAAGAAAAAATGGTTGTGGTCAGAGATGTAAAGCGTGCAAAAAATAGAGAGTTTTAATGATCTCTGATGCTGTGATTGTAAAGTGTTTATTTTTTTCTCTCGCTGCATTCGTAAATCCTTAAAACAATAAAAACTAATGAAGGTGTGTGTGTCCCCCCCCTAACATCAACATCCATGTCCGACAAATAGCACAGAAAATTAGGTGCTTTGTTAAATGGTGGCATTTTAAAGTAATTCATGAGGGTCGTTTTGACTCGTGTCAAGCTGCCATCACATGACAAGGCTGGTCTCATGACTGGCATTACATAGCGCTATGAATTGTATCTGGAATGGTGGCCAAAGCTTTGCCTGCAGTTGCACCCTCCCACTTTATTTTCACTTGAACTCCCTACAACCCCCCCCCCCCCTCACATTCCACAAAGCAGTCCCAATGTTTTTAAAAGAACATAAACACACACGTTGGTGCGCTTTATCGATATCGCCAAAGAATTCACGGTCTTTTTTTTGTACACATCTGTGTACGCGTACAGTTAGGAAGTGACCACCAAGTATCAATGCACGGTGGTAAATGTGCTAAAATTGCTACGCAAAGATGATGTCGGTTTACATTATTTGATTGCTGCTCATTTGTTTTAATGGATGTTCCCGTTGCCCGTCGAGCCCTCGATTCTGCGAATGATTGGCACTTTAAATGCAGCGTGATAAGAACGAGGGGTCCCCATATTCATCGCAACATGAGCTGGGCAAGAAGCAGAGATTAAAAAGACGTTAAGTCAAGGGAATCCATGCAGTGAATGTATAATGTAGCAGGCACAAGCCGTCTGCTGCACCGTCTCGCCGTTGGTGGAACAAGCGTAGCACGCAGGGTAGAGTGTGCATCTCGCTCTACAATCAACCCTTGCTTGCCTACGTTTCTGTCATTAATTTTCCAACGGTGTAAAAAAAAATCCTGTTGTGCAGTGGCATTATTAAAGTATTTATTTGTTTTTTTTGGTCAAAAATAAATTATGCCCCTTAAAATTTTTTATTGGATTGTTGGTAATTGGCTTTCTCTTGAAGCTGCAGCTGGCAACTTGGGCAACTGTGGAATTCCGCTGTGACTTGCGCACCCACACGTGCATTGTGTTTTTCATTACCGGCCGCTCTGTCCTGAAACCTGCATCTTTTTTTACCTGAAGGCCTCGGGCAGCAGTTCACCTGACTCAATGTCTGCCATCTGGTGGAGAAGGGGACACATTGTTTGAGATGGGGGGGTGTTGTTCGTACGTGCAGGTATTATTTATAAGCGTATTTGTGCGCTTTTAAAGTCGTTCATTTTCTGTGGTCGCTGTTGTTTGCAGTTGGTGCTGTTAGCGCGTAATCTTTTCATTGCCCATCGTTGCTGGATTAGTTGAACTGCGTCACTGTTGGAGAGGGGTTGCGATTGTTCTTGGGGAACTCTTTTAAAAACTAAAAGACTTGGTGAGAGAAATATTGTTTTATTTTCGTTTCGCTTATAGCTTGCGTCGGATGAAGAACGCGAATGTGAATGTAATGAATGGACACAGCGAGTGCGCGGAATTCCATTCCACATAGTCTGCAGGTTGCAACAAGACAAAATGGCTTGGGCATGCTAAATGGTACACAAGGTAGCATCTGTACACAATGGAGCGTGCATTTCCAAAACACATGGGCATGGACGCGATGCCTGTGAATCACCACTTAAGCATGTGGTTTTAGTTCATATAATGGGCCAATCTTAATTATCTTGCATTCATACAAATGCTCACCGTAAAGGAATATGATGTGTTTTATAAGTTAGTCACTTCCAACATTTACTTTATAAAAAGCAAAGCAATGCTTCGTAGGTATATATTATACACGCACACTGAGTCACTGATGGTTACGCATATTTATGTATAACTAAACAAATGGAATACGTCTACGGACGAGAGACGATAGATTACTGTACCGTATTAATATTAATTGCAAAAGTATTTACTAACCACACTGGAGGAGCTTCGCTGAAATGATTTCAAATGGTGTTCACAAACAAAGCAAAGTGAGCCCCCCCCCCAACACCGTATGAAGGTTCATATAAAGGATTAATCATTTCAGTAAATGTATTTTCGCATTGCCCAAAGCGCGTCACTTGTGTAAATCGGCGATGACTATTGATTCTCGGACTTCTCTATAAAACATTTTTACAAAGTCGCCACCCTCTGAGAACGTCAAGAAATCATGAACCATTCATGATAAGGTGCTAATGGATAACATTCACGCACACTGAGCTTTTATCACACTACATTTAGCAGTTTACTGGATCAGCAGACTGCTCAGGCATGAAGCAGCCAGTATTAACTCTTATGAAATAAATCCAGTCTTGATCCCCCCCCCCCCAACTGATGTACAATAAATTGGTCCCTGAAGGTCAACCACATTTACACGGTAGAAAGGAGGGAGAAAGAAAATAAATTCCGCGTAAGTCGGGGGGGGGGGGGGGGGGACGGCACGGTTACATCGACGGATCCAGGTGGCCAAATGTGCGCAAAGAACACAAAATAGCAATCGCAATTACTGCTCCGTGGGTGTTCACGGGTGTGCTGTGTGTTATTTCGTGGTGCTGCCGGGCATCTACGATGCCGAAACCGTCAGTTCCCGAGGAAGCTCCCTTGCACGTGAAGCTAAAACGCCGGGCATCGTGCCGGTCAACACGCGGTACAACAAACCCAAAAGCACACGGGAGAGCCGGTTACAATATCGCCATCTGCCATGGTCATTCCACTGCTGGATGAAAACCTCCCCAACGCGACGCGGCGATGCAACAGACCACCGAGCCTCTTGCGCACTACAATCGTCGCTCCGTCTCCTCGGTCAGAACGTCCTTATGGACGCGCAATAGTAGGCGTTGTGAATTAATATGCGTTGCCGCTTGCATTGGAATTAAATCACTTTAACCAAAAAATTGCGGTAGAGTCAAATTCGTAACGGAGCCTCGTTACGCTCACTGATGTTGTTGTTGGGAGGCGGAGGGCAGTGTTTTGTCATCAGTTCAATTGTAAACACAACAGTGGCAGCTGGAGGGTTTTTTTTATCCGCACCTATTTCGCTCTCTCTCTCTCTCGACTCGACGTCCCTCTCTCTCCAAAGTGAGCAGCACGCTGCCACGGTGACAGAACGAGCCTCTCTACACGGCCTTTAATGGCTGCACTGAGTGTTTCTTGTCCTGAAGCAAACTGCCGGAGCTCTCCCCCCCCCCCCCCCCCCCATTGCCTCCCCTGTGCTGTGTCATGTTCGTGCCTCTGCTTCTGTCACATTCGCTCGTGCGCGGCCATAAATATAGCAGCGCAGTGTGCAGGGCGTGCAGTCACATAATCATTTTCTGCGAGCCACAGGTAATGATTAAGTGCTGGCAAGCTCTTTTCAGACGTGCCCATTATCCGCCACAGGTAGCACATGTGATCCAACTCAGTGCCGAGATTAACTAGGCTGTGTTGACAACCTGCGTTAGGTCACCCAGCCTCCGTGCTGATTGTAATAATGAAAAATTAAATCACGGCCCGCTTGTAATGACTTTACTGGCGGCAGACACACACACACTAAGCGTCCCTTGGATTCTTGGCCGATAATTGGTGCCAAATGAGGCCCTCCGTTCTACAATAATTATAGGGGGAATCTCGTCACGCATAAGGCAGATTTTTTTTTTTTTTGCCGGTGCACAAAAGTAGCGGCCAGATTGCAGTATGACGTGTCAATTTATCAAGCTACAGAAAGGCGTAATTAATGGAGACTCTCATTTGCCGCTCTGTTGTGTACCGACGCAGCTGCTTCAGTGGTTTGTGGGGGCCCATGACTTGGAGGGGGCTTTGCCGGTGGTGACCCTGAATGAAGTCCCCTTTGGACCGTAGTTGGACATTGAAAAGTCAGCCTCCTTTAACCCTTCCCTTTCCCATTTATGGCATCCTCCTCTTTCACTTTCACTAATGGTTTGTCTGTTAAAAGCTTATGGTAAATTATTGAAACAAATTACTACACCGACATATAGATTTTTTTATGGTTCACCTTGTTGTAAAATGTATATTATAGATCCACTTTTGTATAAGCATGTGCAACACTACCTTGTTATTAATTTATTGGACATATATAACACAGCTTTCGACTGTATGTGCGTCTGTGTGTATATTCCAGCTTGAGTAATTTATACTGGCAGTTTCTGTCACAACTGTAAATGATTGGCTTCAGAAAAGCGTCATGTCATTGCAATAAAAATTCAATATCTTTGTATTGTGGTAAATCGTAAAATGTGATTATTGCATGTGTAGCGCTGATGAAATGTGCCTTTAAAAAAAAAAAGCTCATTAAATTTCAAGACAGCAGTTACTGTGATGGTATAAATTTGTCATCATCATAATAATCATTAACCTGTTTTACCACAAAACGGTGCACTGGGAATCGTAGATATTGCTTAAGGATGATGGAAAAGTGATTAATATAAATTATGCACCAGTATAATACATTTTAATGTCATACAGGTAATAGTAATTTCCACACTCACGAAAAAACATGAGATCTAAGTGACATTATTGATCATATTCATTTGGAGCGACAAAAAAGGAAAGAGGACTCATCCAACTGTAATATAATTGCTTACATGAATAAAAATGTAGGTGGTGACGGTAAAGGCGCAGCCTTGCGAGAGGGCCTCTACTAGAGGGAGATCTAGCAAGCCCCTGTAGAAGCTATTTTGGCCTACTCTTCCAAGCTGGCCAGATGTCTTGGAAGAGGGCATTACCCCCCACTTTACCCCACACACAACCTGCGGATCGATGAACTGTTGCAGCTAACGTACAGTAATTTAATAAGTCCAAATATTGATTTATTAATTGTGCTACTGTTACAATTATTCATCTCCAGGCATATATGTTGTATTTTACATTTGTAAGAGGCGCTAACCATCTTTTGTATTGCTCTGGGTGCAGGATGTGAGTGGGAAGGTGCTCGACCGCTGGACAATCATGAGCAGAGAGGAGGAGATCATCACCCTGCAGCAGTTCCTGAGGTTTGGCGAGACCAAGTCGATCGTGGAGCTGATGGCCATCCAGGAGAAGGAGCTCCTGGCCGTACCGGTGCAGAGCAGCAAGGCGGACTCGGACATCCGCTCGTTCATCGAGGGCAGCAGTCGCTCCCGCAGCCCTGGCATGACGCCGCACCTGGAGAGCCCCGGTGCACCCGGTTCCACCAACAGCGTCCACCACTTCGAGAACATCCCCAACAGCCTGGCCTTCCTGCTCCCATTCCAGTTCATCAATCCTGTGGCCGCCCCGCTCATCGGCCTCCCGCCCAACGGCCTCCTGCTGGACCAGGCCGCGCTGAGGCTGCGCGAGCCCCCCATGCCACTGCCCGAGAGGCACACGGAGAGCGGCCAGGCCGAGGGCAGCAGGGTGTCGGTGCTGCGCGCTGAGCAGAACTCTGGACACAGAGGCGACCAGGCGTCGCTGATCAGAGCCGAGCAGGCGACAGCGCTCAGACCCGAGCAGGTGTCCGTTCTCAGGCCCGACCAGGCGTCCGTACTCAGGGGGATAGAGCCACCCGGCGTCCTCACGAGCGATCATTCGTCGGTGCTGAGGGCCGAGCAGCCGTCTGTGCTGAGAGGCGACCACCTGCCCATCATCAGAGGGGACCACACACCCAGCCGGAACGCGCTGTCCAGCATCACGAACGTGGACACAAAGCCTGAAACACCGCCGCGGCTCATTCCCATGCAAGCCGCCTCGCAAATGGGCAACATCATTAAGACGGAGACCCCCAAGAGCATATTTTTCTCGGCAAAAATGAGACACTTGCGAAAGAGCATGGCCCCGTCAAAAAAGGGACGGGTGTTTTGCAACGCGTGCGGCAAAACGTTTTACGACAAGGGCACGCTCAAGATCCACTACAATGCCGTCCATCTCAAGATAAAGCACAAGTGCACCATCGAAGGTTGCAACATGGTCTTCAGCTCCCTGAGAAGCCGCAACCGGCACAGCGCGAACCCCAACCCGCGGCTGCACATGCCGATGCTCCGGAACAACCGCGACCGCGACCTCATCCGGAGCGTGAGCAACCCTTCGACGCCGCCCTCGATGGGGACTCCCAAGTCTGAGTCCAGCTTTTCTACCCCCAATCGCCTCTCCCTGACCTTTCCGAGCGGAGGCCTCGATGCCGGCATGCACGGCCCTCTCGTCTTCCCCACCATTAAAACGGTGCAGCCCGTGCCGCCTTTCTTCCGGAGCCTCATCACACCGGGCGAACTGGCCAACACCCCGTGTCACATCCCCTCCTCCATCTCCGTGTCGTCTTCCATCCCCGAGCAGCCATCTCCTCGGGAGCTTCCGATGGAGCCCGTCTCGAAGAAGAAGCCTCGAAAGTCGAGCATGCCCGTGAAGATAGAAAAGGATGCCATGGAGATCTCCGACGAAGAGTTTGACATCGAAGACGACGAGAGTGACGAAAACAGGTCGGTCAGCAGCGACGTGAACAGCGCCAAAACGGACGACGACAACAACAAGAGCGAGGACGAGCGTTACGGGGACATGCGCGAGGCGGCGGACGCGAAGTACGGGGACGACGCGGACGCTCGCGCCGAAACGAACGGCGTGGAGAGGGGAAACGGCCTGGCGCACGACAACAACAACAGGAGCAGCGCGGAGCTCGCGAGAGACATCTTCCCAGAGCTCTCGGACCGAGACGTGGGCAACGCCAGGGAAGAATGCGAGGACGACAGCTCGCAGGAGGACCGCATGGACGAGGAGAGCCATGACGAGGGCAGCCAGAGCGACGACGAGGGGAGGCAGTCCCTGCAGTCGGAGCCGGCGTTCGTCAAGGAGGAGCACCCGGACTGTAGCTACGAACCGTACTACGCCTTCGGGCCGTACGGCTTCTTCAACAGCAGCTTCGTAGCGGCAGCCATGCGCAGAGATCTGAGCTGCCCCCCGTACGAGAAGAACATGACGGCCTTAGACTACAGCATGACGGAGAGATTCTCGGAGGACGGCGATTGGCTCTCGAGCAATGACCCCAAAGCGTGCAACGTGTGCAAAAAGATTTTCAAGAACTCGTACAGCGTAAAACTCCACTACAAGAACGTCCACCTGAAGGAGATGCACGTCTGCTCTGTGGAGGGCTGCAATGCTGCCTTTCCTTCTCGACGCAGCAGGGACAGGTCAGTTTCTAGCTCGGCAGATATGGTAATTAAAAATAAATAATACGGCTCTCAGGCTTTTACCTGTTTGCTAGTCTGCTTAGCAGAGGTGGGACAAAGTCATTGTTATGCAAGTCCAAGTCGAGTCTGAAGTCATCAAATTCATGACTCGAGTCTGACTCGAGTCCAAGTCACATGACTCGAGTCCACACCTCTGCTGCTTAGGGTAGGTGAATGACGACAGACGAAATATATTATTATTACTATTATTATTTTTCCAAATTGGAAATTGCATGTGCCGTGTCGTATGTTCATGTTAATCGTTCACAAGCTCGATAGTTAAAATGCTAAATAAAAATGGCGAAATTTTTAAAAACATTTTAAAATGTACTGTTTTTTTCTAATGTAAATGTATTTTGATGTGTAACAAAAAAAAAACTCCAACAAAAAAACACAATGTAGCGGTCTTGTAACAGAATGATAGTTTTGTGTTCATGGCTCAATTCGGTAGCTAAAGAGCCCACGATGTTGAAATATTGTTTATGGAACCGTACACCTGCCCTTGCCTGTCCAGGTGCATCCTCCACTGCATGCCACAGTATTTGGTGCATTGTAACCTAATGGATAGCTGTCACACACTCTTTTTTGTAATTCATACATTCATAGTTGTATAAAATAGAAGACGTTATTAAGTATAAAGCGTGTATAAAGGTGTACACTTTATTTTAAAATGGGCAGTTCGGTGTTGCTGTCAATGAGGAAAGATAATAGAGAGGGCGGAGGGGGGGGACGTCTACACTTCAAACACGTTTTTTGGAAAAAATAAGCCGCTTCATATATATGTTTGCTTCGAAATGTTCCAATATCAGGAATAACGACGATACACCGCAGAAACATAGACTTGTAGTAAATTAAATGCAGAATGTAAAATTAAAACATGCACAATACAAAAAAGTCACATTGTGGAGGTATCTCTATGAACGCGTGTGCATGTGTGCGCGTGCCCGTGTGTGCGCACACGGCGTGTGAAGACGGAAGAAATGTCAGAGGGAACGTGCGTGCGTGTCCCCTACATGCTGCCGTATTTAGGAATAGAGAAACACAAAGACAAAGATCCCCCGTATAGCCGTACCAGACTGTAGGGGCAAGTGCTGTTAGCGAGCACCTATGAAGGCCCGAACGGCACACGACGGGGTGGGTGGCCAGCAACCACGCCCGACCGCCTTTGTCTCCCCAGTGGCGATGTTTACAACACACCGCACCAGGTACTCATTTGAGGCTGAATCGACCTAGGGGAGGCCCAGGTCCGGTGTCAGATAATCGTTCGTAGCGGCAGCGTAGCGCTGACCCCCATACACACGCGCGCACACAACACGCATCTCTCTTTTTAGCGGAGGAGGAGGAGGAGGGGGGGCTCCTCTGTGGTGGGGGGGGGGGGGGGGCTGGGCTTTGGGGGTGAAGAGGAAGACAGCCAGACGCCTGTCAGTTGCGTTTTGGCTTGCAGGAAGGAGTGGACCAAGAGGGAACCTTCTGTTGAGCTGGCAAACACTCATTAAATTTTCTCCTTTGTGTTTTGCTCTTCCCCACTGAAGGACCACGGTTGCGGTTGGGGATAATGTTATAGTTGTTTCTTTTGTCGGCAGTTACAAATTCAGTTTTTATTTAAAAGTTCCGCCGTATACTTTCGCCCAACCTATTTACAGGCACGCCGGTGACTTTGGTGATCCGTGGTGACCAGTTATTTGTTCGAACAAAGTGTGCATGCATTTTTGTTAAGGGATCATTTGTACCCTCCTGCCTCGCTCGTGAAAGTAAACGTGGGTGTTGACGCAATGCGTAATATGTTGAGGGCGCAGAGCGCGGCGGAAGCGGTATTACGCGATTGGCAATTCGCATTTTATTCATGCATTTTTAACTGCTGATGTACAACAACGGCCATCACGTGAACAGTGATTGTTGTGCCCTAAGCATAACACTGCAATTACGGATAGCTTGAGAGAGAGAGAGAGAAAAAGAATCCACACGTATATTCCAACAATAATTATACATTTTAAAAAATAATAATAATAAGCGGCAGCTCACAAAGCAAGGCTATTTTGATAGTCTTTAAAAAAAAAAAGAGAGAAAACATTTCCAAATGAGTTTCCAGCCAGAAAGTCCACGCGGTGCACGGGACCCATTTTCCGGTTGCATTTTCCACGATTCGATTGCAATGGCTAAAGAACGAAAGGCGCGATTGCGACAGGCGGGCGGGCGGTGCGGTGGTGGCGGACGAGGAGGCACGCACTGCCCCCCACCCCATCCCAACTCCCCACTCCGCCCACCGCCCCCCTCGGCATTCCAAAGGAAGTATCGACCCCGTGGCTGTAAAGCAGGATGGAGGCGAGACAGCGCTGCATAAATAAAAGCGTGCACTCGAGCCTCCCACCAGGACTTGGCCGAGGCCCCCGTAATTTTCTGCGGCTGGGTGCACGGGGGGCCCGCAGGGGATGGCCCGGGCGCAGGGAGAGAGGCAGCCAGGGCACGGGCGGGCGGGGGGTTTGCCGGCAAGGGGACAGGAGGAGCAGGAGGAGGAGGGCGGTGCGCAGGGAAAGTGTGTGCAGATGGGGCATGGTTATGGGGTTCGACTCGATGCTGTCGATAGGGAAAGCGTCCAGTTTATTAGAAGGAGGAAGGCAGAACTCTGGTCGAGCCAGCAGAAACCCAATTAACTCCTCGGTGAAATTGTTGCGCTTTCTCATCAGTTTTATTAATGTGGCGCGCGTGTTGGTGTGTGCGCTCGTGTGCGCACACACCAACACGCGTCGGCTTCACAGGTGCTCACTAGCGGCACATGTCTCCTGAGTGTGTGGGACGTAAATGGGAAACGCCTTATCTTCTTGTGTGTGTGATATCAATGCTCTAGTCGGTTTAATAGTAGGCAGCTTGTAATTCTCAACGATATAATAAACAGATTCAATCCTTAAACAAGAACAAGAAATTTCGTGAAACAAAACAGAGTTTTAAGATACACTGCTATGCCAACCCTTTACCACGTGTAACCCAGCAGGTAAACTCATTGTAGAAAGAAAAAAATATTTTGATTCGCTAATCCGTCCCGTTGTTTCAGACACAGTGCCAACATAAACCTGCATCGCAAGCTGCTGACCAAAGGCCTGGACGACATGTGTCTGGAGTCCATGGTCAGCCCCGCGCTCACGAGAGACCTCAGGGGACAGGAGCTCCTGGCCAAGCTGTATGGGAGCCCGCTGTCCACGCCGCCGCTGGAAGGCAGGCCTGACGGCCGTGAAGAATCTGGCGAAGGCAGCCAGGACTCAGCCGATGGCAGGGATGAGCCACCGGCAGCGGCGCACTGCGTCGAGCAGAGCAATGGTTACAGTAAGCCCCCGACGGATGACGGGCCTGGCTCGGTGCTGGACCTGAGCACCAATCAGAGCGTGCGCTCAGGTGGCAGCGTGGGTTCCTCGCCTGGCTCGGACATCGGCAGCGAGGAGGGGTTGAATTTAGATGACAGCGACGAGTACAGCGAAGGCGCAGAGGCCCTGGACAAGGCGTCGCCGCCGATGGGCGACAGGCTGACAAAAGGGGGTTTGGACAATGGCGTAGCCAATAGTGAGGGCGGCCTAACCCCGAGCAGGCCCCTGTCAGGAGGTCCCATCAGCTGTAGCATCTGCCACAAGTTGTACAGCAACAAGGGAACCTTGCGGGTGCACTACAAAACGGTTCACCTGCGCGAGATGCACCGCTGCAAGGTGCCCGGCTGCAACATGATGTTCTCATCCGTCCGGAGCAGGAACCGCCATAGCCAGAATCCAAACCTGCACAGAAACTTACCTCTGAGTATGGCCGATTAAAAGCAAGGACAGACATTTCTAGCGACATCGCTTTAACCATTCCAAAAATACACAGCCTTGCAACCTCATTGCGTTTTTTTTTACCGGACTCAAGACTCGTTTAAAAAAAACATTTCATTGGCACCAGCTGTAACTTGTTTATGTCTCTGTCGAAGGGACTGATGTGGCGGCTTGCATATGTGATCCACATGTGGCTTCCTGTCACCCTGACCCCGCCACACAAGGTCACAGCATCGGGTCATTAACAGGGAACAAAAGCCACCAGCTGTCTACTGATGTTCCAACTTCTTCGCGCAAGCACACTCACAACCACATTCACAACGTCCCGTCAACCCCAAGTCAAAAAACCAGACACTTCCTCCACGCAGCACCACTTAATGCACACGTCTTGACTCCATTCCGAAAAGGCTATCCGTAATGTGTTGGTACAGGGACATTGAACTGATATGAAAAGTTTACAGATGTTCACGCAAATCTGTTGTGAGTAATTTTTTAACCGTGCTTTCTGTAAATACAATTTTTAAAAATAAGCCTGTTGCAGACGCACAGGGGAGTGAGCCAGACATCAGTCAGCATGCATAGCAGTGAAACTGCTAGCACTGCACATTTGGGCACCACATGTCTACTTGAAAACTATAGAATCCATAAATACACAGGAGTGGCCAAAGAGAAAAATAAGAACTTAAGTTTCACTATTTGAATTTTCAATATTGTTATTCCCACCATCATTGTTATATTTGTGGATAAATTGTTACAATAATCTGTATGTCTGCTGTTTTGGTACTTTTCGAGACCGTAAATATTAAGGCACTTACAAGTACAATGACCTTACATTTCGCAATATAAGCAGCCGTTGGCTCGGTGACTTGCTGTACATTTCCCAACAAAACTTCATGTCATTGGGACAGAATACACGGAGTCCTCTCTGAGTGGCTCAACAAAGCAAATGCAGTTACCGGAATTCGTCACGACAACTGCCCACACGTGCCATTCAGTCCATTGAACGTGTCTTGTTTTTAATGGGAGATCATTCCTACATCACTTATAGGCAACTGGCCTTGTGTTATATCATGCCTACACACAGGTCACATTCTATCTTGTCCTGATTACATGGAATGCTGTTGAGATGTATTCTGCTGTGAAATATAAGTTGTGGTGCCAGTATTTAATTTTTCTTTTTTACTTATAATATTCTATATTACCCCATTTTTGCACATTGTGTATAGATAATGTTTTTGCCTACAGCTGATTGACTCAGCTCATAACAAAGTGATTCCTGCCTTTAAAAATAGCTTAGTTGTAAGATAACCACCGTACGACAAATGTGTTGCAATTTATTGTACAGCATCACGCCGTTTGAAATAGACAGTCACAGTTTAAGGGATTTCAAATGATGAAGAGCAAGGAGGCACAATTTTATGAGATGACCATGAGTAATATCGTTATGGAATTCACGTTACCGAATGTTAAATGGCTCCATGTGTTTTCTGAGCGGCATCGTCCTAATTGCGTCGGACGCCAGTGACGACTTCCCAAAACCAGGTTTTTAACCGAGGTACAAAACCTGGCATTTTTAAACATTATTGAGAAACGCCCACGTAGCAACGAGTAAAAACGTAGCTTCGGTTACTTTTGACGAGGCCGTAATACTCCCTTTGTAACGAACCAACGTGTGGTTTGTGCAGTGCTTCCCTGGGGGTCTTCACAGGTATGTCTTCTCGTCTTCGTCAATACGGCATGTACTTTCAAGGTGGAGGACGAGAGACTGAACTTAAAAAACCACTGGAATCCTGTAGGCAGAATTTGTTGTAATTTTTTTTAGTAATGGTTATGGAAATAAACTACAGAAATGGTACACCCGATGATGGCCTATTGGCCAAAAAATGTTTACCGGCTGTTTTTCCAAACAGTTATATTTTACATTCAATTTTTTTAAATGAAATATTTCCACAAATTAACTCATGCCAACAAACTTCTTGTGGCTGCAGATGTCTACGGGAATGAAGCTGTTTTTTTTTATAAGAAAAACATATTTAATTTGTTGTTTCATTAAATTCACATTTTCCAAATTTAAATGCATATAAATATATTTTATTTCAACTATTAAAAGTGTTTTAATTTTTGCAATTTTTTTAGCTAAAAATGTTCTATAATCTCATTTTGTATTCTGTAAAATAACAGCTTTACTTGTTTAATGTTTAAGTACAGTTTACTGCAATGTACATTATATTTAATTTTATAGCTTAAATGCTGTACTACCTATTGAAATAGAAAAAAAAAGTTTATCTTGCATCTTGTACGGTCTGTTTGTGCAGAAAAAAAGGTACTTGTGACAAGGTACTTGGTCACTTCAGTTGAGCAATGCAAAAGGGCAAGAAGAGTTAGCACTTTGAAGGCAGCTTAATGAGGTACCATCAAACCAATACGGCGTGGATCAAATCAACGGAACAAAGCAAACTTGATTTTGTCTATTTCGCTGCAAATTCCTTTTTCACCTTTGCATTCCCTTGGGCCAAGTGGGTTTGTTGACGCTCAGTGCAAATTAAATTAACAATTTCCCTTTTGTACAACTCACTCTCTGTTAAATCCTTCAACCTTCATACACGTTAAACGCTGCATCCTACCCCAATTTTCATCGTTCAACGAAAATTTGTATTTCACTTTTCCAACACGCTGCGTATACTCCGGCAATCAACGAGTATCCACGTCTTCGACTGCGTCGGAAGAAGTTTTCACCGTTTGCAGCCAGTCGGAGGCTCGTAATGATCCAGGGCACTCTGGCTGCTATTCGAGAGCGAGCTTGCTTGCCGCAGGGAGAGAGCGGCACGCTGGGTTCCCATCCTCCCTCCTCGTTCGGAAGGATTCACAAATGTAAAAATCGTTTATCGCTCGCAAGCGAGAGTGTGTAAATGCCCGCGGAATGTCAACGACGTAACCGGCGAAGGCCACAAACACCGACGTAGGAGTCCTTCGAAGCGCGCAACGTGAGCCATATCTGCGATTTGAAGGTGTGCGGCAGGCGGCGAGCAGTGCGGTGAGACGCGATCCTAAAAGCACAAATGGTGTTCTACGAGATTCTTTGTCCAAGACGAATGATTATGATTTGTTTTTACTGATTAAAAAAAAAATTCTTCACGCAGCTCATCTGTAATCTAACATCGTCAAATGTAATTATACAACAACAACAAAGAACAAAACATTGTTTATAAATGAAATTGCCATGACTTGTCAATTTTTTTTTGTAATTCTTACAGTGAAACTGTACAGTAGCTAGCTGCAATTCAATGAAATATTTTTTCAAACGATACAGTGTAATGTATCGCACTTTAGAGCATGCAAAATGTCCTAATATATAGCTAATCTTCCGCTTCAAAATATGCCAGTTTACTCGGTTTGGTATATGAATTGCCATAAAATGCGCTGTAGATTTCCCGTGTGGTTACTGTGTATCCCTGCGTTAATGTTCATTTTTGCACTGAACTGCACGCTACCTTGAGGGTTCATTTAAAGTTCGCTATGAGGTCCGCATTGACTTATCTCGACCAGGTTCTCAATTCTAGTGCCGACTTTTGCGTACGATTTTGGGGCTGCATTTTCAGCCGTCAAGTGGGCGTCCCGGTCGTTTTGTTGTTGTTGATGGCTGTCTTTAATAATTGGCGCACGTGGAATGGCCCACAGGATAATTTCCACCGGCATTCAGATAAATGTGCCACAGGCTGCTTCCTGCACCACATCAAATTCGGAATTAAGTAAGTAAATCCCCCTGTTTTGTAATGTTGTTTGGGCAATGCTTAACAGTGTATGTGTGTGTGCAAGTAACCAACGTTACCAATGCTGTGCGCAATTACCAAATCAATCTGGGTGTAGATATTGATAACTCAGGTCCCCCCGTTTGCAAGTCAGATACACTATTGTGTCTCAATGTGTTTTGATACAGTTATAAATATGGTATTTAATGGAATTACTCCTTAAGCTAACTGAAGAAGACTTAAATAAAATGATCTAAAACTGTCACATCGAAAACATTTTCAGAAAATTCAAAAGCATTTCGATTTTAACGATCTATAAACTGTACACAATTTTAATAGCGTCAAAAGTTTCTCAATACTTGGTTCATAATAATAAATTGGAATATTCATATTATATCGGCTATGACAGTGAAACGTGCCGTGTCTTTTTTAAAGTAAGTTTAAGGAAGCACGCATGATGAACATTTACACTCGTGTCAATATAAACTGTTAATATGCAGCTGGTGTTTTGTTCGTCTCAACTTTCAGACAATAATATTAGGATTGAAAACCTGGTTTACACGACTTGATTCAGTGTTTTGCTAGTTGTATTCCATCCCACATGTGTACTGCAAGTCATTGTCACGTTCCCCTTTTGTCCTCTTTTTGTATCGGAGCCCTTGCTATCTTTGTGTGTTGTAAACAAAGTCTATCGCTCAGATTTTGCATCGGATATGAAAAGGTTGAAGAGATGAGAGTTCTTCATATGCACATCTGAAAATTGCGTAATTTGTATTAAAGCTATCTTGTACATTTTATAATAAAGAACTGGAAAAATATATATTTTGCTTGTAATTTAATACAACACATTAGAAAAAAACAGTGTTTATACGGGTAATTACACTTTGTAGCAAAAGTTCTAAGATCTAAAGATCTAAAAACTACGGTCGTTAATAAAAAAAACCCATTTATTTCAGCCGATCCACTGTTAGATGAAGGCCTCGCCAAATGCCATGCTGATCCAGGGGGGTGTTGTTTGACCGTACTTCACCACGCCGGTCAAAGCAAGTTGGATTAATTGAGAAAGCACTCCCCACTGATGTTAGCCATGTCTGCAAATCAAACTAAGGTTGCTGCTTTCAGAGTGCAACTTGATTGCTAACCACCCCATCACTCATACATATCGTTTTATGATTCAACAAAATGTTGGGCCTTATTTGTAGCAAAACAACATGAATGCCATATATTAACATTTGGTTTCAGTCAAAGCTAAAAAATAAGAAAATAAAATGCTGCTATAAAAAAGACAGACAGGTATATAATTTGGCAGTAAAGGGTGGCATAATTACTATGTTCCCAGCATAGTCCCGTATTTAATATCATTGGCAAGCAATTTACACCAGGTAAGTGCGCGTGTTTACGGTGTCGTTAATGGTCAAGCTCCTTTGCAAATATTAACAGCGGCAAATGGTTTTTACGAGTAATTATTTATGCCTTGCTTTCAAAAATTGTGATTTTTAATAATTGCTTTGGAAATTCAAGGGGAAATGGCAATGCATTAAATATTGGCTTTAAGTGGGAGCATTCTGCAGTGCGCGAATTCATTTGGGAAAGTGATATATGCGAGTAGTTTAGGAGTTCTGTTGGAGGTAATTAGGAACTGTCATTTGACACCTCTGCTTTAATAGACTTCGCACAGAATGTGTTGAGAGTGAGGTGTTACTATTTTTAGAGGGGGGGGGGGGTCATCTTCATCCCATTGGAGCATTCTGTTGCCAGGATACAATCTTCAATAAACGCAAATTCCATATACCAGTTAAAACCACTTTACATATTCTTAGAGTAGTTTTTTGGGGTCATTTCCAGATTCCTAATCTTGCCCAACGCAAATGCGTTGGAGAACCCTTGGCACATTCGGAGCATATCACTCTTTTATAGGCAAGAACTTAAATTACAACAATGCGATCGATAAATGACGTGAGTTGGCGCATTTGTGATTCCGCCTGCTTATAAGGATCCATTTTTTTTCTCCCTCCTCCTCCTCCTCCACCACCACCACTACCACCACACTTCTCCCCTTTTCTTTCGAGGTGCGAGGCAGTGTGTGACATTAATCTTGTCACGACCTGCTCTGCAGCTCTGCTGGGGCATGCTTCCTGAAACCCATTTGGCCTGATGGGAAGCGGCGCCTGGGAATAGACATGTCAACAGATCTGGCCTGTTTTTATTCGGTGGTATTGATCCCTGTCCGCCGGGCGCACTCGGCAGAGAAGCTGGGAGCTAGAGCCCCCCCCCTGCCTCACCCACGGCAACACGCGCTACCCAGCTATCGACCGCCGATCGAGGGGGGGGGGGGCATTGCTCGAGACAGCCAAAGCCTCATGCTGCTGGGACTCACTGCGATACAGATACTAGACATTTTGAACGCAATAACAATACAACGACCATCTCCGCACCCCCCCCCACCCCACACGCAATCCCGTCGACGTCTCCCCCCCCCCCCTCATTCCCTTTCTTCCCAGGTTTGGCTCCCATGAAAATTTTAAGGCCATTAGGTTGCTTGCAGAACATACAGGTTGGGGAAAATGCACGCCACTTGTAAACGCAGCGACAATATACGGAATCAATATGTTTACAGTTGAATGTTCGTAATGGCTACGGGACAGTGTTTTGAATGTTTATAGATAACACTGGAGATTGTGAATCGCTAAGTGTCCCCTAATGCCATTCATTTTTATAATGCCATTTGCTTTTATCAATCAAAATAATGGGCAAGTGTTTATATTGACCGAAGAAAGCAAAAAAAAAACGATGTACCAAGTGAAGTGGCTCGGACTACATATTTTAAAAACTTCGTATTTTCAGCTATCGATAGGCGATGAATGACAACAAATGAAATCCCACCACAATTTATCACAACTATAATCTTTTATATCATGGGACCTTTTTTCCAGTATCAAAGTATGAAAAATATAGTATCAGTTTGTTTGCATGTTCACCACAAGTACGTATGGTTAATGCAGACTTGATTCCTTGAAAAAGGTAACTTGTGTTTGAAAATCTTAACAGAAAAGGAAAAACATATTCTTATTTTTTATACTTTTATGCTTTTGTGAGCTAACGATTCCAAATTTTAGTTTCTCTTTGTTCTGAGTCGGACCATTTTGTAATCACCTTTGGGACCCATATTGTCGCTGTGACTTCAGCGATTACATAGAGGGGGAAGATTAGAGGGACACGGAGTAGGGGATGGGTATCATGTGGAATCGAACCCTTGATTTCAAATACAAGAATGATACAACATGCAGCATAAATACATTAAACGGTTAGAGTTAATTCACTGATATGGTCTACAATTACACACTAATGGTGGGTACTGTGGATATGCCTAATATCCTGCAGCTCCGATTAGCACGGTTGGTTATTAATGGTATGAAAGAAGTTCAACATACATATACGTACATCAGTGATGATATCTGAAATGATCCTGGAACCCTCTTTTCCGCAGCCTGCTTTGACCAACGTGGTGAAGTATAAACAAACAAACCTCCGTGAGCGATGTGGTATCGGGAGGCCTTCATCAAGCAGTGGACTTCAATGCACTCCGAATAGGTGGAGTACAACTCCGTGCTGAGGCTGCATAAAAGAAGTAACATTTATATGAAAGGACATGGACAAAGTGTCTTACAGCCAGTGTTACCTTAATCTCCTGTCCAGTGTCTAAATTATTGTCGCATTATTTGTGAATAGCTTTAGATTAGCTCTTAGGCTGGCGCAGTATCACACACCAAGACAGGTGTGGTCCACCTTGAATGCATAAGAGCGACCCCCTTGAGTATTGCAAGAGTGTGGAGAGGCTGAGTGAGTGATAGGAGTGGCTTTCTGTGACTCTGCAAAGGTATAAATCTTGCATGAAAACCGAGTGTCAGCATTCCAAGGTGTACGCTTTTGTCACGGTTGGCCTTTGGCTCTATCAATATCGCGCAGATACACGGCCAGAACAGTCTCCCTTGTCGCTGTCAGGTCTTTGCCATTGCCAAACAATCTTTTTGGACAGGCAAGGCCATGAACAAGCTGTACAAAAATACCTCTAAAATGCTGTCGAAATTTCCCAAATGCTGCTGCTCTATGTGCTTTTGCCACCCGCGTTGTGGCACTGGCCACTAATACTGTAAAACATTCTGCTCTTTTTGTTATCTTAACATTTTCTGCCAGGCAAGCATCCAACAATTTTTTTTACTAACTTACTGTGCATTTCCTCGCACACGTATGCTAATTTAGGGTTCAGTAGTTTAAACTTTAAACACCCGTACCACAGCCAGTCTTCCCCCACCCACCCCCCGCCCACCACCTTTCTCTATAATGCGTTGTGGGAACGTTATCAAATTAGCGCAGCGTCCTTCAGAGAGGACATCCTGTCTGCCCGCTTGCAGACGTCGCGACGCAATTCACACGTCGGCTATTTTGTGCGAGTGTTCCCCCCCCCCCCACACACACAATTTATCCAGTAATCCCAAAAGTGATCCAACAGAGGACCTCTCAAATGGTTTACCACTATTGGTTCTGCACGGCATCCTTGCGCTAGCCATGATTGTGTGCAACGTAAAAAGAATAGCACACCAAACACAGGATTCCGCGTGTGTGGTTTTATGCCGCCTGCTCAGGTGAGGTTTTTTTGTTGTTGCAGAGTCCATTCAGTCTGTATTAACAAATTAGGGTTTTGGGGTTGATATAATGGCAGTAAGAAAAAGCGATTCAAATAAAATATTATTGACGATAATTTGTGAATTTTCTTAAATCCTGCAGTTCTCTTAAAGGAATAAACATTCCCAGTGTACATTCGATTACACCAATAACGTAGGGTATATTTTTGTTTACAGTTACATAACGGTGGCCTGCTGATCTATGCTAAGTATGAGAACACCAGCCTGTCGTGTGAACAGCTGCCATTTGAAAATAATAACCTAGAAGGGCTGTCCACCCAAATGAGTTATTGTTGCTTCCTTTATTTAACCAGATGAAGTAAACCCTTTGAGATACATAAATCATCGCCTCTTTTGCAAGGGGGATTGGATTACATAAATGTGTTCATATGTTGTATTTATTGCATACACGATAGATTTAAACACAGTAAAATTGCGCATTTTTAGGGACAACAAAGCGTGTAGGTCCTCATGGAATGGGTCAGTCGCGTGGAGTAATTGAAAAAAAGAAAAAAACCTGCTTACCATCGGGCTGTAACTGAATTTGTCAATGGGGCACGCCGTGAGAGCACGAGAGAGAGAGAGAGACAAGTGAAAGAAGAAATCTGACCCCTATTGAACCGTCAGTGACAAGGCTCTGAAACATTAACATCTCTATCGATCCTGGAGACTCAATTAGTCTGGAACGAGATACGCTTCTCGCCCAGCATAACGTTCAACACGATAATGATTGAGTGTGCGTTTCCCTCTCTTCAGTATGCAAATGTCACGCACACATATGATGGCCTATTTTTCACTCGATTGACCATGTGGCTTGAACTTTGAAGGCTTTTATTGCACGATGTGAATTTAACGATATCCTAATTGGAAGAGTATCGAGCAAAAGGGCTTGAACAAAAAGAAATAGGAAACGTCTTTGCATTTACATCGTCAGCTTGTTCTTTAACATTTTCACTGGCTTAATAAGCTAACGTAGAACGTGAACACCACTAGTTTATACCATTTGTAGATCGTGGGTTTCTCTGCGAGTGGATTTAAACATCCGTGTTAAAAGGAACTGAGGAAGACCACAATTTTAGTGACGCAACAGCACAGTAGTATGTTTTTTTGTTTAAAGGATCGCAAAAACAAGTTGAGCCATAATTCAGGGACAATTATTGACACGTTTTTTTGTTCTGAAGAGTAGACACATTGGCAGCCAAGGCTAAGACCGAGCGGCTGCCATGATGGCAGTGCTATGACCTTGTGCCTACTCAAGGACCTGGGAGGGCGCACGTTCTGTCAGACGCATGACGACACAGCCCGCATCATCTCGGCCTGCTTGATCTTTTTTGCGGCAAAGCATGTTATTTAACTCCCCGCAATTTTACGAGTTAAATTAAGTATTGTGATCCCCAACCCCCTTTAAAAACGTTATCCATTTTTAAACTGCATTTGCGCGTTGTTACAATCGGTATTGTTAATCACGCGTGTTCACAACGTACTGTTTTTTTTATTTAAATAGGCAAGCGTGTCAGCGGAAAACAACACGTGCCTGCATTGTATCACCAGTTTAAGTTTGTGATATGCAAAGAGAAGGGGAAATGCTAAAAATGTAAATAGGAAAATAACCAAATGGAGGAAACTGTTCAAACTGCCTTTGTCAACGCTCTGACACACACCCGAGCAGTGAGGAGTCCAATCAAACGGCCAGGAGGGGGCTGCTGTCAGTTAATCCACAAGCGGCCTGTTGATTTAAGTGACTGCTCCCAGTCAAACGACTCCGCCAATTGGCCATGGTTTGTGCCCACGGTGACATGCCGCTTAACCAGCCACGGCCAATGGTGGCAAGGAGTGCCATTTCAACACGAAAGCCCAAAACCGCGCCCACGGCACCACTTTGTGTATTTATTCTAGGATGACAACCAAAACGCTCTGCTCTTTGAGGATGTGCGATCTTGATATTCTTAATTTGTCTCAAGGACCGCTATGCAAATAGAAATCATTAACATAAAAATGTGCATTGTTAAACGAACCAAAATATATTGAATAACTGTAATTTGGTCAGCAAACAATGATTGTGTTTGCTTTTCGCCATCGTCATTACTGCTGTTAAAATGGTAGCTGCAATGAAATGTATGTTGTGTGGATTCTCAAGACTTGGGATTTAGAAAGAAATGCAACCAAGAATGAGTTAAAACTTCAGACATTTGCATCTAAGACTGTCAATTTTGCTTTAATTTTGTGAAGTTTTATTTTTTCATCACTTGTTTCATGTGCATGACAGACCATTTATTTAATTTTTTTCATAAACATTCCACTGAAATTATTTTGAAAACTGATCAACTGTGCGAAATTTTTTGCGGATAACATTTGGCAGATAAACTTTTGCTTTAAGTGAATTCGGAGGCGTATTCCTGATGCCCAATTTGTAAAATGAAAACCCAGCACCACAAATTGCAATAAATGATTAAGTAGTTTGATGTAATACTGTACTTAAAATATAACCGAGAAATAGCGGTGGAATATTTCAACGTTAATTGTATATTTCAAATAAAAGATTTACGAAGCAAAAAACTGCTTTAAAAATATAATTTCACTATCTGCTAAATAAGTAATGTATTTAAGTAACCCTTTGGTGACCTATTAAGTACGAGTTAGACGCTATAATTCCACTAACGTCATCTTAAGTGTAATTTTCAACAGTAATGGAAGATGACCAGGACACATTAAAAAAAAGCCACGATCAAGGAAATGCAGAGTATCGCCGGCTCTCTTAAGCAGCTTACGGTGCGTGGAGTGTCATTTATAAAATGGCATTTATTTCGCCCACATGCTGTGCCTCGCTTCATCTCCAACGCCGGTCGTCCAACGCGTATGAGCGATCCATCACGGCCAAAGGTGTTGACCAAGCGAAACCGGATCAAACGGTAATGGCCCTCTGCTCGTGCAACTGTCAAATAAAAATGTAAACTCAGGAAATGTTTTAACATTGATCCACTGTAAATGCAAGGGAACGCCATCTGACACTTGAGAACACGCCCCCTCCTTGAGCTTTATTAGGTCACACTGCCTGAATGTGTCCTTTTTTTTTGGTCCTAAGCAAGACAGGCTGACAATGTTCAGCTTGATGCTATGATCCTCCTACTTAGCATTTTTTTTAATGGAGTGCACTTATGCAATTAATTGTCCGTTATGCATTGTAAAATATTGACCAGCGCATTCACATCGTTGGCAAGTCATTATGGGAAGCAGTTGTAAGAAGACCATTTTCCACGTTCTGAATCGCGATCGGTGATTGAGAGACAAAAACAGTACCAATCTGAACCATTGCAGTAAATGTGAAATACTACATGTCCATAAAGATATTATTATTAAATAAATACCAGCAGTTTGAGTTAGGTTGACAAATATATGCACACAAAACTTGATTGATGAAGATTTTACCACGACTTCCATCCCTCTATCCATATTCCAAGATGCAAATCCTCGGTCCTTTCCAACATATTGAGTGTGATTGCTTGAAATAACTGCCGTGTTGTTTTCAATCACTCCAGCATATATTGCCAACATTTTAACCGCACAGTTAAAAGTACTGCCCGATTATAATTATTTAACAATGGATGTGATACCTTTACGGACACCCTGCATTCCTGCCTGATAATTTTCAGAGGTTGTTGAGCCAACAGCATGAAAAAGATTAAGGGGTCCATGTCTGCTGAACGATTTCCCCCACTGGGCTTGTCATGAAACTTTTGAGAGGCAAAGCTGCTGGCCTCCCAGCCTGTACGGTCTCTCCTTATGGTGGCTCTGCCAGAGCAAATGAGGTCAGGCCGTGTGCGATGAACCGTGTCTGCTGCTGATTAGTTTACTGTTGCAAAGCCGTTAAAGGGATACAGGGTGGCTTGGCTTTTATTCACCGAGCATTTATTGCTTGCTTAGTGTTGTTTAAAGATAATTTGGGGGTAGGTGTCATTTAGTCCTTGCAGGCTCGCTGTTCTGGGTAATCGCCTTGGGAGAATATGACATTTCCTTTTACACGCACCTATCACTCTCAGCGCCACTTACACTGTTTATTTGCTAACCGCTCGGATTAGTACTTGAATGTTGAAGGTAGGCATCTTAAGGCACTTAACCTCAACATTCAGTTTCGATTTAAAGCTTTCGTGACTGCAGGGATTCATCTTCTTGGTTCTTTCGGTAAAGTCACGTATAAGGGAAATACGTGACTTTACCGAAAGAACCAAGAAGACTCAACATTCAGGTTAAGTTCTACAACAATCAAGATACTTAAATATATATGCAAGCACACAGATAAAAACAATGTGGCAGAAATTTGTATCAAGACACCTATGCGTTTAATGTATATATGAATGATAAGTTCCCAACAGGGATATTATAAAACCAAGAGTTGTTTCTTCAAAATATGGCCAGAGAAAGCCAAGGGAATTTGTTCACTTAGACCAAGAGAAATCTCCACTAATATTGACTGTCATCAGATTACAGTATTTCTGTTAGCAATGTTAATACAAACAAAAGCAAAGTGCAAATAATTTTTGAAATAATATTTTGATAAAATCAACATACAAAACACTATATAATGTGAAATCCTCAAACAGCATTGTTGCAAACTCTAATTGGATGAGTAACTGCATAAGCATTGTCATTGTACTCCATTGTAAATGAAATATCAGATCAGACGTGTTTTTTTTTTAAATGTGCCTAAAGAATACGTAAAACCACTTAAGCCTTAAAATTGAAATTACATACAGTATTTGAAATGTACCAATGAATGGCTGATAAATAAAATACTTTAAATGAGTACAAATACATTGTGTACTCGTTTGCTAATACACACACAAAGGCATATACTGTCATCACAAGACATCAAAAACCAGTCGTAAATTATTAATTTGACCTGTTGCGGGAAAAATAACAACCATATCCTTCTGCCCTGCCAACCCCCAAAATAAAATAAAAAAACAAAAAATAGAATTTGTGATTTTATTTTTTGGGAAAATGATCAAGTTTACTTCTGAAGCCTTTATTGTTCTTCTGGATGACAACTGATCGATGGGCCTGCCTATCTGAACGGAGATCGCCTCTGGCTGTGACGGGTGCCAACACTCCGGGCCGTGGGGTCGGAGCGAGCGCGTGAACGGGGGCGGCCACCCTCCGACGCGTCGCGCTCGGAGCTGCTTAAGCCAACGTGCAATTCCGCTGCAGGAGTGGAGTCCCTGGGGAGTCCACGGCTGCCCTCCAGTGGCCCAGTGTGATGCCCTGCCGAGCTGGCCCCGTGAGCCTGGTCAGAGCCACGCGGCACCTCTCCTGCGCATCCCCGCTCCAGCTTGCTGACGCTCCGCCACGCGTCCACACATGCGTCCGTGACCTTTGCAAGAAGTGAAACATTTGCCGCGTTATGCACAAGGATACAATCCGAGTCGTTTATTTTACATTTTAATGCAATCGTTTTGCTTAAGGTAAAAGATAAGTTACGTGGGTTTTTTGGTCATGTTTGAAACATTCATATTTCATTCAATATATACGTGAAAACATGCAAGTTGATTTAAATGTGTATTATAAAACCCAATTGCATCTTATATCATTATGTTAAAACGGCATTCAAATAGTGCTGTAATAAAAGAAATGCAATGATTACGGCAGATAATTGTATCAAGAGCTGATGATGGACCAAATGCGAATAGATGCCATGCTATTGGGAGTGTGACAGAAGATGTGACATACCCTCATTCTTTCCTCTGCCACTGTGGGACACAGAAGACAAGAGAAACCAGGGCGAGACTACATCCTCTTTTCCAGCCTGCGCCTATCTATTCGCACGTGGCTGCCCAACTCCGAAGTGCCCGTAACTCGATGTCAAGGCCTACCACGCCCCCTCCACTGCTGAACACCCGGGCACTCAGAGCTGTCTAATCCCTCCAATTACGGGCACCTCGACACTGGTGGAGGCAGGCGACTACAACATAATTGGCAAGATGGTGTGAGAGCTGACAGGAAAGATCTTTTGTCACCCGGAGCAGCTCTATAACTCATGTGGTCTTGCATAGTGTAAGATCATTGTACACAGGTGTTCGTGTTATATTAATCAGAGTTGAGAGAATGTTTTTTTCTGACGTTGGGGAAAAAAGTTTTATTTAAAAAATGTGTCAATGGTAGATGACACCTTCATGTTATAAACAGGATTGCCAAGGATCAAGTGTTAAAATAAAGGTCGTAAAGTCGTATTAAGACCTTACACCTTCGGAAGAAATAGGATAGTATAATTGCAAAAGTCCACAATCTCCATGGCGTTAACTTTTGTATGACCTCCTTTACCATTGATCTAAGATAATTTGATAAAGTACTGAACTACTGCACCTCATTTGATATGACTCATTCCACGCTGGTGTTGCAAACAACTTGCTGGATGAGGTCAATCTCTGTCCATTTTGAGTCATTTGGCAGCAAAACAAACACGTTTGTCCATTCGCTCCAGAACAACATACATAACAGACAAGCGTGGTATGATGACTGCGGTCTGACACGTTTGCTTTGAATGTATCAAACAAACAGGTCCTGTACAGGTGAACAGCGATGCATTATGTATGTTGCACGAGCTGCACTTTAAAACAGAAGCTATGAAAACATCTCGGTAGCAGGCTTTTATCCAAAGTGACATATCATCTCCAGGCCCATCAAGGAGCACTAGAAAGCTTTCAGCGGCCACTGGACTCAATCCTGCTGTCAAGCCTGCTGCCTCTCCAAGGGATGGCACTCATCCGAAAATGGCCCTGTCAGCAGCTTTCCTGCTTTCCCTATTAGCTTTTAGCGGGAAGCTCACCCTCCTGAGCAAGATGGGGAGGGGGGGTGTCAGCTACTTCTGACACTGATGGGCACGACGGCTTGGGACAAGGACCTAACCATCTCCTTTGGAGGATATTTACCGGTATCCATTTTCAGGATTTGCAACATCAGGAAAAGGGACGATCATCATTCATCCATTGCCTCACCAGCCCACTACATATGTGCCTTTTGGGGCATTCTAGTGACCCCACGAATGTGACCTCAACAAACAATATAGCCGTAGTTGTGCAAATAATGGGTTTCATTGGTTTTCTCCTTCTTTGTTACTGCCATTAAGGGTGTTTTATCCATACCATATAAGAATCAGTCTTCTAAATGTCAGAAATTATTGTGTGAAATGTTTGGAAATTGTTTTGATGCACCATAGTTGCTTTGGAACATAGTCTAATTCCTAAGAGGCACTGTCGTCAGCTTTTACTGGATTTATACGAGTTTATTTTGGCACAACAAAATTAAATTTACGAATAACTTTTGACCCACAAAAGGCTCATTATATTAATGGAACAAAGTAAGTTTATTTTAAATATGTAACCTTAACGCAGATTTTAAACATGTAAATGCCAATAATTTCAGTCTGCTAAATGTGTAACATTAAAAAAAGCCAAGTACAATTAATTGCAGCTTTCGATGTCTAGTTTGGTAATTAATTTGTATCATACCTCGTGTTTATATAGCTTTAAAAAGTTGATTTTAAAATCTTGCTGAATGACTGATCAAACATATGCACAAGGGAGCAGAAAGTTGCGCAAAGTATCTGATCATGTACGCTACAAAGAGTTTATACTGTACATTCTAATGCAGCCACAAATGTTGGCAGTCGTGCAGTATGTGGCTGGTACAGAGGCGCACAAGCTAACCTCCCCTGCATTCCCTTCCAAATACAATGTATTATGCTCTCCCACTTCCAAATGTACCTCTTCAGAGCGTATGTAAACTGCAATATTTTTTAAGATACAAAACCAGCATACATTCAATGGTCCGTGATAAAGCGATGGTTCTTAGCTAAACTCCTAATGATCTCCGAGTACATTAGACAACATTTTTTATATCTTAAACAGCTCCGTTAAAATGAACACAAGAGACACTTTCTATATTTTTTTTAAAGAAGAGTTACCATCTTTGATCATGTGGCAAGATGGAACAGTTGTGGTTACGTGTATTGCAACTTCATCAGCCGCAGAATTTCCTTTAATCAATGCTGGGAACCCTAGGTTATTCCCACGGTACAAACATTATTTCCTGGAAATGTCAATGAGCTTGATTGACAAGGTTTTTACAGCTGTAGATCTTAACCGCATTGGTCAAAGGCTAACATAAAAAACATCAAGACTTCTGCTTTGTAAACTTTTTCATTATTTGTGCATTTTACTCTGAATTTTAATTATACAGGAAAAAACTAAGCTTTTTTTCAACTTTACATATTTGCTGCACAATGTACTGTTGTCTATTTGACAGAGGAATTCAAATTTTAGCAATTCAGTTCTTTCACAATGCGGATGGTGATTTCTGCACAAAATTGATGGGAAAGTCCATCAGGCCACATTTTTTCAAAGGCAATTCTGCTGTAACAGATCACTGGGGAGAGAGGATTGGGAAACATTACCCAGGAAAAGAGTACTAAGTTTTAAATTTACTGTGTTTAAGATTACAAATGAGTCCTTGGCCAAATAGGAACAATTACAGATGTACATTACCAAGGGATCACATTGGCAGAAAAATAATGATTTTTTTTTACATCTACAGAAGCTGTATTGAGCTTAAAGAACATTAGATTTGCAAATCAGCTGCAAATGTGTGACCCACTTGGGGTCTACGTGTTTACAGAATCAACAAGAGTTTACAAAACGCACAGAAGATGCTTAAATTAAATGTCTACACAGCACAATTTTACACCAGAATAAGATACGAAATTGTAATGTTCCACTGAGAAATGCATAGCAATATAATTAATTTCTAAATCACGAGGGAAGTTTAAAGGAGTGGCATTTTTTTTCTTGCAGGGCAATCCCTTGTGTACATTTTTGTAGAACCGCTGTTTGTGTTTAGTTTCTTGTCCTTCCCCCGCACCCCCGATTAGCACGGTTGACTACGTACTGTGCAAAAGAGGTTATGCATACACACATTTCTTGGCGTTGATGTACATTCTGCATTCTCGTTTAAGCATTGAGCATGTTTGCCTGGTTGTGTTCATGCCAGGGCGGTTTGTCTTGTCCTCCCCACTATCGATAAAAGCCAGCTCCAGCTGCCATAGTGAAGGCCTGCCATGTCCCAGCTTCAGCTGTACTCAATCCCCTCCTCAACTCCCTGCTCAAGCAAAAAAATTCAGCGTCCACGTTATTTTTCAGATATTTTTTAGTCTTATTCATTTAAAAAAAAAACATTTTGCCATATACATTTATACAACTTAAATTTGAATACTCATATACATGTCAATTACAAGCGCCCATATTTATGCTCAGAAATTTAAAGGTTTTTTTTATTAGGCATCCTCCAAAAAGAAACGATGCACAATATCCGTGCTGGTATACCACAATAATTAACAAATGCGAATAACAGCGACTGCTTGTGCTCTTTATGAAACAGAGTATTTCTGAGCTGGCCATTATCATGAATAATCAAAAACATAATCCCCTCCTTTACTTACCATTTACGGTGTTTTACTTCACAATAGGAAATTTATCATTTCAAGTTTACCAGCTTGCATGAGCAACCCAGGGTTTGTGTAAACAGAAACACAGAACCATGGAGTTCTATCGCTTGTGCAACTTTTATATCTCTAGCACTCGTGCTCTTTAATACATATGTAATAACAGGGTGTCACCTGTCGGCCTGAAGGGTTAATCGCAGTTATGGGCAAGTTACGTAATGTATAATTATGAGGGGGGCGTATCTGGAGTAAAGGTGAAAGGCGGAGTCAGTCGGGAAGCATCGGGAACCTGCTCGAAGGTTCTGGAAGGGGGCGTGGCTGGAGGCGGGGCGTGGCTGGAGGCGGGGCGTGGCCGTGCCAGGGTGTATATAAGGGGGACCGAACCAGAGATTTGGTCCCAGAGGTTCGGTGCTTTTGTGGGTCTTGGCTGCGTCGCTGTAAGCCGTCATCTCTCTTCGTCGTCCGACCACGTGATCGATCTTCTGCAAGGCTCTCATCGTCGCTGTCGCTGCGCTAGTCTGACAGCTGCGTAGTTGGATGCCGACAATGGGGTTGTGTGATAGGGTCGGCTACGTGTAGTTGCGTTACATAAATGTATCACCCAGTGTGTTCCTAATAAATAAGAACCCTTCTACACGACGTGTCTCGGAAGCCGCTCACTACATTTGCAGAATAAAATTTTAGAACCCACCTGTGGCGTCTTTCGATGATGATGAAAACGAGACACAGGACCTCCTGACAGCACCGGGAACCGCGGTCCCGGTTATTGAAGCCGCGGTGGAAGAGTTGGCTGCACAAGAGACGGCGGGACTGGGGGCAGCCTCTCCGCAGCAATAGCCTGAACAGGGCTGGCACGTGGTGTTGGCGCAACTGGAGCTCCTGCGGACGACGGTCTCGCAGTTGGTGGAGCTCATGACGGCGACTACTATGGCAGGGCGGACCACACAGACCTCGCAGGAGAGAGGAGATCAGGCGCCGGAGAACGACGCACTGACGGGAACGTCCACGGGCGGGGCAGCCACTATTACGCACGGCGCAGAGACCACGAGGCCGGAGGCCGCCATTACGCGCGGTGCGGGAGAAGTGCAGTCGGAGGCCTCCTCTGCAGTCTATCTCGGGTTTGCGAATTAATTAGTTGGTCGCGCTCTACATACTCGGGCTCCTTCCTGCCACGCAGAGGAGGAACAAGTTTCTATAAGTAGGCATTGAGTATTTTTCACGATGGCCTATGGCCTGGCCGCTGCCCGACCAGTCGGCAGCCTCTATTGCCAAGGCGTTTTTGCATGGATACGTATTGGATAAAGGTGCCCCCGAGCAGCTTCTCACGGATCAGGGACGGAATTTCTCCTCTAAGATGCTACGGGAAGTTTGTGATGTGCTAGGCACTAGGAAGATTCGAACGTCCACCCCCAGACGGATGGGATGGTGGAACGGCTGCATAGGACCTTGACATCTATGCTCAGTCAGGCAGCCAGCGCGGTCCAAACTGATTTGGATCTGCATGTTCCAGGAGTGTTGGCCGCATACAGGGTGGCGCCTTACACTTCCACGGGATTTTCGCTTTTTTTTCTCATGTACGGGAGGGAGAGTGAACCTCCTTTGGAGGTTCCATTGGGTTTGTCTGAAAAAAATGGAAAATCTAATTTGCCTGCGCCTTGAACGTGTTTCGGCAGCTCGTGAAGTGGCAAAATAAAACACCACCAAAGCACAGGCGGCTAACGAACGGAATGCGGGGCGGCGGGACAATGTGTTGCAGTGGGTTGTGGGGGATCGGGCATGTTTGCATGGCCCGCAAATACCATTGGGAACGTCCCCTAAGCTGCATCGGCCATGGCAAGGTCCCGTGGAAGTGGTCGAAGTCAAGCGGTCGCAGTGCGTGCATATACGAGTGGGCCGTCACCGTTGGTTTGTTCATCTGTCGCGGTTGAAGCCTTATATTCCTCCTCGAACTGACACCTCATCTCCAAATTGTGTACGGCCGATGTCTGTTATGTCCGACGAGCCGGAGGAAACGCCGATGGAGAGCGTGCGTCAGGAGGATTGTATTGTGCCGCCCACAGCTTCCGAACCCCTGAAGGTCGGCGGGGCCCGTGATCTCGCCGAACGCGAGGAGTCGCTGACTGTGACTGGGCCCACAACGCCTGCGAAGCCGGGAGTTGAACCGCCTTCTTCGAGTTTTCGGGCAGAGCCCACATCTTCGGTGAAGAAAGCGAACATTGTCCCCATGGATGGACTGGCATCGAGGACTTGGTCTAAATGTTTCAGATATCGTTGACAAGAACATTCCGTTGTGTGTATGAGGGGAATTGGGGGGTTGCGTTCTCGTGTTATACGGAAAGGAATTTTGTTTTTCCTCTTCCTCTCTGTTCCTATTTTTGCCTCTTCTCTTACCTTCCTAAGTTGCTGCTTGGGTCCTTCTCTTGTCATTGCCGATCGTTCTGCCTTATTAAAAAAAACATTTTGTTGGGTTTGTTATTTCAGTTTATGGCGGAACTTTTTCTGCCTCACGTGTGTTTTTGTTATCATTGTTAACCGGGACGGCTATATTTTAAACATGGGGGGGGGTGGGTTGATGTCATAACAGGATGTCACCTGTCGGCCTGAAGAGGTAATCACAGTTATGGGCAAGTTACGGAATGTCTAATTATGAGGGGGGCGTATCTGGGGTAAAGGTGAAAGGCGGAGTCGGTCGGGAAGCTCCGGGAACCTGCTCGAAGGTTCTGGAAGGGGGCGTGGCTGGAGTCGGGGCGTGGCTGGAGTCGGGGTGTGGTTGGAGGCGGGGCTTGGCTGCGCTGGGGTGTATGTAAGGGGGACTGAACCAGAGGTTCGGTGCTGTTGCGGGTCCTGGGTCCTGGCTGTGTCACTGCTCGCCGTCATCTCTCTTCGCCGTCCGACCACTTGGCCGATCTTCTGCAAGGCTCTCATCGTCGCTGTCGCTGCGCTAGTCGAAGAGCTACGTAGTTGGACGCCGACGATGGGGTTGTGATAGGGTCGGCTACGTGTAGCTGGATTACATAAATGTATTGCACAGTGTGTTCCTAATAAATAAGAAGCCTTCTACATGACGTGTCTCGAAAGCCGCTCACTACACATAGGTTACTTTAACTCTTACCTGGCCTTCTGCCCTAAGGCAGGCGGTGTGCAACTCGCCCTTGAGCATAGTGATGTGCTGTCTGTGGGAGGCGATCTCTTTTTCTAGGGCCGATATCCTGAGCCAGGCAGCCTGCAGCACGTCCGACACGCTTCGCACAACGCTCTACAGGGAGGCAAAAACACTCGTTCTGTCAGGTGGTGCTCAGGGATGCCTTGTCTGGACTCAAAAACTTGTCTACTCACAATCTTAAACTCGTTACTGGAGAAGGAAAGATAGAGGTTATTAACCATTGTTTATTTTATGAACAATTATATATTTTCGTGGAATATCTATGGCAAAACAGTTATTTAGTTGACCGATTCTCAGCCTACTGATGGCAACACATTTCAACTTGTAACACGTAACTTTTTACCATCAGTGCAATAATCTCCAAATAAATAACTTAAAATTATGACTTGTGCCAAAGAATAATTGCACACGTAAATAGCCAACAGTCAAATGTATGTTTCACACATCGGCCTTTGTGACCAATATGAGCCATTAGAGGTTTGTTTGGGTTGTAATTACCAGTGAAACGTCATAATCAAATTGTAAATGTTGTGGGTAAACTCTCCAACACACCGGTGTGCTGAACGAGTAACTAATTGGCATGTTTTGTTTAAGTGACAAACCTTACTAATTGGCTGTTTCAGGTGGTAGCAGGTTTAACGACACATTTATATTTACATTATCTAACCCAACAAAAAACCTCTATTATGGAGTCAGACGTATACAAGTAACCAGTGCGGCTATGTCCAAGGGTGTCATGTCATACTTGACAGATGCCGGCCTCCACGCCCAGGCAGGCCCCATCTGCAATGGCCTTCTCCAGGACCAGTGTGGCGGGCTGCAGTGCCAGTTCGCCCGTGGCCCACGACAGGGATAGCTGCTCCCTCACCTGCAGTGCCAAAGGTCAGATTGCACCGACGAGTATGCACTTCTTCACTTGCATTAGATTATTTATTTAGAGCTACTTTTGTTTTTAGTTTGTTGTCGCCCTTGCCCGCACCTCCGTTTGGCACGGTTGGCTATGACTGTTGCGAAAGAAGTTCAACATACATAATCATGGTGGATAACAATTGAAATCTCTCTTAAAAGAGCTTTGTTTAAAATGTAACATTATATGCTTTGTGAAAGAATACATGTGCTTTAGAAATTGAGGTTTGTTTGATACCCAAAATCAGACAATTAACAAGTGTCCAAAGATACTGTTTGTTTAAAATATGTAAGTCTTTGCAAAACATCACATTCGTTTTCAGCATAAATTATATCATAACCTCACACCTTCCTCCACTCCCTGCCGCACAGTAAGGTAATTGCCATAAACATTGGCTAATTGTATTTTTGTTGCAAACCAGTGTTCATGACAATGGTGGTGAGATAGTATGAGCCTCTGTTTCAATACTCCTGCTGACATATCCTTGTAAAGATAATTGAAAATTACCCAATAAAATTTCCTCAAGATGATTTAGACTGTTCTAAACCTCATAACCCAGACTACAATGATTCTAGAAAGCCTGTGCTGTGTCCAAATTTAGTGTAACCACATATAAAAGCAAACATTCATCAATATTATTTAACATTTTTATTGTTACTATTTTTTTAAACAAGTGGAGGCATCACATCATTATACTGTAGTCTACATTATTTACAGCTCGTAAAACGTGACAGTACAAATCATGACATCCCGGACATAAATATTTCCCAGTCTTAATCAAGAATGTCTTTCGCAGTTTAGATATACGACGCTGACATAATATAGACTTTGAATTCCATAACGATACTGTAATTCATTTCCTTTAAATATCTCTCTTCAGACACAAAATAAATACACAATGCATACGAACGATAATGGTTTTACATTTACCGGACCACAAATCTGAAGTACCTGAAATAATGATGCAAAGTTCTGTAAATAACTATTCCACAGGATTCACGAGTTTGGCAACATTAAAGGCCAATTCACTCCATTTTAGCAAGATTAATGCCAAAGCCACAAAGCAATATACTGATTGAAACAAAAGTTTCTGGAATGCTCAGCAAGTAAAGACACTGATCTTGCGAGTTACTGAATCTATGTATGCAAATGGCTGTTGATTTACACCCCACCAAAAGGTACACCAGTACCACTCCCCACGGGACACAGACAGGATGAAGTCACTGCAGGCAGAGAGACATGCAAGTGACCTACCATCGATCTTGCGCTGTGGAAATGGAAAATGTATCTATGAATAAATTTAAAGGGGATCGATTTTGCAATGCATCCCGCCTGATTATGGAGGACCTCAATTAAAATTGGTAGCTGGGAACTGCAACCATTAGACCTTGAGGAAGGCTTTGGAGAAAAGACTATAGCTCTTCCCTGGCGTTCAGCAGACGTAACGAACGGGATTTCTCCGCCAAATCTATTTCAATTTGCCATTAATGCAATTGGTTCCTCAGCTTAGAAACAGGCAAGTTAATATGAAGCCTGCATCATAATGTCTTTCAATGTTAAATTACTGCCACTTAGTAAAGGTGCCATTGATTAACTTTCCAGATCTATAATCAACACTGTCTCCCTTAGGCTGCCTGCTTATTTGTCAAATACTCTGCATATTATTTGTAAATTAGTTTTACAGTCTAGAAATAAATACCGCACACACAATGCATTTGTAAACTCGCCTGATAAACAAATGTGTGAGCTGGACAGGCACCGATAGGTGGTTTTGACGTTGTTGTCTACAAACTCAATGACACTACAAGAATAAATCACAGCATCATAAAAACGAGGCCAGTCGCATGGGGCATTAAACTGCCACATGTTACCAAGGGGGCCCCCTCTTGGGGGCTGGATTTTCCAGCCGCTTCATAAAATGTCACAGTCAATAAAACACAACAACCAAACAATTTACAGCCCGCCTGTTGATGCACGCCTCTCGATAAAATGCTATATCATCCTTAATGGCTCTTTAACTGTTTTAAATGTGCCACTTTAAAGAATAAGGGACATGCATGTGACAGAGCTCAAAAACACATATGCAGGAATTTACCCCCCCCCACCTCCCCCCCCCGGGGTGCCCCCTGCCCCTCCCCCAAAGAAAGCAATATGTTCTGCAATTGGGTTTTCAAGACTGCCAGCCAAATTCTCAATGATGGGTATCTTAAAGGTACTTGAAAATAGTTGCGTAACTTTTGCTCCAAGTGGCATGTTTCCATTATGGTACTTTTGTCAGTATTGTCTAAAATGTCTTTAATATCCAGTTCCAAAAGCTATACAACTTTTTTGTATGATTGTTTTGTAGTATTTGCACCTTTGTTGCACATTATATGATAAAACTATTGCAACAAAATGCATCGTAATGATTGTGTTTTAAAGAAGCACCCTTTCCAAATATTGCACGGGTTAATGTTCTGGCAGGTGTTGAGGGAATGGTGATGCAGGATAGCGTATAAGTATTTTTTTTTAATTCGAGTTGGATCGCTAGATACCAGTTATTCAGATGCCACTACAGAGAGAATGTTTGTGAACCCAAGAGAGGAGAATGTAATCGGGATTAGAGTGTTTTGTGAACTGCAGGCACATGTTGGGACCATGTTATGCAAGTCTGCTGAGATTTGTTCCCCTACACAGCATCTGTCTTTCCCAAAACAGATTGTTTGTGCAAAAACATTAGGGAAACCCATATCCACCACGTTTATTTATATAAAAATTATTTATGGAGCAATTGTTTTTTTTATTACACGAACATAATAATTTAAATGTATGTTATAAACTCTGTGCATTGAACATTTAGTTGGCAATTACGATACGTGGAAGTGGGAATTCAGCATCCTGGCTCTACTAATAATTTACCATGTTATATTTGTAAGCAAGCAATGCTTAACATAAAACATGTTGCTATTAAACAGTCCTCAACTGCGTCAGCTTCTGAAACATTCACATTGGTACTTGTTGACCAACTAAGATTATTTTCAATAATACGACTTGATTGTCAGATTTAACTATTTTTTTACACCCCCCCCCCCTGAAAACCCACTCTTATTTATATGCAACAACCTCATCTTAACTTATTCATATTGACGATATTAACTGAAATGCATTACTCCATCTCTTACAACTGTGTGACAAGCCTTTCCAAGTTTGTTCATTGCAACAACTAATAGTTCCGAAAATCCGAAGTGAGCACTACTCAATATATTTTGGTCACCATACCTCATTAGGCTCCGCTGCAGTGGACAGTTTTAAATGGTTTAAAGGGTTAACATCAAATTCACAGAAGTGCTGAGGTTGTTTTCTGGTGCGAAGTTTATGTATCATCAGCGAATGATGCACAGATGCCCTGTAATTATTAAACAGTGAGGTAATGACTTTCCAGGGTAACATCTGCGCTGGGTTTACGGCCCCCTGAAGTAATAGCGGCAGACGGACTCTCTTCTCTCACCCAAAATTAATTCAGCCGTGAGCGGTGGCTCCAATCGGACACTGTGGCTGGGAAGCTAATGTGAAGGCTGGTACTTGACAGCACTCCATTTGAAATAGTGGAAGTGCTTGTGCAGTGTACAGGGAGAGAAATGCAATTACATTATTGCCAGATAAAATGTTCCTTCACGGTGTTAAATTAAACAAGTGCTTTACTACGTACACTATGATGAAACGATTAAAACAAATCTTTCAAAAAATATATAAGGCAATTGTTGATATTTTTTTAAGTGAAGTGTGATGTGAAAAGTCTTTGACTAAATCACCCAGAATGTACTTGATCTCATCAGATTTTCGATGCTATACAGGTGAGTGTATCGAAGTGCTTTTAAGAGTAACTGCCATGCACAAACAGGATGTCACAAGACTGTGGGGCCTGGGCAGTAGACAACCGAGAGCACTGCAACAAATGCAATTGTTGTACTGTACTCCAACATCTTTGCTCTGCACCTTCACCAACCCACAATGACCGGCATGGTGACGTATGGTCAAATAACCCCCAGCTATACAGACTGTTTTTGGACCAGGCTCAACAGACTTGTGTGTGGCGATGAGTGTTTTGGCACCCTGGTGCCACGTCTTGATTTGTGGGCTACTCTGATATGACTGTGAAGCTGCCCAATGAACAACCATCCACATCGTTGAGGACCGTCTTTTACAACAGATAAAGGCAAATCGATCTGGATGAAGTTGTGATCAAAGTGAGCTTTGATACCTAATGCAAGAAGAAGATCCTACAACCCGTACTGTGACAGGGAGGCCCTCATACAGCAGTAGCTTGACAAAACGGCTGTACATGTAATGAAAAAAAATGTTTGGTAAAAAAAAGGGTCTATATTTTGGACAATTTGTATTGCCAGTTACGAGTGTTTAAAATGGCAATAAAGCTAGCAAAGTGATGAAACCCAAGTGACCAAATGTCACTTGCATGAAGCAAGGTGCAAACCGAAGTTGTTTACTCCCGCAAAGCAAGCAACCATGGGGTCAAAACTTTCAGCCGCTCAGCAGTGTTGATGCTGACTTACATAAAACCACCGGATGTCAGCAAGTTACCTGCTGGGAGAGAGCCTACACAATGGCAAACGTATAGCAAAAATACACCACACAGTAACCAACTACACTGTATATGTAGTAGTAATAATAATACTAATGTGAACATAAAAATTCGATTTAGTTCACATGTGAAACATGTGACTGAAGAAGACAAAAAAGTACAAGAATCATGCCTTACCTGCTGAAGACTTTGGTCCAGACATTTCATATAATTTGTCACATTTTCCTTACTCCTGGTTAAAGATAGATATAGTTATTTTAATGAGTATACATATATATTAAATGAAACAGTGTGCACATTTTATTGCCGGTAAGAAAGACAAATAAATACTACAATTACAATACTGATTTACAGAAATCAGCTAATCCTTTCTGCATTCAGCAGCCGTTATGACAATATAAACCATTGTTAAATATCATTTTATTTGTTAAATGTAAAATGTTTTTCATTATTCTGCTGAAAAATAACTGACTTCATGTAACCCAAGTTACCCTTGCAAAAAAGGAAATGCATCACACGTCTCACCGGACCTTTATTTTCATCTCCTGGTTGCATAAAGGATACCACTACTGTACTGCGTAAAATGCGGCACAAGACAATCAATTTCGCTCGTCACTGTGGAACCGTTGACAATAGGTGCCTGTTGGAGCAGTCCTTTGCTCACCTGGTCCTGCTGCGCAGAACATCTTCAGTGCCCTTAATGGCATCGTGCAACCGCCGTCGCTCATCCTCCATTTGGGCCAAACGACGATTGAGCTGCTGCACGCCATGCTCCTTTCTCCGCACCTCCAGCTTGGCCTCCGATAAGCCCTAATTCAAAAACAAGTTGCATTCAGTCATATCGTAGTTACATCGCACGGGCATATGCTTCCAAATTTTCCACCACCTACTTACTCTAAACTAACTGCATTCACATGTGACTTATGTTATGACTTCATTTTTGCCACATTCACAACCAGTTTAAAAATAAATTAACCATACGTATAGACGTACACAACATACCTTTCGCGGTCAGCTTCGTACCATTAAAAACGCAGCATTATGACTTTTGTTACAGTTGGCAAAAATAACAGAACCAAAGTCACCGCTGCCATATTATGTGTTCTCTTTAACGGCACCTTGACGGCTTCGGCGAGAGTCTGCTCCTTTTCCGTGTCCTGGCTGGCATGCTGTTGCAGGCGATCCCCAAGCTCCTGCAGCTGGTGGGCCTGATCCCTGAGGAGGTGCTGAGCCAGCTGCTCCCTGGCCAGTGCACTCTTCAGCTCCTCACACACTCCGTTAAACTGCTCCACTGGGACGAGGTTTTGAGTCTGCAGACAACAGCATAGGTTAGAATGCAAAAAAAGGCCTGGAAAAAAAAATCCAGAAACAAAACCACAGGACACAGCAGGGACGAGGCAAAACATCGTTAAAAAAACCACAAACACACTATTTAAACTGTACACGAGCACCACATGCACATAAACAATACACACGCTGCCATGCAAAACAATAGAAGCCAACATGTGTTGGAGGCAACACACACTGTTTTGGTTACACAAGAGCATAGCAAAAAACGGTTGTGTTTATTTTAACGTTTTTAATAAAAAACATATTTTCAAAGATGAAGTTGGTTTTCATAGTAAACGCTACAAGCTCTGTTCCCTCTAGTGCATCTTGTGGTACTTATCAGTGCAAAACAATTAGGTGAATTAACCGCTACTGCCCGACAAAACCATTACACGTCAGAATTATGGAAAATTGTTGAGATAATGGTTAAGCTAACATCAAAGAGAAAGAGCCACTATAAGTGCGGGGCTTCCCTTGGAGATAGTTAAAACTCGGAATGGGTCATGAGGTGACGTGAGGGCGTGACAGCTAATGCCAGGTCGTGGCTCACCGCTTGTCTGAGCTCCTGCAGCTCCTTCTTCAGGCTGCGAGAATGATCTGTGTGCTTTCTCAAGTCACGGGTTTGGGCAAGCTCCAGCCGGTTCGCCCTCCGCTCCACTTCAGCTGCATGCAGTCTCTCCGTGAACTCCAGCAGCTGCTTTTGTACCAAGCCTACACAGTGCTGCAAGATACACATGCTAGTCACACCCATGCAAGTTGCTACACTTATCAAACATTCAGAGTTATGAAATCAATTATATAAAATGGTAAAACTGAGTTCACAGCATTGCTAATAATGAATATCTCCCACCTAAAACAACAAAAAATGTTTTGGCATTGATCTGTTTTATTTCAAAACTGGCAATTGAAGATATGTACATATATTATGATGAAATGTACCTGCATGGTGTACTGAGTCGGCTGCTCATCACCATGACCACGCGCTGTAATCTTGGTCAACCTCTGGTTTAGTAGCCACGCAAGTGAGTCAGGCTCTCTCCACTCACAGTGCAGGTCGTTGGAACCCACAGACCACTCCATCTCAATGCTCAGATGGTCCAACAAATTAGCAAAGGCTGCCCGTGCAGCTGTGACAATACTCTGTCCAAGTGAGGCACCATGTAATTCTGTAAAAAGAAAATGTTACTGAAACAAACTTTTCAGTAAAATACTGCATTAAAAAATGACTGCAGCTTTTTTTTTTTGGTCTTGAACCCACTTTCCGTCCATGCAAGTTTAATACAAAAACCCAAAATGGTACCACAACTCTCATATATTTTCTTTCAGTCACGCATGAAGACATTCAGGCTCTGTGCACTTCACCTGTTTGTTTGATGACTTGCTGAAGTTCACTCATTGAATGTATAATGGCTGTTTGCAGTTCAGGGCTGGAAAACCAGCGTAAAGCAGCGAACACTCTGTCTTTTGTCGCTTGTTTGGAGCCTGCAATACAAAAACAACATGTATTGTACATAATCTCAGAATATATTTATAGCCTGGCTCTGAAATTTCAGTTGGAGCTGTCTGGGGCTGAGCTCTGGAAAAAAATATGATTGAGATAAATTCACATTTGGAACAAAGTATATATTTTGAAAAAAATATGGAATAACTCACTCATCTGGCCTTCACTGGGCTTGACTTTTCCAGTGCAGACCAGCATGGCACCATTATCTCCTGTACCTTCGGTCCACGTGAAAAGACTGCGGGTGGAGCCACCCAGCCGTTGCAGCCGATTGGCCCCAAGCACAACAACTACAGCCAAGCGAAATCGAAGCAGACCCTTTCTTTTTGAAGAAGACGCAAGTTTTCCCTTTGAGGCAGACGCCAGTTCATCCAATCTTGTTTCTGGTGACTTCTGCTGCACGCCTTTAAGCTCTAGTGACAAAGCCTTACCTAGGGCAGCCAGCTGTTTACAAAAGTGGTCACATTTAGCAGCCCGCTGAGCCAGGAAGAGCCGCTGGGTGGCAAGAGCCTGGGCTCGGGCACGTAATGGGATGATAGCACCCGACAGGAGGGCACAGGCTGTAAGCAGGGCAGCCCGCTCGTCCACGCCACGGGAAAGCTGCTCCTGCAGGCTCACAAGCTCTGCCATCAGGCGCTCTTTCTCGCAAGTCAGTTCGTTCACCTTCCCACGGAGATCACTTGCAGATGCTTGGCTCTTCTGTAGATCAAACACACAAGCCAGATGTTCAAAAACACCATAAATGGACGTTTAATTTATTAACACTGTCAAGAAGCCTATATTCAGTTACAAGAGTTAGGATACTTAAGAAGAATTGGGTGTGTCCTTGTTACTCTGAGTGTAATACATAAACACCATCATCTCTCTCTAAATTACATAATTGATAACTCCTTTTAAATAAAGGTAACGTGAAAGAATCTCCAATTACTGCCCAAGAAAATAGCGGCACATATGTTAGCTTAAAAAAAGTTTAATTACACGTGCAAATTACATAACACAACATCCAAAGAATTGAACCCTAGACATTAATTCCGAGTACTCTGTATGTGATCTCATTATCTCTGTTGGCAAAGTTAGATACCAATTCCAATACCTGGCACCTGTTTTCAGACAATGCTACCAATTAACCCAGGCATCCCTGTGCAGATATAAAAGTGTATATACAGAAAGCATGACTTTAAACCATAGATGAGATATGTGCACTGTACTTATTGTATAATACATTCATCATTTAAAACTGAAAAATAACAACTTGCTACATTAAATGTGGCCCTTTTCTGCATGAGCAACGCTTGCAAGATACCATATGAAATGAAAATATGGGATTTTATTTGTGCACAACAAATTAACTTCGCGAAATCGGATGTAATTGAGGCCATCAGTTAATCTGCCAGAAAACCATTTTCATACAGCAACAAGCCCTCCGTGAAGACTTCTTTGGGGCTAACAACACTGGGAAATACAGTTTTCCCCATCAAAAATCAGAGTGGCCTTCAGGAGCCGTGGCAATACCTGCGCGTGCGTGTGCACCTCGCCCAGCAGCCGAGTGTAGTGCTGCTCCAGCGCCACCTTGGCCTTGTGCCAGCCCTCCTCCTTCTCCCGCATTCCTTCCACCAAGCGATTGACGCTGGCATCCTGCCGCTTATTTAGCTCTTTCATGGCCTCCTCTTTGCCATTGCACAATCTCTCAAGGTGGGCCACCTGCATGGACAATAGCAAATCTTAGCTGAGGCATTGTCCTATTTAAAAAAGAAATACAAATGTTTCTTGTGCACGACACAACACGTTGGCATATTTGCTGCATTTCACAAGAAAAAATATATTGAAAAAAAAACGGTTTTGTACAACACATAGCATCTTGTTTTGACTAATTATATTTGTCATTTTATATTTTACCTATTCTGTAATGACTATGCAGCTTCCTGCCTGTGGGGTGCTTTTCATTTTTATGCACATTCTACCTTGCTTGCCAAATATGCATAAATATTTGTTTATGACAGGTCATGTTTATGTAACATGTTGAATATGGAAAAGGATGTGACCCTATTCTGCCATAGGATCACACTGTAAAAATAGAGGTTACATTTTGGTTGTGCATCATGTAAGGAAAAAATAAATGAATAAACATATTAAGTGGTGTTTTGCATGGATTCCAATTATCTCTAATGATAGCACGCACTTTAGCCATCTAAGAATTTACTTTTAAAGATAATAATTTGTATACTTATGAAACGAATAACTGTGCACTTAAAGCATGTCTGAGAATGTAGCTTCAAGCTTTATGCATTGAAGCTTCTGACCCGCTCCGACTGGATATTTGTGAAAAAGAGCTTCATAGCTCATCGGATTCCTCCAGCCTAAGATTCTGATTCTATACAAAAGCCATGGCACATATAAACACAAGTTTTGCTTATTCGTGCCATCAATGCAAGTCTTCATAAAATAATACCATGTATACAAGGTTTAACTATTTAACATGAAAGTATAAGCACACATTCCTAATTTCAATAGTGACATGAATGCACACTATGAACGTTCAGACATGGCAACACATAATAGCTCACCATTGACCAACAATGGGTTGTTTGCATGTCAGTAAACCAAGCACAGCACCATGAAAAAAAACACCAAAACACATGCTGCGCATGCAGCACACATCACCGGCGTGAATTTCAAATCCACCACAATTTGACACTGAGAGGAACACCACTCACATATTGTACAAGGGCTGCTGAGGCTGTGCAAGTATCTTGTACATTCTTACCTATCTACATGACTTTACCGAAAGACCCAAGAATATGAATTACTGCTGTCACGAAAGCTTTAAGTCAAGATTTATTCTTACATAACATGAAGGATTTAAACAATTTTTGCTGAAACTCTGTAGTCATAGCTTAAATGTACATCAACAATCGGTATCAATATCATCTCGCATTGCGATTGCAGCACATATAGCCTGCCAACGTTAACAGTGTAGTAGTTTTAATGTGTGAAAGCCAGTGAGATGAAAGATTGTGGTGCTGGGCCTTCAGAGTACTTCACATTTTGTCACCTTCTCCAGGTTACGGTTGAGGTCCATTGTTAAAGCGTCCACATTCTCCTGCAAAATGCTGCACAGCTCAACCCATGTAAACTGTCCCAGGATGCTTTTGGGAGGGTGAATCACCACGCATCCTGCCACAAGCCGCTGGTAGAGCCCATGCAGGAAGGTCAGTTTCTCCTACGCAGGGAAATGAGGCGTCAGAGGTCGCAAACGGGTTTTGATTCCTTACCCGTACCCGGCCGCACCAGGGTCGCAAATGGGTACCCGTACCCTACCCGAAATGAGTGACAAACGGTTACTTACCAGTGACTCACGGCTTACCCGTACCCGGCCGCACCAGGGTCGCAAACGGCTACCCGTACCCGGCCGGGTACGGGTAGCCGGGTATCAGGTAGGGTACGGGTATCGGGTACCCGGTTGCGACCTCTGGGAGGCGTGTATTGTTTATTCCATTATACAATGCATACAATTTTAGAACCAATTCGAAATTGTGCAGTAAAAGACAAAATCAATACCAATAGTTCACCACCTATAACTTGAATAAAACAAATTTTAGTGCACTTGATTATTTATTGGTGGCGGCAATAATTCTAGACTATTTAATTAATGCTATATATGCCCTGCGGAATGCAGAATTAATCAGTGTAGTAATGGGAGCGGTAAGTAATTTTTTATACTGAGATGCTGCAGATGACAGAATTGTAAGATTGTAACCAGCTCCATGCAATGTAAGATTCCAAGTCTTAAAATATTATATAGATGGCATGGGTATATAAAAAATAATTTGGTGAACATTTTTTCACATCATAGTCAATTCGAGCTCAATTTTACACCACGATCCCATTGAGATATTATTATTTTAGGAGGAACTTGTTTTATAAAAAATGTATATGCCTAATATTATGCATATTTAGGTTGCTCCCTTTTTTCTCTAAGTTATCCGCCTTGTGCCTCTACAGTAATCTGCTATTCAGTTCTAAAGTGGGCATTTGGGGTCTTTTTATCCTTCTCAGCATCATTTAAGACCTCTGTTGCATCGCTGTGACGAGCACATGGCAATGGAGACATGTAGCAGTGGCAAGCAATGTGGGACGCTATGTCGCATCCATCACCCAGAACACCGGTGGAGAGCTGGCAGCAGGACAAACAGCCAGCCCGACCACACTTCATGTGTTACCCAAACGGATGGAGCAGCGTGTGATGGAAGCCCTGGGTCACGGCAGATAAATGCCCACTGTTCGGCACACTCATTCTTTACATGCCTAGCCACATAGCCTGAAATTATTACTTCAGCTCGCAACTGCTGCTATCCGAGAGCAAATGCTTTTTGAGTGTGTTATCTAACCTCTACGTGAGCTCTGAACTTGTGGCCTCAGAAAATAGGCAGCTTAACCTAATTGACTTTGATTTTCTGCTACTAAGGTATGCAAGTGCATATAAATACAAAGCAAGTGGCCAACACAATTCTGTAAAATTACATTTGTGGCATGCTCATACTTTGTTGATTTAGGCGGCACTATAAATACATCTATTGTCATCGAAGCTATACTCCATGTTAAATTTCAACAAGGTGTAAGAAAAAGGATGTCAAATAACCGGCATTAAAACTTTACAATCGGCATAACAATTATATGGTATTTATAATGGAATCGTTAGAAAATAATATATTGATCTATTTAAGATGAACAAAACACATCAGTTAAGAAATGCTTCCTTATAGTACTTAATGATATGTATTATAGTTTTGAATACCAGAGTACTTGCATTCAAAGGTAATTTTTGGTGAGAAATGCAATGGCAAACAGTTAAAAATTCATTACAAATTGATTGTGCATCTGCAAAAAGTGGAGGTTATTCAATGAGTTGACCTTGGGAAAGGCCTTGTCGATAACCTTTTGGTGGCTTAGTGGTCAAAGAGAGTAGCGTGTACTCTTAAGTTCACTCCTACCTGCACGTCCTCTTCAAAGGCTTGACGCAGCTTATTGAGCTGTGTGTAGGCATCAGCAGAGTGGGCCTTCTCCGCATCCCAACTGGCCTGCAGCCTCTGAACTTCGCTTTGCAGAGATGCCATGGACCCAATGAGTTCATCTGCCTGGGCGCGCTGGTTCACAACTTCAGTGTTCGCTGCAAGCAACTGCGCTTGTAAGTCCTGCACACAGTGAGCAATTTAATACTCATGGCATAGTACAATTTAGTTATCTTTTCATTGGCAAGACTGTAAGTGGAGAATAAACACATATATAGAATATCACTACAATACTATATGACTGATATATTTTCCATACATATTGGTCAAGGGAAATTATTAATCACCTCAATGTCAATGTGCAGATGCTTTTGTTAGGTTGTCTTATAGTTTAGTGGTCCAACACCACAACATTCCACGTGGGAATGATTTCATGGTTAAAAGGTTAATGGGTCATGAACTCGAGCTCTGCCATTCTCTGGTGTGTGTACAAATGCTGCTGTTCTAGTTATTTGCAATTATATGGAAACCAAATAATCTTACAAAGTTTCCAATTCGATACATTTTTGACCAGATTGTTTTAGAGAAAATAAATTGAGTGGCCAATGACGTTAACAAGTAGACATGCAATGAATGCAGTTATAATTTAAGAACTCTTTTCAAAGTAACATTACATTCTTACATTTGATAGTGTGTACATTGGTTTAATATTAATTTATAGAATTATAGTATATTTGGGAAAAAACTACATATTCGTTAATAACACTGCCTTAAAAGAAAATTATAAAATAGGTGATGTTTCGGGCAATGAGCCTTCTTTATAGCACATAAATAGAGAGGCCAGAAAGGGAGAGTTAATAGGTTTGAGACAGCACTTAACACCATGGAGCCGAATGACAATTACAATTTTAAAATGTTGAGGTGAGTATTTAAATATTGTTGTTGGGTTACCACTATACTAACACATTGCAGATGTTTTAATTCTAAAAATGTGCATGCAGTTTGAAATATAAAACACTAATTTCAGCCCTTTGTACATCAACTCCTGAGAGAAGTGATAGTCGTTTGACCATATTTCACCACACTCTTGAGTGTGGGTTGATAAAGAGGGGGCTCAGGACCAATTCAGTTGTCAATCAACAGCAATTTTAGCCATGGCTGGGAATCAATCTCAAGCCAATGGGGTTCATAGCAGTTTGCTAACCACTATACCACTGCACCAACCTCATGTGAAATATGCATGTAAACATAATTTCCTTCATTTATATTTTTTTACATAGAGCTTTACGAGACATATCTTTTTTTCCCCTACATTGTATTTGCCATCGTAAATGTATCTAGCTTTTGTATACTTACCATGGGACATGTAAGGAAATGTTTGATGTATAGTTTTTTTGTTGTGGTATCGCAAATGTTTGTTTTAGAGGATTATTTTATGATAGTGGCTGAGGTAGGTGGCTCATCTTTAGCCAGAAGAATGGAGGGGGTGTACATCTGGGAATAGGTTGGAAACTCAAACAGTCCCTCATACTGCAAGCAGGGTGGACAATTCCACATCGCAACCAGAGTAAACATTTGTCAGTATCCCCCTTTTTGTGAGTGCTTAAAACCCTTCTTGAAAGGTCCAACCTCTGCACACTGCTGTATCTAAGTGGAACAAAGTATAGAACGGGTAATGATCATTATGAAACATTATTATTGGGCAGTGAGAGTGATGCATTGACCTTTCTTGATGCCTGTAACATTTACAGAGAAAAAATATCCTCAGTGAAGGCAGTATAAATTTTTAACACAGTCTATCTAAAAAAATGATCTCTAACCAATGCTATCTGTAATTTAGGCTTACTTCCAGTGTTTTGTTGCGTGTCCAAACCAATTCTTTAGAGGACTGGCACTCTTCACTCATCTGTTCGCAGAGTCGCTTCATCTTGTCCAACTGCAAACAGAAGACCACAAGCACCGAATCATGTCATCAAATTTGTATTACAGTTGAGATAAAGCCAATCACCCAAACAGTGCTCAATTATATTCTGTACACACACCTGATACAAAACAAACTTTTGTTTCTTTTTCACGAGACATCTATTTTTGTAACAGTTGTGTATCAAAAAGGTCGTAACAATCTATAGAAATGTTAAGCTAAGCAATACAAAATATATACAAGCAGGGCAACATAGTATTTGCATCACATCTCTGAATATTCTTTCTTTGATGTTTTAGAAGCTTAGAGCTTAGAATAATGCGCTATCACTAAATTTAGTATTTCCATTAAGAAAATTGATACACTACCATCAGGTTGAATGTTCCTCCTCTTAAACTGTCATTGTTGCATGATTATACAGACTAGAGTTAAATGTTTAAGCTGTGTGAATATAACAGCAAAGCCACAACATGACAATGTGTGGTGCCATGGGTGCAAAGAATGGTGGCAGAGCATCTATCAGGCCTGTTAGGATGTGATCCATTTCTCACACCTCATCTATTACACACAAAACCATACACTCGCCAGCATTATGTCCTCTTGGGTTCAAAAATGCTCTTGAATTGACTCACGAGATGGTTTACCCACATACCAGACATAAAATACTTTGCAATTAATTGAAAACAAAGAATGTCTGCTTAAAATTCACTAAATAGCAGACATTTAATCAGCCTAACTGCATTGTTTAAACTGTAAAATGAAACAATGTGCTGAACTTTTGCATTTAACTACTTAAAGGATCAATTTAATTTCAATGAGGATCACAAGTTTTTATTGCAACGCTTTTTTATTCATTAAGTATGTATGTATGCAACTGTACAGAAACATTAGTGCGCTTCCTGCAATTGCGCACGCCACATTCCGGATGACTGACTGCCAGGGATTACGGTCCCTAATACGAAATAAAGGCTTTGATATTGGTGTAAATGCATCATCATCATTTTCACAGCAAACAAAGACGGCTCCACCACTCCACCTGCCAAACGAGGAGCAGCCACTGCCAAAGTGCCGCATCAGAGCAAGCATAAAATCCTATTCTGAAATATGAAGGACTGTTAGAATCACTGTTAACATCTGTCTTGTAGAGCATATGGCTCTTTAGGGGCATTCAGAGTCCTATCATCTACACCTACTTTTAAAACCTGAGCACATTTTTTAAGTGTTACATGCATATTTTTGTGCATCTTATAGGTTATTATATTGCAACATAATACGCTGACCAACACATGACCTAACACAAAAACCACATCCTGGATTGGGTTTACACTAAAACCTAGTTCAGCTGAATTCTGGATGGTATAAGAATCTGACATGTGAAAAAATGTAAGTAATATTCCTTGAATTGATACTGCTTCGCTACCTCAAATCCACCTGTGCTATAAACATCTCCAAAAAAGAGTTGCCAAACATGTAAACACGGTAACATCTGTTTCAAAGTAAATGTGGTGTGCTCCTATTTTTTTTTACCAATTACGCTCTCAAAAAGCTACAAGGATTTCTTAAAAACTGAAGGGACTCCAATGCTGTGCTCGTAATTAGACCACCAGATCACTCAGTGCTGCTGGCTTTTGGCCTCAGTCCCACTGTTGTGGTCTCCCGAGGCCCACACTTGGCCAGTAATGAGACTCTCTGGGTGAAACGCAGCCTGACCCTGGCTACACGGACCCCCGTATGGATCTCTGCAGATGCCTGCATGGACGCCCTTTCCCCCTCATCCCTCATCGCGACAGCACAAATTATCCTCGCTGAGTACATGCCGAGACGCACTCATTTGTCTCTCCCGTCTGTGGCAGCAGCAGCACTCTCTGGCTCTCCTGCTCAAGAACCACGTTAACTGCCGGAGGGTGGCCTCTCTGCTCGCAGATAATTTGCGGCGCGGAGCCAGGAACTGCAGTCCGAGCTGTCCCAGAGCAGGCCGTCTCGTGTCACCTCCGCCAGAGCAAGCGGCAATAAAGGCCCCTTTTCCAGATGTTCCATCAGTTAATCCAGCACGTAATGAAGTCATGCAGAGAGAGAAGATCAGGTTTATTAAATCTCAGCCTCTCTCCAAGCATCTGCTCGGTCATTACTTAAAGCACCAACAACAGATTTACAGCGCAGGGCCGCGGGGCAAGGGAAATTAACTAGGTGTGCTGAAACGGAGCCTGGGCCCCAAAGCACATCAATTATCCCGTCCTGGGCAGGGGGTGGTAGGACATGGTGCGAGCTGATCAGTGCCCCTCTTGGGCTGGCTAACAACCCAGGGTTGGCCTTAAAACTGCAACATAAATTCACAACGATAATTGCTTAAAATAAATAAAATAAAAAAATAAAAACTGCAAACTCCGAAGCATGATAAAATATACCTCAGAAATATTTGAGAGTGTAACTTTTTTCTTTCAAAACTACAAAATAATTCCTCTAAGTGTTCTACTTACTTGGAGACTGTGGCACATAGGAGCGCCAGCAGTGTACATATTATAAACAAATCTGTACTGTAGTGCCGCTGGCTACACCTGATTGTAGATGTGCAGATGACATTTTTATAATTCTTTTTATCCTACAGTCCAATCCTCCTGCAGTCAAATGCTGCCTCTTCACAGAGATTCCCCTAATCTAAATTCCTGCAGCCTCAGTGTGAAACTAGTTACCTTCATACTTCGATATTGAAAAAAAATACACACGGTCGAAAAATAAAAACTGCGTGTTCATTTACGTCATAAACCTGCAATTACTCTGCAATGGCTCTTGTAAGCAAGGGACTTAAAAACGAGTTGATGAATGCAACTGTTTGCGTAGCAATTGGAGCCTTTGCTCCCAGTGCCCACCCTGTGGCATCCTGCCGCTTCGCGGTAAATGACCGCAGGCTGTACGTCCCCTGCTGGGCTGCTTACAGTCATGCGCCCGCTGCAGCCATTCCCCCCCCCCCACCCCCTTACCTCGTTAGAGTTCTCTCGCAAGCGGCCCTGGTAATCTGTCAGGGTGAGCCGCAGGCTCTGCAGCACTGCCGAGGGACCCTGGCCCTTCTCTTGCTCCGTATGCGCCGCTGTTAAAAAGGGAAGCAAAAGATATGGAGAGAGGACACAAAAAGACAGCAGAGAGGGGACCGATGGTAGGAGCCGCAACATGTATCTCACCACGACATGATTAATTTAGTGCCTTGAAACCTGCAGCTTTCATACCGTGGAATTTTGCGAAAAGAAAGGCAATAAGAATGTAAAGTAAAAACAGCTAGCAGTTAGAAAACATAAATCTCAGGATCAGGCAAAAAAATACACGGAACAAGGGTATTTAATTATCAATGTATTTTTCAGTGAAGCTAAGTTAGTAGAAAGCTTTCGCTTCAGATATAAACCAAAAAAATGCAGTCAGCATGGAAATGATCCAAGAGAAAAGATGAAATAGCTTGAGATGAAGAAAATGTATTTCTCAAACTCTCCACATGCATTCCTTTCTACATGAATGATTTACTATTTAATAATTTAAATGTAACAAAAACAAAGCTTAAACCAGTGACATAAAATAATATGCAGAACAGGTACAGGAAGATGTGGTTTAACAAAGGAATGCCAATGGGATACCAAACAGAGGAAGCAAAATACAGATGAAACATCCATGGCAAGAGACATTAAATTGAATAAAAATGGTTACAGCAATAGACAGAGATGACAAGCCTAAGATGTCTCAGGCAAGTAAGAGCATGCAGCTTGCCAAGGCAGGAAAGAACACCCCTCTATTGAGGATATAAACATCTGTTTTTCAGCCACAAAACAAAAAACAAATATTTACATTAACACTTGGTTATGTTTACATGCAGAGGGTTTAAAGATTTTCATGATTATGGATAAGCAGTGTGATAATAACTCATGACCATGATTAGAAATTGATTAAAATATAATAAAAAATAACAATAATAAATAACATAAATAAAAACTACCCAAGCGTACCAAAACATATTAAGTCCCACAGTAGACATGATATCTCTGCAATGTTTGTTGCTGCAGGGGGTATCCTGCTGTCTTTACACAGATGAAAATCACATCACTTGCTGTTTACGTGCACAAGGCACTGTGACAGCCAGCTGTTCTACATTAACATTTAGTAAATTGTGCTTTTATTTCACAAGGGACCAAAATATTTCAGCCCTGACAAATAGTCCCAGCACTGCCAACTTTGATTAAATATTGTCATAAAACAAATTTTTAGAATTATACATATTCATTGTTTATAAATGCTGCATATAATTGCACTACTCTTTTGATGTGTCGTTGAAACTAAATAATTCAGTTTACTTAACGATGCCACATTTGTTGCAATGAATATTGCACTCGCAATTTAAAACAATATCACATTTGCAATATTTGCTTCGCACATTTTACTCGCACTCCAATTAGTGCCAAATGTACTGAATATTTTCTTTAATTTCAAAGGTTAATGTAATTGATTTAACATTTTAAAAAAATACATTTTTAATAAGCACATTTTAAAGAACAAGACATCAGCAGTCTTTAAAACTTCAACAGACCAGGTGTCAAGGAACCGATTCCAAAGTTCTCCAGCAACATGTCCAAATCTCGGATGTGTCTCCCATACGTCTCTTCCAGGTACGCCTGCCTTTTCTTGGCCTATACGGCAGAAAATCCATCATGCACATATTTCACTCTTCACCCTTTGATCACATCCATATTCACCTATGGTAAATCTATATAAGATGAACACAATACAGAATATTATACCATTTCTTTCATTAAGCACAGGAGACGCACGACGTATCTGTGAACTAGTTACCGGGTATATTTGTTCAATTTACAGACGTGATCTTTTCAGAGCTAACAATAATTGTAATAATAATGACACTGCAGGTTTCTTTACCAAGTTAAGCTCTTTGTTGAAGTTGGCTGAGATTTTCTCATTTGTCTGCAGCTGTATTGAGAGATCTGCGATATTTTTCTTCTTGTCTTCCATCTCCTGGGACATCTGCTTCACCGTGGCCGCTGACTCCTTTTCAAATCTGCATGTATAGTAAATTAACTGTTGTCTCAAAAAGTAACTTGGATGATATTTTGGCACAAAAATCAAAGCAGTATTACATAGATGTTCCACTTGTCCAGAGAATTTTGAATTTTTTGGAACTAAACTATGATCAGTTCAGGGGTTATCCTCAAAAATGTTTCCCGAATACGTATATCTACCAAATTAATAAATACCACGTGTGTTGTTCATGAGTTTTCTAAACGCATTTGTACTCTTAAAGTTTAGAATCCATAGACATTTTAGACTGTGGAATTTTAGACAATCCACGCCACCAAGGAATAGTCACCATGTCTGGGAAGCTATCCCAATTTCACACACAGACTTCATATTAAGCACGGCTGTGGTTTGAGCACACACCACACTTACTGGTGCAGACGCTCAGCGGTTTGTTGCACCTGTGCCCTTTCCTTCTCATAGGCCATTTCCAGCTGTCTGAACTGGTCTCGGATCATCTCCAAGTTGGACTCGGCACTGCTTCTGGCCAACCTCTCTACCTCTAGCGAGGCCTCCAAGTCCCTGAGGCGCAGCTGCAATGGCCAAAGACAAAGTAAAATATAACGTAACATTCTTAGCAGGTTAAAAACTACCTCTTTCAAATGAACTACAGGTCTAACAGGTACTTTGTAGAACACATTGAATTACTGAGCAAACGAAAGCCTGATAAAAGACTCAAGTATAATCGTGTGAAACCACCCACGTTTATTGTTTTATGGATAGTCAACTCGTTCATTGTGTGCAATTATTTCAAGCAAAACGCTGGTGTTTTAGCACCCTCTGCTGTTGATTTGCATAACAACAGCCACACATACCTGCACTATTTCTGAGTTAAACTTAGATTCCAGATGAGAAGCACGTTCTGCCTCATTGCTGTCTTCCAAGCTCCTCAATCTCTGCTGGGCAATCTGCAGAAAAAAAACTCCATAAATAAACTGTAAAAGCAAACGTCAATGTATATGTCCGTAAAAGTAGTTATATTTTTTCCCAGGCACTGACAACCACGTTATACATTTCACGAGTGATATACAAGCAACATTTCCTAATTACCTCTAAATCTTTTTTCATCTTGGCCTCCCTTTGAGAAAAAGACTCAAGTTCACAAGTTTGCCGACGCAAAACTTCACTCTGATTGCATTTTTCTTCTTCCGCTGAATGCAGAGTGGACTGAAGTTTAGTCAGCACCTCCTTCTGTTCCTGACCCACAGGAGAGAGGTGTTGGCTTTGATCATAGCACTGCCATTTCAATTAATCGAGTGACAACCTTCTTCGTAGTCATATTATTTCAAACACTTGGTACCTTTATAACTTGCTCTAGTTGGACACGTTCAGCGGAAATGCGTTTAGTCTGAGAGTGACTGTCTTTGTTTAATTTCTTCTGGCTGTCCAAATCCAGCCGAAGCCTGCACTGCTCTTCTTCTGCCGTCTGTTTGCAAATCCTCAGTGCTCGCTCCAGGTCAGACACCTTCTGCTGCAACTCTAAGGCATACGCTGTAAACGCATGTTATACACATGCATATAAATGTCACTGCGGTACATACAGCACTGTAGTTTTAAACAGGGCTTATAGTTTTTAATAATTACATTTGCTGAATCACCAAAACTTAAATACCTCATGTTGTATTCACACGGCTCATGCTGTGCACAAACTATCAGTGTGATGGCAAATGAGTGCTTTTTTATGCCACTTGCACGACTGTGGTAGGAAATATCAGTTGAAAAGCACAGCAGGCACTCCGTGGATATGGGATGCCTGATTCCCTACATGTTGCTAAGAAAATAACATTCTTTATATATATAAAAATCTAAATTCTGTGTATTAAAACTTAGTTCACTGTAATATGTGTTATTTATTACAAATGTCTTGCTATGCCAACAAATATTACAGCTTTTTAACTCTGTGGAATTTGTTCAGCAAATGTAAAAGCAGACATAATAATTGCATGCTGTGTCATTGTTTTGGAAACAAAACAGGCAAAACATACCTTTCATCTCATCATTTGTTTGAACAGCAAGCACGATTTTCTCCTCAAATAGGCGTTTTTCCACACATGCTTCTTTCCTGCTCAGGGCCAGGTCATATTCCAAATCCTGTCGAAGTGCCTCACCCTTTTCCAGCTCAGCTCGTAGCCTCATCACCTGACTGTCCAAAATTAGGACCTACATATATGAAAATGCATACACAAATACGCACAGGTACAATCAACTGCGCAGTTATACGTAAGAACGTGCTTTGAAAAGTAAACTAAGGTACACATTACGCGAACATAATTATATCGAAAATCTTCTTAAATAAATACCTATCATCCTATAATCATATTATTGACACTCCCAAATCTATCTGCACAACATATATTATCCTCTCAATGATTCTTCATATTACCCGAGATTTTGCGTAGGAAAAAATGGTGAAGCAAAAATGGTGGCAAATTCATCCTAATTTCCAAGCCTTTACACAAAGAGGATCGACTGGCAAAACATGTATGCTATTTGTTTATCCACACTTTCTGGCTCAGAATATATGAACCACCCACAGCAACCCCACATCACATCAAAAGAGAGGAGGTGCAGTGTATACCTAAATAAATAGACGATAATTGGAAACTAATTAACAAAATAAATTAATAATCACATTTAGTTTTGTTTTGCTGTTGGGCCAATTGTGTTGACAAGTATTTATTATCTGACATGGCTCAACTATCTCAATCTGTCCAGGGCTGCTGATAATCAACTGCAGATTAAGTCAACAGAGGCCTCAATTAGATACCAATACAAGATATCAATAATGAACATTTCAAATTGGAATTCATGCTATGGTTTTGATTTCTAACAATACTTTCCCTAATTGTACATGAAAAACATATCTACTGTTTGTCATTGTATGGCATAACTGTACCTCCATAGCCAAATATTTCCTTTGTAACAGATCGTTCCTGGCACATGGGCTGGCAACGGCAAAGGTCCGGTTGCCGAACATTGTAATTTCCTTCGAAAAACACTGTGTGTAGCTGATCTCAATAAAATTAAGCCTCCAATAGTTCCATACCTACAAAATCAAACATGTAAAACAGATATTCAAGTGGCATTTACCTCTTGATTATGTTTGCTTGTAAGCTCGACCTTTTCATTCTCAGACTGGTTTAGTTTCCGACGAACGTCTGTGATTGTCTCATATTCAGCTGCATTATCTGCCTGTAGTTGCCTTAGTTGAGACTGCAAAAGATGTACAGTGTCCTGCAACCTAAAAACAACCGGATACAATTAGTAGTCATATGTAAACACTGAAAAGCAAATACGCACTGTGTAGTGTAAAAAAGGTACATTTTATTAAATAACATATATTTGAAAACCAGATAAGAAACCTCGTTAGATGCATACTTAATGCCAATGAACACTGAAAAGGCAGAATAGAGTTTCACGACAAATAAAAGTTCCAAAAGTCTCGAAATGAAAACTTTCCAAATAAAAATAACGCTGCAAAACACCATACAGTGCTGTATTACGGCTTCAGAGTGACAAAATAGCAGTACGGTATTCCTATTCTTCAAATTCAAGTATTCATATTCTGTGGACGCGATACTTCTTTGTCGGGATGGCGACCCAGCCAGCATAATTTTGGTTTCAATCATCTAGAATCCTACACGTGTTCGACTTTGAATCCATGACCATCCACCAGCGGTTGTCACCATTAAACATGCCAGCCAAGGCAATGTTCCAGGGTGTGGCACTGCAGTTGCAAAAGCTGCTACTTAAAGCCACTATATGGCAAACTGACTCAATCGTCAGGACAAACTGCAAGGAAACCACCCTTGCAGATGTTTATGTTGGTTATGAAAATTTTCCTATCTTTTAAGCTCACCAAATCAATATTCTGCGCTTATGTGCATGTGTCACTCACTACCTCAAGACATTGTATCGGAATATAGCAAAAACAACAATTATACTGTAACTCCTTAGGGGCCGTCCATAAATGACGTCACGCACCTAGGGGGGGGGGGTCAGACATTTGTGACGAGACGATGTGTGACGAGGGGGGGGATGAGAAATGTGACGTCACATCAAAATGCGATTTGAAGCATGTTATATTTTTTGCGGGGGGGGGGGGCGCAGAGCTTTGTGACGTCATATTTCAGGGGGGGGGGGGTCTAAATTTTTGTGACGCCGTGTGACGAGGGGGGGGGGTCAAAAATCGTCCATCACATGACGTCATTTATGGACGAGCTCTTATACAATGTGGTCGTTTTGGGTGGTCAAAGGTATCGTGAAAATAAATTGAAAGGGTTACTAAGAGATGCTGCAAGGGTTGGCGAAAATAATGGAAGAGGCAGGGATGAGATGCGGAGACTTGAGAAGAGGAACTGGAGAAATGTTGGAAAGTACGAGTAAAGTTAACCAAGTGATGTTTTGGCAGACAACTGGCAATCGTGTGAAAACCACATAGGAATCCCTGATGACATACAGTACTCGAATTTAACCAACTCTGTATATCATGCTAAACCAACCGTTCCATGCATTTGCAATACAGTCGTTAAAAACTATTGTTAAAAAATTAACCCGTAAAAACTAAGTTTTTCACTATAAATCCTTTATATGCGTGGCATCGGTTTTATTTTATTATTCATTTCTGTTTTTCTTGAGTAAGAGTTTCATTTTTATCACATTGGTATTTTAAATTAAATATGTAAAAACAAATGTCCTTAAAAGTGGAAAATTTTGGAGAAAAAAATTTCACCAAAATAAATTGTCACGCACAACGAGTCTGTGTGCAAAATGTCAGCTCGATTGGATCACGGGAAGTGGGTTAAAAAACGAAGCGCGCAAGCAAGCAAGTGAACTTAATATAAAGGATTTAAAAAACGGCACATACCCGTGTACGTCGTGGTCGCTTCTGTCAGGGTGCAGCGACTGCGTTAAATCACTGCTGACAGCCTCCATATCTGTGGATTAATGACAATTACATATTCTTCAAATGTTTACCAGCAACAGAACAAAACACATTGCACTAGCTGTACTAAATTGTTTCCAGCGGCACTCATGAGTGTCTCCAACCTCCGATAAAAGTGGCGCGATGCTCACCTCTTGCCTCGATCCCGAGTCATTTTGGAAATTCCACATTCCCGCGGCCGGGGCCACTGTCTCCGTTAGAAAAGCCGTTAAGTTTATGGATCCTGTTCGGATGCTAACGATGTTAACCAGAGCACTGCACTCTACAATAAGTACATTGTCTCGTTTGAAAGGACAGCAACCGCACCAACACAACTGATTGCAAGAGTTGTGCCAAAAAGTATCGGTTACATTAATAACGATTGCATTTGTTTTAAATGTCACTCAACAATGCACCCCAGCACTGGCCACCGTCTCTCTGCTCTGTCTGTCGCCTGATGAAGCTAGTTGTAATTACTGGCGAAACGTCGTACTCAGATTGTAAATGTTGTGGCTTTGCTCTCCAACACACCTGTGTGCTGTACTAGTAACCAATTGCCATGTTCTATTTACGTGACAACCCTTACTAATTGGCTGTGTCGGGTGGTGGCGGGTATAAGGACACTGATATAATTTACGCGATCTAACCCAAAACAAACCTGTATTATTGATGATATTGGTCGCGAAAGCCTGCTACGTGTTACACCGGCGTCGTTGACCGTTTGGGCTATCGTCGCTTATACCATGCACCACTGCCAACGCAGTATCATCAAACAAACACAATGAAAGCAAACAAACAAATGTTCATCAATCACAAAACTACGACAACACGGTGGCGTAAGCTCCTTTTCCTTGCGTTGCCACGGCAATGGGAGACGCCGCAGCGCCCGGGGGGTGACGGGCGATGCCAAATAAGAAGCGCGGCAACCTAAGCGGGAACACGCGGAGCACCGGGTGTGCGCTGCGGCGTCCTCTTAATTAATCACCTTCTCACGGACTATCTCTCTCTCTCTAATCTCTCTTCTCGAGGTCGCGCAGGGAAGTTGACAGGGTGAGGGGACAGACAGCCACGCGGAGCACCGGGTGTGCGTTGCGGCGTCCTCTTAATCCATCACCTTCTTCTCACGGATTCTCTCTCTTCTCTCTATTATCTCTTCTCGAGGTCGCACAGGGAAGTTGTCAGGTTGAGGAGACGGACAGGCGCCGGTCTTCTTCACCACCACCCCCCTCAGCTGTTCTCTTCACCGCCAGCAGTCGACGGAGCGCACGCTTGAATCGGACGCCATTTTCTCCCGTTGGCTGTAATCGCCACTTCCGGCAGCGCGCTGATTGGCCGGTGGAATGAGCGACGCGTGCTGATTGGCCGGTGGGATGAGTGACGCACACGGTGGGGGGGGGGGGCGTCACGCGGAATCCCACCCCGCCCCCCACGCAAACAGCTGTTCTACATTCTGTGCTGCAGGAGGAATCCGATGAGCCATGAAGCTCTTTTTTGCAGACGTCGAGTAAAGGGGGGCGGGTCAGAGCGTTACAAAGACAAACAATAAAAAAAATCACGATAGGAGTGCAAAGAATAAGAAATGTAAATAAATAACTTAACAAAAACATACAAAACTATGCCATAAAAATATGAATTCCTGCAGTCACGAAAGCTTTAAGTCAATATTTATGCTATTTTGTTTTTATCTTTCGAGGTAAGGCCCACTGAGATGTTTGCTTCTTTTTTAGAAGCGACCTGGCCACAGATGATAGCTCAACTCGACATATTTGTTATTAACATTGTGGCCTTAAAAGGAAAACAATTAAACGTTATTCATATATGAATAGAGATATTCAGGCCCCTTCGCTGCAAAGGGCAGTCTCTAAGGGGCCGTCTATAAATGACGCCACGCAATTTTGGACGATTTTGACCCCCCCACCCCCCCTCGTCACGCAGCGTCACAAAAAGTCAGACCCCCCTCAAATATGACATCACAAAGCTCTGCCCCCCCCCCCAAAAACTATATTTCCATTTTGAAAATAAAACATGCTTCAAATCGCTTTAAACTATTGTCATTGTAGTGCGTATTTAATGTGGCGCTGCACTCTGATGTTGTAGGAGAAACATTTAATAAAAAGGCTATTTAAATAAGTAGAACGTGTTGTCTATATTTATTTAAAGTTGCGTGACGTTATTTATGGACGGCCCCTTATTGACAAATCTGTTGAGTTTTGTTATTTGTGCTTGTGTACCGCTGGTTACACAGTATGGTACCATCAAATCATGTGTTTCTCATTGAAATACTGCAGTGGGGAGTGGTGGTGCAGCGGTTAGCGCACTATCTTCTAGAGCTCCCTAGAATGGCATGGGCCCCCACCCTTCACCAACCTGCATTGACCGGCGTGGTGAAGTATGGTCAAACAACCCTCATGACCAACATCGTTCAGTAGGCCCTCATCCAGTCGTAGATTAACACAGAGGCTGTACACGTTCAGTGACCAACAGAGTGAGTTTATTCGCTGGGGTGTTTTTCTTGCTTTAAGAGGATTGATTCCCTTCTGTTTTTAACTATCACCACTCGTAGGTTTCCCAAGTGAGCAATGTGAGGACTAACGTTGAAAAATCTGCTGAAAAGCTAAATTTGACATGTCAACCAACAGCCTTTCACTTTCTTTGACAGACCGTTAAAGCCCCCATTACTCACTTTTCTGAGCTCTATTTAACACGAACTCTCACCTCCCATAATATTTTACTGCAATCAATAGAACCCCATAGCGTTATAGTGCCTTTTATGTCCTTTGTGGCAATAACCCTAATCCCAAACTTCGTGTGAATGTTATCCACTTTTTTACGCGAACCACATCAAATTTATTGTATTTTTTACATGAGGCCACCAGTACAATCTTCATTGTGTCGGCCAGAATTTGATACGTTATTGTATGTGCTCACAATTTGACGAGCCAATTTGACATCACGGTTTTGCCAATAAGTTTGTGAAACCAACATGAGTTCTCTTTTCAGGGCACTCGTGGCGAGACAAGGTTAGTACTGGATTGTAACTCAACATTTTATCATCGATCTCGTACTGGCATCGGTAAGTTCCAGCTTACCTTGCCCATGCTCAACCTGATGCTCACGGATCGCGGACTCGATGATGGGGACCATGCCAGGATACCTGGCGAGGGGCGATGGATCATGAAACCTGAAGGAGCATTCTAAACGGGCCCATTGACGGCTTAATAACGACGAATATTTAAAGGAGATTGTACACCCAATTATTAACTGCAGTAATTAACAACTATGATGAAATTATCATTAAATTCCACATTATTAACGGAGATATACGTAGGGTATTGTAAGTAATTGGAGACAAATGGTGGCATTGCTGAGGGTCTGAAAATTAGTGTGGCATTGAAAATAACTACGCAGAATACCTATGCATTGATTTCATAAATGTAAGAAATTGTGATGCTCCTCAATTAATGTACCGTACTTCATGACAGAGCAGCTTCAGTATTACAACAGGGACAAAGTGGACACATAAAATAGCCTCATATTGCTTTCACATGGTTTGGAAATTACCCTCACTTGGAATGGGGTTCTGTGATTTCATCTTCTTTCCCCGGAGGTAATGTTTAAAAAGAGCTTAGGTTTTATGAATTGTTAGAATTTATAGAGATATTGACTTTAATCTTTGACATCGGAAAGAAATGACCCTGAGAGTTGAACCCTCGCTTCACATATAGAGACCACATCACAACTCGGTGCTGATGTTTGCAATGACACAGCTGACTGCTTGTTGGGTTATGCAGGATACCTGGATATTATCCATCATTGTATACTTGTAATCATTATCATCAGCCAAGATGAAGCCACCACTGGGCTGGACGAATGCATCCGCAAGCTGCCACCATCTCTCACAATCCTGCGATGTGCTAATCCACCTCGCACTCGTGCACGATCTGATTTCTACGCTCCATCTTCTTGGTTGACGTTTTCTGGGACAGATTATATTCGTTGTCTGCCACTCCATCACTATTCTTCACCACTGATCATCAAGCCCATTTGTTTATTGATGGAGAATGCGTGTGCACGTGTCCGTGACTGTGTGTGGTAGTGTAAGCGGTCAGTGGTCTGCTCTACGAATTTTGGCAACCTGAGTTCGATTCCCGCTCACGACCAACACCTCCCCTAGGTTGACTCAGCCTCAAATGAGTACCTGGTGCATTGTGTAAGCATCGCCATTCTACCATACATTGAAATAACTTTTAATGAACAGTATTTAACCAATTCGAACTGTTTTTGTAAAAAAACGTTTATGTAATACTTTAATATAGTGCTGTATAAATACAATATTGTATAGATATACACCGTTAACACGATACACTAGCATCCTGAATGTAGGGGAGAATTATATTCAGTAACATTGCTACAAAATTACAAAGATGAAAATATTTGTATTTTCATATGTACTGTATTGTATTGCAGGAAAGTAGGAAGTACGACAACCTTGAGTCGATTCTAATGTAGTCATCCATGACTAATTCTATAATGAAAATTAAATCCATTAAATGGTCAGCTAAATGGGAAAATTATTAATTACTTCTGAATTGATTATGAAGCAACACAGGCTGAAAATAATTTCAGAATTTTAACCAGTTCTGTACGTTCGTTTATTTGCATCTTAAATCTATCAAAAAGCAATGTTTGGCACTGACAAACATAGATGGCCTCCCCCCTCCACATACTCATTCCCCATTGGCTCTAACTTGGGATGGGCAAAAAAAAAAACATTGATACATCGGTGACACTAATGTTTTGCCTCCGATGTATATGAATGTTTTGATCCTTCAACAACAGCCTCGTGACACTGTATTTTTCCTATGAAATTATTATTAATTTGTTTTCCGATTTCTCATGGAAAGTAACGTATTGGGTGTTTTATTTATCGTTGCTCCTGAATCACAGCCCTCTCACGTTTTATTACATGGGGGACTCGAATGACCCAGGCTCCAATAACCCTAAAACTTCATGTAATTCGGGGATTACACGGAGTTTGCTGTACCTCTCGATATCGGCGGAGACCATTGATCTTAAAATCCGCGGATTTATGGATCTCTTTGGCGAATTCTTGCAGTAATCATGAGCGTACGGCGCCGGCGCGAAATATCGCGAATTATGGAATCAATGTCCGCGGTGCGCGCGAATTTAAGCTATTTTGTAACCCATTGTTTCCTCTAAACAATAAACAACGCCTTTGAATATTCACTTTTTTTTTAAGTCGAACCTAAAAAAAAAATCTATTTTTTTCGATAATGGATATCGATTTTCTTTTTTACTTTACATATATCCCACCATTAACGATTTTAGTAGCAATTCACGAATATTCACATGTAATGCATTTAAAAAACTGCATATCTGTCAACCCATACGTTTTACACGTATAGTTGTTGTACAGGAAAATTTAGTTTTCAGGTCCACATGGCGTACAGCCTTTTCAAAACGGGCAAAAAAAATGTGTTTATCTATTTGTTTGTGTTTCTCCCTCGATATGGGACGTTGTAGGATGAACGTTGATATTTATTAGGGCACAGGGTGACCAATAAGATCTGAATTGGTCTGTAATAAGAAGGCTGTCATAAAGGGTTTTATAGGTATGCCTTGAACTGTAAAAAATAAGACAACTAAATGGCTGTTGCTGCTGCTGCTGTAGTAAACATTTATTATTTAGAATTCCTAAAAGCTGAGAAGCATTCATGTTTTTTACAATAAGTTTGCCTGCACGTTCTCAATCTTAATTTTCAAAGTCTCGATTCAAAAACAATCTCTCTTTGACCGCTCTCGGCCGCCGTAACCCATTCCAGATCGTTACGGGTGAGCGCATCTCATCGTGCGCGGTGGGGGGGGGGGGACGAGGTCAGAACAATTCATTTTTAAAAAATCCACCACTCGTTGCGTCGTACGCCCATTAACCAAACATCACAATAACTACGTAGCGCTACGTTATTTAAATTAAATGTCGTGTGTTCACAAATTTAAAATATAATTGTACTGTTGGTGACAATGGGTTACCGACCACGAACACCATCAAATTCATCTTCTCCTCACCCTCCCCCAACGTCGGGCGCGCAGTTGGATTCGCCCAAAGCGAGGCTCCGCGGCGTAAAGGCGCGCATTGTTAATGCCTCTTAATCAATTATAAACAACAAACATCAACAACAACAAACGCAAACAGCACAACCCCCCCCCCCCCCAGCCTTCGTCTATGCTCTAACCATGGCCCGAACGTTTCAGCCGGGTGACTTGGTTTTCGCTAAGATGAAGGGCTACCCGCACTGGCCTGCCAGGGTAAGAGCGCTGTGGCCGCCAAAACCACCACCACCACCACCCCCTTCTCCGGTCCTTTTGCGCCGTCTGTCGATTCTCCGTGGCGTTAAGGGAAGCTTAAGAATATGATGGTCGCATGGGTAAGGGGAGGGGGGCGTAAAGTTAGTCATCCTGCTGCCTGCGTGCATGCAAACGCCCGCTGCTCGTGGTGGTCGAGGCAGATCGGCTTTAAAAGTTGTCCGCGGCCTGGCGCGGGCTTTTTCGTCCGGGGCCCGGCTCGGTACGCGATGGTTTTGCACGGATGTTTTTTATTTTATTCATCGTTTGCACATGCATTGCAGCTACGGTGCAAAGCTCGTGCATTTTGAACCGATGTGCAATGATGCTTTTTGCACGTGAAATGTACGGGGAAAGGCTCACACACTGCCAGGGGACGTATTTTTAATAACGTGGCCGTAGCGGAAAATGTCATGCGCTGATGATTTATGTGCGGCTACATAAATCTGAATTCGGTTACAGGCAAACGTCATGCATTTTAATTGATGCGCACGAATTGCGTTTATACCTGAAAGCAGGTACGGACAAACCTCATGGCAGGGGGGCATCTGTAACAGCTGTAAAGGCAAACCTCGTGCGCTGGTGCGGTGATGAATTTGCATGAATCTGAATAGTTACAGGCTTTTTGCACCGACGTGTTCGTATCGTTGCTTCTAAATACCGCTGCGGGAAAACTTATTTTTGCAATGACATTAGATACATGTATACACAAACATCGTGTATTGGCCATTGTGTTTTGTTGCTATAAAAAAGGGGGAAATCTATTCTCAATTGTGTACATGTTTTGTACCCGAGTGCAAGTACAGACAAAACTTGTTTCCATTTATTACAGGAAGCATCTTAATACTGCACATGCAAAACCGCACGTGTTTGGTGCCAAGGGTCCTTTCTGAATCTTGGAAAACTTATATCTGCATAAATGTCGCAAGCCCTTTATCAATTTTGTAACAGCCAACTTGAAACTATATTCAAATTAATATGAATTCAAATATAGTTTGCATGTTTGTGTGCATGTAGGCTTAAAATGGTAATTATTTTACTCAGGATATTGCAAATTTTAAATTAGTGCATCCGTTTGTCAGTTAAACTTCCAATTCCCTCCCTCACCATGATGCATACATATAATCCAACGGCGAATCACAGATATATGGAACTCCCAATACTACTGGGCTGCAATGTGATCAGGAGATAACACAGCTATTGGCTTATGAACCTCGTACTCAAAACATTCCTTAAAATTGATGTCTATAATCATCATAGGGCAGGATCCTTTGGAAAATATTGTGCTGAGATTCAGTGATACTTTCCTGGATAAAATACATTAATTATGGTGATATACATTCCCACTGGCGTTATGCATGGAGCCCAATTTCTATATTGATTGCATTATACAGTATAAACAAAACGCACAAGGTCCACCAAAATATAAAATGATACAATAGTGTGTATAAACAAAACGCACAAGGTCCACCAAAATATAAAATGATGCAATAGTGTCTGGTAAATGTGCAATTTGATTTTACAGATTGTGACTTGAGACTGCATTCATTGCAGCACATGCGTACAGTGTTGCACATTAACAGCTCAGTAAGTATTGCACATGCACAACACAGTGGCTTTATCTCCTTAAAACAACACACCGTATTTTCACTTGAATTGTGTGGTGTGTGCAGATCGACGAACTTTCCGATGGAGCCGTAAAACCGCCAAACAAATATCCCATATTTTTCTTTGGCACCCATGAAACGTAAGCCAAAACACCATTGTGTTAATCATATACAGTAAACTACTCTATATTATAATTCACATAGTAAATAAATACACCGTATATATGCTGCATATATGTGTACAACAGATACATTTTTGTGTTGCTATCATTGTAAAATAAGTTGCTTCCTTACTGACTGTAAGGGATTTAATTTCTGGCCACGGTGTACAAGTCAATAACTTATTGCATATGTTTCATTAGTGCCTTCATCAACGCAAAAGATATCTTTCCATACAAAGAATACAAGGACAAGTTTGGAAAGCCAGGGAAGAGGAAAGGATTCAACGAAGGACTATGGGAAATAGAAAACAATCCCACAGTAAAGTTCAGAGGAAATGAAGTAAGTGATTACTTGGGATGAAAGTTCCTTGGAATAAATGCAAGCAATATTTAAATACAGCAGAGGGGGCCAGAGGACGTAACATCAAGCACAATGTTTTGCTCTTTGCTCTCATGGATGTAAATGCACTTTTAAAAAATGTTTTCTCCTGCTTTTGTGTGTTTTTTTGTTTAATTGTGCACTGATTCTTTGCATTAGGAGCAGTCGGGCTCTTCTGAAACGGAGCAGGATCAGAAGGGCGAGAAGGTGGAGGAGAGCAGTGATGAGGAGGGCAAGTTGATCATTGATGAGCATGGGAAGGAGAAAGAGAAGGAAAAGGAGAAGGAAAAAGACAAAGATAAGGAGAAAGATAAAGGAAACAAGCTTGCTGTAAAACGGAAGAAGTCTCCAAATGAAGAGGTTTTTATTTTAAGTTGATGTTACTTTCCAGATACAGATTAGCTTTAGGTTTTTATTGATGCACAAATTAATGGATTGTGTTTTTTTTATTGAAGTGTTTAATCCTGAAGATGTTAGTTTTAATAAACTTAAAATGTATATAGTTATTTTGACCATTATAGTTATATTTATGTAAATTACATCACTTGCGATATTGATCATTAACAGTGTACAAAACTAGCACACTTTCCACATAGACACCAATAAGGTTGATTACCGGCCTTCACAGTCTGGTCACAGTAAATGAAATTAGCTGCTTAGTCGTGTAAAAACTCAACAATTACGATTTTATTTCTTGTATTTCATGTTCTCTTACTGCTTGCATAGGAAGGCTGTATCTTAATTAAATTGCTTTTAAGATTTAAAAAAATCCAATTATACATTGTTACAATTAATTAGTTGGTATAACTATCAGGCTAAGTTGACACTTTTACATTCGTTACCAGGCTCATAAGTAACAACTTTTTCCTGGCCCTATATGTAGTTAATATTTTGATCTGTAAGCTTAGCATTCCATCCTGCTTTACGAGCAGTTGAATGTATCTGCTATTAAGATTTAAGGAAAAACTTTACTAACAAAGGTATGAAAAAGGAAATCACATAGCTTGTCTTGTTACAACTATGATCACGCATTTAAAATTAAGCTAAATAAAATGTATGTTATATATATTTTTTCTCAAGTCAGGGAAGCGGACAAGGTCAGATGACCAGGAAAATAAAGAGGATCAAGACAGTAATTCGGAGCACGAGCAAAACACGGAGCAGGTTGCAAACTCTCCAGAAAAGCCCAGCGATGAGGTGACCTGTTACGATAAAAAAATCATTGGGATGCTTTGAAGGACACCTCAATAACATTGGATTTGCAATCATCATGCCTCATGTATTTTTCTTACTATGTAAGAACATGACCATAATTTCCATGGCATATTTTTATATCAAATGTGTTTGCATAACAAAAAGTTTAATATTGCATAGTCCATTGTAATTGTTTTAAATATAACCAACAACTGATGGCATATACAGAGTATTCAAATATGCTGAACACTCATTCAACTTGTTTTCCTTTTTTTCTTTTCAGACTTAATTCTGTCAACCAGAAGTCAAATTATACATTAATTATTCTGGTATGCCACCTTCAAGTGAACATTTCCTTTGTGCACCAGTATGCCAATTTTAAACTGCTTATGTATTGTCCAGAATCATGTGGTATTATCTCACTGAATACCAGTTTTCAGTGTTTTACTGTGCTTTGTTTTGTATTACCTTAGGCTTTGCTGGTTTGCGTTGTAATAGCTCTTTTGTGTTGCATATCTAAATTGCCTTTCAATGTATATGTAATGCATATTAGTTGTGAAAATATAGTTTTACTTTTGATCTGCTTTATAAATGTTTCAAAACAAGTTTTCTATCCATGTCTGTGTATTTGCAAATAAATGTAGTGTAGAAAATGCATCTAAAAAACATAATGTAAAAGTTTTATAACAGATTTTTGTTGCAAATGACGTGGGTTTTTACAAACAATACACTTAAAATGTACAGCAAAGTCATGTTCTGATGAGTGTTACATTTTATTTTAATTGGTATAATTGCAGTTAAACACTTAAATTCCTGTGGTTTTGTTAGTGTCCTAAATTCGGATAGACTGAGAATCTGATGTGATGTGATTTGTTGTATTATGTGACTGCACATATTCCAGGGGATTGGAATTGATTTTATGACTGCGTATTTCTTTTATGAGTCTGTTTACTTTATCCCCATTCATTCATGTAGTGTTACCACTTTTGTTAATGTAATTTCTCTTTAAATAAAGTGTACACTGTACTCTGAAAGCTTCATTATGCAGTTTATCTGCCGTAGCTAAGTGTTAAAGTAGTTATAAATCACACTTCATACGAATAAATTGTGTGTGTGTGGGTGCATAACAATGATGTACAATGATACGAAAATGTATGTGTAACACACGATAATGTGAAAAGACCACAAATGGGGACCAGCGCCCAAACATGTTTGAGATTGTGAAAATGTGGTTAAAATTTAAAGATAAGCTCCCAAAATTACTCTGGTTTGTCAAAAAAGTGTATTAAAACATGCTACAGTATAGACAACATGAATGGGTGAAATTGGGGAAAGCAGCGAATGGCACAAACGAAAATGTAAATTACAGCAAATTGTGATGTATAAACATTATCTTCCTTTTCACTGGACTATGCCTCAGTTTTTCAATTTGCATAGTACATTTGTGGCATACGTGTAAGTTGTGTAGCTGTTAGGCTCTCAAAATATTTTCAACAAGGGTATACAATTGAAATGTATGATAGGGACCACCGCAACGTATAACATCTGACTTGGGTTTCACTTGAAAATATAAAAAATGTAGGGAACAATATTTCCCTTAAGTAACATTTCTTTACAAAAAAATATGCCATGTTATAATTAAGGTTCAATTACATGTAGTTTTCTCCCACCTGACCGTGTTATGTTTACCAAGTGTCTATCATCCCAAATCAAGTTGTAGACGTATAACTTCGTGTCAGAGGAACACAAACAATAACGGTATTTTCTTTAGTACTCCGGTTTTATCCGCAGTAGTTCAGCGCGACAGGATATATGCACACATCCTGTCTTTAAAAAAAAAATACATCCATGGAGTTTAAAGCAGTGCCAATACTTTGTATAAGTTGACCAAAACAAGTGGCCGCTATACACAGAACAACCGCGTGTAAAACGAATTCGCACGGTAATTAAAGTTTTGAGCGAATTTACACAACTGAAGCTGAAGAAGGATTTATTGGGTTTTTGTTTTTAAAAGCGGTGCATTCTTCTTTTACACGTCTGGCTGCTGGTGGGCAGCATTCAAAACACGACGTTCCCCCGTCCTCGCCTGCTTCGTTTTGCTTCCGCAGGCCACAAAACCCAGCCCCCTTTTTGCCAAGACCGGATTTGGTTAATCTTTCCCACCCCCAGAAAAGCGAGAGACACAAAAAACCTTTTCAGCCAAGAAAAACTGCATTTTTCAGTAACAGCTGCCGGGTGCTGGCATTACTTCTGGTTTATAACGTAAGTGTTTAACGTTTTATTAAGACACACACACACATTGCATCCCTTTGGGGCAGGGTTATCTTACAACGAGTTCACGCACAGGGCACTTGCATGGCCCTTCCCTCCCTAAAGGGAACTTGTGAGCATTTCGGGCACCGAAACGTTTATGTATAACGAAATGTAACCGTGCTATACATATATATCCTCAGAACAAGCATAATGGCTATGAAAACTACTAGGTTCAGGCCAACAGGAGTGGGCAGAGCGCAAGCATTGGACAGAAAGGTGAGTGTAAAAGTTGAGTTTTGGAAGCTTAGATAATGTAAAGATCCTCTCTAAATGCATGTTACTGTATAGTCTAAACTCTCCGCCGAATGCGTTGACTTAATTGTATGGTTCCGTATTTGGTACATTTTTGTGAAGACCAGAGTATAGTTGAGTAGTACCATCGAATTATGTTTAAAATGTTATTCGTTTAGGGTGACGGTGCACGGTTTCTTTAAAATGTAAACCGTAAGGCGACATCAAGTTCACTGCTGCATACTGAATGGTTTTAACTTTATATTCTTTGGTTCTCTTTGTAAAGTCACGTAGATAGGTACAAATTAATAAAGATAAAATAAACAAAACTACGACGTTTCGATCACAACACAAGCGAACGTCATCGCTTGTGTTGTGATCGAAACGTAGTTTTTTGTTTATTTTATCTTTATTATTTTCATTAATTTGTACCTATCTACGTGACTTTACCGAAAGACTCAAAAAATTTGAATTCCTGCAGTCACGAAAGGTTTAAGCCAATGTTTTAACTTTATATTGCTTCAGCTTGGGAGAAGCAGCGTGTCTTTGTTTATGTTTCAAGAGCAACGTACGACTACTTGGTATTTAAATGATGTTGCTGTGAGACTCCTAGAGCACGTAAGGTCCTTTCATGTAGGATGTTGATCTATTGTCTTGGTATTCTCTTCGCAATAATGACTCGATTTTAGTCCAGTTGGGGCCAACTTAACCTTCTGGAATAGATACATCGGAAGTCAACGGTGGCATTCAGGCAGCAACTCACATTAAAGAGCACCTTGACCATGTGCTTTTAAAGTTCTGTATACTGCTTCGAGAAAACATTAAACTAACATCAAATTCCAGGTGACAGTGTTTGCATCGGTGGTGAACATCCCATATCTGAATGTGTTCTCGGCTGTACTTATTTTAAATACTGTTCTTACTGAGTGGAGTTGATATTCTAGTTACTGTCTGTACTTTATTAAGTGCAGTGTGGATATATTAGCCTTAAGTAATGCAGTGTGCTCTAGAACAGAGTACTGTCATGTCATTATGTTGCAGGATAATGCAGTACTGTATAGACGAAGTGTGCACTTCATGGCTTATTTGACTGCCATCTAGCGGGTAATGACAGTATTGTGCTCTAGATTTGAAGCTTTTGTGACTGCAAGGATTCATACTCTTAGTCACGTAGGTAAAAAAATGAAAACAACTAAATTAAATCATGATGACGGACGCTTGTGTTGCGCCCGAAACGTCGTGATTTAATTTAGTTTTCATTTTTAAAAAAATTATCTACGTGACTTTACCGAAAAAACCAGACAGTATTGTGCTCTATAACAAAAGTACGACTGATGATTCTGAGCACATACGTACATCAACAAACACTTGTATCAGTAACTTAAAACTTTCGTTGACTGAAGGAATTAATATTCTTTGGTTCTTTCGGTAAAGTCACGGAGATGATGACGACCGCTTGTGTTGCGATCGAAACGTCGTGAGATTTTTTGGTTTCAATGAAATTTTGTATTTTTTATTTAATTTTCCCCATCTACGTGACTTTACCGAAATAACCAAAGAATAATTATATCAGTGACTGAAATGTAAACACTAAACATACATCCTGACTTATACTCCTTAAATACACTGACATCAGTGTGACATTAAATTTTACAGAACACGAGTTCAGATCGTACAACTATGAAAAAACACATTAAAAAGCCTTTTTAACATTTCAATATCTCGCGTCTCAAGTCCCATGTAATGTGGTAATGTGTACAGCTTTCTTAACGATGACTGGAAATTATGAGTCGAAATGCCAAGCAGATGAGAAAGATCACTGATGCGTATATAATTATCAAGAGACGATTGAAATTGTTGCACTATCTACACTAGTAGTATTACGTATAATAAAAGTGAACCCTTTTAATCATCAACTCCCTACTCTAGTATTAAAATGCTATGGCGTGTTGCTTTTTCTTCACTCTTTTTTTGCCCACGGATGAAGAATTCACAAGGAAGCAGCGAATCTTCATTCGATGTCAGCAGTTCATGTGAGTGGCACACTCTTTCATGTTCCCAGAATTACACTACATAAGGTGGACACCACACACTACCCAAGTGACAGTTACTCTTGGTATAATCATTGTTTTAAAGCTTAATGATTTTTAATAAAATCTATCACACTGATGTTGCTGTTTTAATCCATCCGTAAAGGTTCAACACTAGATTTTGATTCCATTGCATTGTTATTCAGCGTAAAAGGGCCACCGGTGTTAAGCGTCGACAAAAGAGTCATCATTTATTCGTGTAAGAATTACAGTATACTACTGTTTTTGGTACAGTACTCGAAATATAAAATGTAGTAATCATATACAGCATGGATACGCTGTACATGTGATAAATGTCCATTGTTTGCCAGATAAATTAAAACGTCAATTTAACCTAGACTCAATGATGCAAAAGTCTAAAGCATAACCACCCTTTTCTTGTGGCAGATTTTGAACCAGCAAGGAAGTACTACTTATTTATTTACTCCCTGATGCAGTTCCTCGGACATTCTTGGGTATTTGTCAACATGACCGTCCGCATGCTTCATTTTGGAGAAGGTACGGATAGAAATAAATCACAGTGTACATATTGTTTTATTTACAACTCGGAATATACTACTTTTGAAAAAAATGTCCATAACCGTTATTAATTGGAGTCTATTTTACTCTGCAGACTCAATGATAGATACTTTTTATGCAATCGGCGAAGTGATGAGTTACTGTCAAGCTTTGTCGCTTCTGGAGGTAATCAATTCGCTACTGGGCCTCTCGAAAAGTGCTCTCATCCCCACGATATTACAGGTGAGATAGAGACACAATACTCTTACAATATGCATTTGGAGTACTGTAGCTGAATGACCCAGATATTTGTTTCTTTTATTTCTATGACGTGAGCAAGACATTTCAGGGCTGCACTTGTATTTGACCATGCAGTACTTCACTGCATGGTCAGTGCGGGTTGGTGAGGATGGGGGGAGTCACCATTATCATCACGATCCATGGAGAGATAGCCCGTAGGTGTGCACTGCACATTTCGTCATTTATGTCCACGTTCGTCTTTCTTGTGCCAGTATTCTCAAGTAGTCCGCATCTTTATGGCACCAATCTCTTATCTTGCCAAGCCATTCTCTGTGAGGTCTTCCTCTCTTTCCAGTTCCTTCAATTTCAACAACACACTTTTGATGTTCCTGTTGTTGTCCATCCTACATATGTGTCCAACTAGTACCAGTTTCTATGTCATCACTGCCTGCATCAGGTCTTCTATATGAAACATTTTTCTTACTTCTACGTTGGTCACTCTTTGCTGCCCACAATGCCTACTGTGTACACCTCTTTATTGTGCATGATGGTGGTTCCCCATTTGTGCAATATCCAGACTCAACCGTTGCTTGGCTTCTGTGGTCTGACGGGATCGGGTGCATTCTTGGCGATTTGGTCATAGGATACGATATACTGTATTTCTTGTGTCTTTGGCTTAGGTGCTCAGTAGGAACCTTCTGCTGTTTGTCGTAATCTGGAACCAAGAGGAACTTCAAAACACAGTGGTGGTGTTTGCGGTTTTCTACTTGTGGAGCTCCATTGAAATATTCAGGTGAAAAAGTGCTGAAAACATTGTACACTTTACATTATTGTATACAATGTAGCATTTGGAACTGGTTTATTGCAACGTGTGGCTTGACATCCACATATATTTATTGGGCGAATATGATATGTTGTCATAATTAGGCACTGCTATGTATATAATATAATACAGTAAAGCATCACTTTTCCACTACAGTAATGGTTTTTGGTTTGATATCGACAGTGCTTCCTTAAGTGTGTCCACCTTCAAAATGAGGCCAATCTGTAATGATAACATTTATAGCCACAATGCAACAAAAACGTCACTTGAACTCTTGCAGGAGAGTCAATTCACATAGCCCGAAAATACATGCATCAATGTTCGTGGACTGACGGCCGTTTGTTGCTGGTGTGCATTCCACATCGTGTATGGTTGAGTGTGCATGCAGAACCGGATTGGTATTCACAGTGATGTTTATGGTTTAAAACTAAAGTGAAACTTGAGTCATTGCAAACAAATGTTACTGTGTTTAAGATGTCCTGGACAAAGCCATCGATTCCACCCACACCTCGTCAATCAATGCTTTCTACCCTCGACCAGAATTCACATCTGCTGCGCCGTAGACACTCGACCTCCACTAGATCGTCCCTCCAAACTCAATTAAAACCACATTCAAGTATAAATGTCACCATTTCAGATGGCAAGATATTTACGTAAGAAATGTAGGTATTAATCTTCTCTGAAGAAGTGTAGTACAGTAATGCATTTCGATGGATATGTTTCACGTAGGTACCCGTATTACATGCTTGCCAGCCTGAGCATGGAGTGGGAGCTCCTGACATGGCTTCGCTACTCCTTCTGGCTTCCACTCTGCCCGCTGCTCTTGTTTGCTGAAGGTTTGAGCAAACAGATTGCTTGCAATAAATTCAGTACAGTTTTGCATATTTCCGTATAACGATAACTCCTGAATGGCAGATATAAAAATGTGTCGCAACACAGGTATGGTATCTGGCTCTCATCTTGTTGAAAAATATATCTTCTGAGTTTTCGTTTTAAATCCATTAATACAGGATAGTAGTTGGTCTTATAATTATGGTAAAGTTTTGTGTTTAGGCTTTGTTGCGTTCCCAACAAACGGCTAAATAGTGCACTGAAAGTTGCTGCTAAACTGCTTGTCGGGAAGTAAATTGTACTGGTAGTAACCACCTGGTTCCACCAGCCCACAGGGGATTATTGTGTCCGTCCGTCGTGCATCAAAAATAGGAGGGGTGGGGCTGGGTGGAGAGGGGAGGGTGGGAAGGGGCTGGGTGGGGAGGGTGGGGAGGGTGGGGAGGGGCTGGGTGGGAGGGTGGGGAGGGTGTGGAGGGGCTGGGTGGGGAGGGGCTGGGTGGGGAGGGGGGAGGGTGGGGCTGGGTGGGGGGTGGGAGAGGTGGGGCTGGGTGGGGAGGGGCTGGTCACCCCGTGGTGCCCTTATAAAACTCAACGTTTAACCTACTCACGCCGGCTTGTGCCCGCCCTCACAGTGGGCCACATTTGAGGAATACACCACGCCGCCGTTGACCCTGGCCATTGACCGAGCAACCCAACGTTCCTACCAGCTCCCTCCGCAGGAATGTGTTGGATAGCTACACTTCTTCAAACCCGTTTGACCAGCAAAGCTTAAACGCTTCTGGAGAGCAACACCCTTTTCCTGTATGCCGAAATCCACACAGTGTCTCAGAAAATAGATAGGAAACTTGTTTATGTTGTATACACTAATATTAAGAATTGCTCCACATTTTATAAACTTCCTGTACTTTATTTAAAATGTTCCTTTCAATCCTTACAGGAGGTAAAACTGCAGCCCTGAAATTGCGCACTCGTGCCACTGCTGGCAGTAAGACCTCCAAAAGAGGGAGATCTTGACAGGCTCTCTAGAGGATATTTGGCCCACTATTCCACACTGCCCAGATGTCTTGAAAAAAGTGGGACTGTCTGTGCTGTGAATAATTTTAAATTGGATCTTCGTGTTTTTTCTCTTTACAGTGATTTGCGTCCTGCAGTCCCTTGAACATTTTGAGCACTCGGGAGAGGTTTTCCTGAATCTCCAGGAGCCACTAAACATATCAGCACTGTTTCCTTACGTACTCTACACTTATTTGCTGCTAATATTGCCACTCAGTAAGACTGATAGTTTTTTTTCCTGTTTTGTCATTTACAGCAAACTGCATTTATGCATTCGTGGTTTGCCTCTAATAGGCAAGGATATTGTATAATTGTGTATCATGTTTGTAACTTAATATATGTACATTTTAAATGATGTTCGTCAAAATGTGTATACATTTCAATATTTCTAACTCATATTTCTATTTTCAGGATTTATCGTCAATTCCCATTATCTTTACAAGCAAAGACAGAAGAACTTGGAAATGCTTAAACAAAAGTTCCAGTAACTATACACACATTGCCAAGTGCTTACGTAATTACACCTTTTTTTCTTCAAAATACTGTATAGACCTCAACTTGTGAGGAACCAAAAATTGCGGATCTTGTTATCTGCAAAAGTATCTCTGAATTTACTCCCTTTATCCACGGGAAAAAATTTACAGATAATCGTGGATAATGAGTGATTTTTCACCCAAATTCCATTAGTCAAGAACATTCGTGGACAATAGGAAATAATTCTGCAATGATCTTTGGGATAATTGGAATAATAGGGTCACAAATAAGAGTTTTCACAAACCCTACTGCTGCCACAGATAATAGGAGTTATGGGTAATAGGGTTAAAGTTGAATTAGTTATTTTCACTGTATATAACCTTTTATGAAACACATCACATGATTTAAACTGAAATTGAGAAGTGTTTACTACAGTCATGCAGTTTTACATTGAATAAAAAGTACAGTATTACTGCAATACTTGTAGCCATATCATAGTGAATCTTTAATACGTGTATATTTTTGTTTATCTGCCTATTCACTGCCGTCAATTTGAACAATTGTCACGATATGGGGTCATGACTCATTTCTACTTCTCGTCTGTAAGGTGGTTTTATTTACTTAACTGCATAAAAATCGGTCGTATTTGAATGTATGTATCACCATATGCCTAATCTTTTTATATGGAGCAGTTGTCACATACCAGAACCAATTTTCAACAGCTTTTGACAAAGCATTGCCTTTTTTTCAAATAGTGCCTATTGCATTGAACACAGATTTATATTTGTGCAAAAATCTTACGATTTTTAGTTACCATAGCTGCATTTCGTTGTGTTATAAGGGCTGTATTTTAAATTTGCAGTGCAAACAGCATACAATTAAAACTTCATTTGTAGAAAATGTTATAAGCATATAGCACTGGAATACAGTACTCTTTACATGCTTTACATTAAACACGGATTTGAAGCTTTCGTGACTGCAATGATTCATACTCTTAGGTTTTTTCGGTACGTGACTTTACTGAAAAAACCTAAGAGTATACATTAAACACGGCTTAACAAAATTGCTCTCGAAATTGAAGTTCAAAATATGTAAAGTTAGCATTTCCTGAACTCTTATACCAACTTTGGTCATTGTACAGTGTGAGGTTAGCATTGCAATTGCTGGGTGTGTGGCCATTACAGACAGCTCTTGAGAAGGTAGTGATGGAATACAACAACCCTTATGTCTCTAACTAAACTAAATAAACCAATTTTATTTTACCAGGTAAGGCCCCACTGAGCTATTTGACTGTGATTCAGAAGCGACCTGGTCACAAATGACAGCTCAATGAAGTGGCTTATGTGTACATTTATAGCAGCCAAACACTATAAACGCATGTTGATTCTAAATGCGGAGGGGAAAACCGTTGGACTCGGAGAAAAATCCGCACGACCACGGGGGATAACATGCAAACTCCACATGTACAGGCGTCAGGCTTGGGATCGAACCCACGATCTCTTGTATACCAGACGAGGGAGTGAACATCTCGCCACCAGGGCACCTGTTGACAGCAGAAACCCCAATCACACACCAGTACTTGCACAGGGAGCTTGCACCTTATTGTTTATGCGATGGGTACAGAGTACATACTTGCACGGTATTGGTAGGTTACATTGTTGGTGCTCATTTTGCAGTATTGAAACCGAAATGGCAACGTTCTTTGTGCTCTTATTTTCACGTGGAAATAAAAAAACATGCAGTTTATATCGACAGCAGGTGGTGTTTTGGGTTTTCATTTGTGCTAAAGCAATTGCTACTTTACACGAAATATATTAAGAGCCAGAAAGTGCGCATAACATGACATTTCATCAATGCAACTTTCTTTTTTTTGAGTGTATGTTGAACTTCTATCGCTTGCATTGTACATAGCCGACCGTGCTCATCGGATGTGTTTGAGATTATGCTTATTTAATCCTTATTTTATACCAAGGTAAGAGCATATTAAGCCGAAACGTGTCCCTGTTTACAAAGGACAATGTACATCATGCAACAAAATGTGTAATGTAGTCTGGTGGTAATCATTTTAATGAGGCTGTATGACTAATTACTGTAGATAACCGATGTGCAGGTGCTTTCCTCCTTGAGTAACCATACAACCACCAAATGCGTGTGACTCATAAGGACAAACTTGATGGGTTGCGAGGTGGCCAGATGGCAGAACAGAAAGTGGGTTGTGAACCAACTTTTACAGACCTTTTAAGTGTCCTCTCATATTTCGATGTAAAGCTTTCGTGACTGCAGGGATTCATCTTCTTGGTTCTTTCGGTAAAGTCACGTAGAAGGGAAGTAATAAAATAATAAAAATAAAACATAATAAAATAATATAATATTTTATTATGTTTTATTTTAAAATAATATAATATTTTATTATGTTTTATTTTAATTATTTTATTACTTCCCTTCTACGTGACTTTACCGAAAGAACCAAGAAGATGTCCTCTCATACTTGTGGATTGTCTCTGGGTTTCATTCTACAAATGGAATTGGACAACCATACCAAAGCAGATCCTTCAAAGAGTACATGAGATTACAAATTGACACGAAAACAGGTGCAGTCCTGTATTTGAAAATACAGTACGTACGGCAATATTTTTTTACTCTTATACGTATTTATTCAATAAACCAGTGTCTCACAACTTTCAGGAGGGGGTCCTGTTCCGTTTTCAGTCGAGTGCAAGAATTGCTGTTTCCCCAATTACATGTAAACGTACTTTTTTTCAAATGTCGACACACAGTGGCCTAAGGGACCGTCCATAAATGACGTCACGCACCTAGGGGGGGGGGTGAGAAATGTGACGTCACATTAAAATGCGCAACTTTAAATACATATAGACAACACGTTCTACTTAATTTAATATACTTTTTTATAAATGTTTTTCCTACAACATCAGAGTGCAGCGGCACATTAAATACGCACTACAATGACAATAGTTTAAAGCGATTTGAAGCATGTTTAATATATTTTTTGTGGGGGGGGGGGGGGCAGAGCTTTGTGACGTCATATTTGAGGGGGGGTCTGACTTTGTGACGAGGGGAGGGGGTGTCAAAAATCGTCAAAAATCGCGTGACGTCATTTATGGACGGCCCCTAACTATATTCACATTACATCGCTGGATCTTTAAAATTCCACCGCGAAGCGGACTGCGCATGCACACCGGTTCGTACACCAACAGTATTAACCAGGGAGGCCCACGGGGCTCGCACCGCCCTACCTACCGCCCGCTTGACCCCCCCATGTCAATAACCCCGCATGAATGAATAGGTTGCGAATTGAGATGCAATGCTGGTGATTTATGTAAAACAAAATAAAGTAACCGCTTCAGTGCAATTAAACATAATAAAGTACTGCGATGTGAGATTTAAAAAAAACGTTATAAAATGCGCATTACCGTTGTTGAGAATAATACAGCACTCGTAACTAAGGAGACAATTCGCCCTCGTATGCGGGCTTGTTCGACACAAGCAAAACTCCGGTCCGGCTTTGACCATTCAAGTGTCTCATCAGCATGTTCAGATCACTGTGAAAAGGAGCTTTATTCGCCCATCGGATTCCCCCCACCCACCCCTCAATATAAACAAATATTCAGACTTATTTTGATTTAAAGCGTTCGTGACTGCAGGGATTCATATTCTTGGTTCTTTCGGTAAAGTCACGTAGAAGGGAAATAATAAAAATTTAAATTCTTACGACGTTTCGACTGCAAAACAAGCAACCATCATCAGGTGTGAAATCCACAGCAAGAAAATTTGAAAAAAAATGTGTTTTTTATTTATAAAGATAAAACAATGAAAATTATCACGACGTTTCGACTGCAGCACAAGCAACCATCATCAGGTGTGAAATCCACAGCAAGAAAATTAGTTATTTCAAATTTACAAATATAAAACAATAAAAGTTCTCACGACGTTTCGACTGCAACACAAGCAATCATCATCAGGTGTGAAATCCACAGCAAGAAAATTTGAAAAAAGTTTTTTCTTGCTGTTGTGAGAATTTTTATTGTCTTATATTTGTATTCTTTTATTATTTCCCTTCTACGTGACTTTATCGAAAGAACCAAGAATATTCAGACTTTTGTTTAACTTTATAGCTGTACACGTGAGCGCCTTAAGAGGAGTCGCCTTAAGAAAAGTCGCCTTAAGAGGCCTAGCGCCGTGCGAGGCACAAATCGGCGTAGTAGAGAGAGACACCCACCAAAAAAGCAATCGATAATCCCTTTCAGGTAAGTTACCGCACCAGTGAACGTTATTAATGTTGATTACTTATTTATTGTTTCGTTTACAAAAATAAGCTCTGGCAAAGGGACTCGGATGTCGGGGGGCAAGGGGTTACGAGGGTTGTTGGGTGTCAAAGGTCGGAGCGCCTCCTCTCACGGAAGGGCGAAATGTTCTGCATTGTTTGTGAATTTAATGAAAGGTTATGAAGTCAGCAGTGTTACCTACAACACACGTGTGTGTGTGTATGTGTCCCAAGCCTCCGCTGTGCACTTGGTGACAGAGCGATACACGGTACAGTGCTGGATACTGTACCTCCCCCCTATGAGCACACAGCACGTGTTGGTCGTGGCAGCATTGGCTGGTGGCGTTCGAGGTTATGCTTGAGATTTAACCTATTATTTTCGACCAAGGTAAGAGCGAATTATGCTGGAACATGTGTCCCTGTTTACAAAGGGGGAACTAGGAAGGATATTAAGTCAAGGAGAGCAAGTCTAAGCACGTTGACCGGCTAGAGTACACTGTGCTGTAATGGTCTGTACGAGATGCCCTCCACGGTAACGAAATTAAAATCTACAATATAGTACTGTATTGTGCAGATACATTTTCGCCTTACAAGATACAAAAACATGATTAATATGTACATTACGTGGAGATTGTTACGTCATCTTGGGAATTATGTCACATACCTGTCAACCCCTTATTGCAGAACAATTCAGACCGTATTGGTCACCCCGTGTCCTTATATATATCAACGTTCATCCTACAACGTCCCATCACAAGGGAGAAACACAAACAAATAGACGAAACATGTTTTGCCCGTATTGAAATAGCTGTACACCGTATGGACCTGAAAACTAAATTTCTCTGTACAAGAATACGGGTGAACCGTATGGGTTGACAGGTATGAATTGTCATGGGGTTCATTAACATCCACTTTACAGTTGTAGTTGCCACCTGTCCTGGATTTCCGATGGAATTTTATTTTTGAGGAACCTGTCCTGAGTCTTCCCAGGACATTAGAAGTCCCCAGTTGGTGTCAGTTTAATGATAATACACCAATCAAGACAATACATTTTTGTAGTTTTCTCCATGTTCGGTAATGTCAGAATCTGCTCGTGACGTTTGCACCTTTGGGACTGTTCATTGAAGAATGGGACATGCTCTTGTAACTTTCAAACGGATGATTTATTTTAATGCAAAATGGCCAAAGGGAAAAAGCACTCACCCATTGGTTACCCAGCAAACCTAATGTCTTCCAGTTCTTTCTGTGAGGAAATCGAAATAAAAAAACATTGCAGCCAGTAATCGGAAGAAATGGAAACTGTGTTCCAGATTAAAAGGCCTCGCATTTTCCTTCACTAACTGTTTAATAAATAAACACGATTTTGTACTTGCAGGACGTGCCGTCACAACAAGGATCACTCCAACCACAACGCAGTGCGTGGGATGAAATGTAGTCACTGTGCGTAGTGGTGCACTGATGGTACTACATGAATAGCAAGAAAGCACTTTTATGCTGAAATTGCTGGCCTTAAACTTAAAATGTACTTCTGGCAATTGAGATGGGCTCAGACAGTCCTCAGAAGCATGGGACGCATGCCTTGTGGACCTACAAGCAGCCAGCAACCAAAGAGTGGTACTGTCTTGAACCTGGTGAAGAGATGTGGCTGCTCAAATGCCACGGAACATGTCCACAATTCAACAACACCCTCTGGCCCTGTGGCTGCTGAATTCTGTGGCCGAGATTTATTTTCAAGAACAATATTTTCCAAAAGAGAATTTGGATTAAGCCCAACCATATTTGTCAACTCGATGAACAAAACACATTCACTTTCTGTGCATAGCAGCTGTTGGCCAGAAGTCTCTGTTTCAGCAAGGAAAGGCTGCAGCTTATTAAAATCAACATCATTGGGCCTGTGTGAAAAGTTCAGGAATAGAATACAAAAGTGTGTGGGTTCACAGAATTCTGCTGTGGGCTACCACATGTCAGCTAAGGCATTAAACAGCGATGATGCCAATGTGTTGGATAATAAACATTCAGAAGTTAGAAAAAAGCCACCGTGGCGTGTTCTTTTTTTTGGCTCTGACAATTTTGCATTGGAATCTTTGCAAGCTTTGAAGAGTGCATGGTAAGTTTTTAATTATAAATGTTTCACTTGGAGAACATGCCTCCAATATGTATATTGCATAAACCCAAAAAAAGCTGTCTTAGATTGTAGATGAACATTCATATATATAGGTTGTTCACACATTTGAGTACAATGCTGTTTTAAAATGTTATACGTTTTGTTACATGGTGAATCTTGCTTGTATCTCTGCAATTATGACTTTCTACTTGCATCTTACTCAGGTTATCCCTAAAAGATGTGTTGCATTGAGCCTTAGCCTGGTTATATATATCTTGATTTATTTAAAGGACATTGTGCAGTATATTTTTACAGATGCGTGACTCATCTATGTTGCTTTGTGGGTTTTCAGTAACAGTGGATTGTTGGAGACATTGGAAGTTGTGGCCCTTCCAAAACAAACAATACCGGTACGGAGCCTTGCTTCAGAGCTGGGACTGGTGGTGCATGACTGGCCATATGTACCACCATCTCCATCAATGTCTTTGCCTGGTGGACCAACCAGTGTAGGGTTCCATGTTGGTGTTGTTGTATCTTTTGGCTGTCTTCTCAGTCAGGATCTCATCTCCTCTTTCCCATAGTGAGTACCATTTTGATGTTAACAACAACCTCCTGGTAAATTTATGAATGCTGATTTAATCCTTCACATTTGTGATGTTCTTGTTTTGATGGAGTGATGACATAAGCTCACGTATAGGAGATAATTCGTTTGTGGGGCAGAGGAATGCCAGTATGTGGGGATGCCTTCAACCAACAGTAGCTACATTATTATTCTTAGGTCTCTCTTTCTAGATCTGTGTCTTCGTGGGATTTCAGTCAGCTTTAAGGCATTATTATACTCTAGCATTATTTAGAATAACCTGAACAATTTATAAAGAAAACTTTAAATTTATGAGTGGCCAAAATCCTTACTTGTAGCAACGAGTTGTGGATATTGTGAAACTTAAAGATTTTGTATTTTTTGTCATTATTATTACATTTTCAGCGGAATACTGAATGTTCACCCAAGTCTGCTGCCTCGCTGGAGGGGCTCTTCACCACTTATTCACACGGTGCTGCGTGGAGACACTGTCACTGGCGTCACGGTCATGAAGATCCGCCCACAGAGGTGACACATTGAGCAAATGAACAGCACACACCTTTGTTCTGTCACAACCACCACTTGGCTACCTTCAGTCTTGAGAGTCAAAATTACTTTTATTCATTTCAAATTTTACACGTGTCACAGTGGTGTCATTTACATATCTAGTAATCTTATCTCTCGCTTTAACACAGTATGTGAAGAAGATTTACTATTATGTGTACGTGTTTTTCTTTGGTCAGGTTTGATGTAGGAAATATTTTGCTACAGGAAAAGCATTCTGTCCCACACAGATGCACGGCTGTGGAGTTGCGGCAAATGCTGTCACGTGTCGGAGCAGAGCTGGTCAGATTACACATTCATAATATTTGTGCTTGATATTTGGTTAGCTAATCATATGCTGTAGAGTATTTTGTGGATGTTGATGTATGTCATGTAAAATGGATGGTTGTACTGTTGTGTATTACAGCTCATCAAGACACTGTCTGATCTCCCAGGATACATTGAGAAGAGCACAGAGCAACCTAAAGAGGGATTAACATTGGGTGTGTTGCATTAAATGTCATATTTTAAGCTTTTCAAAACAAGTACTGTATGTCTTTTTAATCCGTATATTTTAATTGCCATGACATGGGTCAGAAACATGAACATTGACAAAGAAAAAGGAACAAAACGATTAAAAGTGTGCATTTAGGCATGGATAAGTACTTGCTTGTTATCAAACTGAGAAATAGAAACACATGGATTAGAGAATATATACAAATTATGAAACATATTGATGGTTCAGAAACATACATGGCCTTGGGCAGAACACATCACTAGAATAGATGATGGCCGGTGGTCGTGACTAACGATGGAATGGAGGACAAAGGAGATAACATTGACAGGACGTACATAGAGTGGTCATGGAGAGATGAAATCAGCTCCTATGCAGGAGCTGGATGGATTGTTCTATTGTGAGACCATGAGGGATGGCTGTGGCTTCAGGAGGTATTTATATAACTGACAGAAATACTTACCTTGTCATTTTGACAAATACTTGCAACAATTTAATCTGTAAATCCCATTGTCCAAGGGGGTCAGTCAGTCTTTGATTCTTGCCAATTCATACTTTTATGAATCACTGCATGTACCTCCGATTAGCATGGTTGGCTATGTACGGTGTGAAAGAAGTTCAACATACATACATGAGACCTCAAGCTTGCTATGAACATTGACCACAGTTTGCCTAATTTTACCTTATAGAGAACAATACTTCTGTTGTCTGTGACAATCTGTGCTCATATTGAGCATAAACATTTCTACAATGCAATCTAACAAAAAAAAACATGTGTTTTGGAGTCATCCTTTGACAAAAGGTATACTATAAATTTTATTTATTGTTAATATTACCATGAGATTCATTTAAATTAATTTCACTCACAGCTCCGAAGGTGAATACGTCCATGTGTTGGGTGAGATGGGACCAACAAACGACAGATTACATTGACAGGCTGTACCGTGCTATTGGGACACAGGTACATTTCTGTCATTACAAAACAAAACTTTAATGCATTTTATTAAACTTTATGTCTTATGAGTATTTTAATATATGTGTGGGTTTTTAATTGTATAAATATTTTATGTGTAAAATTAACCAAGTAAACCTGTCATTGAGCATGAGTGTTTCTTTTAGCTTCCTCTCAGGACACAGTGGATGAGCAGAACAATAAAACTGATGAACATGGTAGACATTGAAGATATGTCAACAAGTCTAGGTATATTTACAAGTTTTGTTTTGCAAAATACATTTAACCTGTTCATAATCCAGTAATGGGAAGGATTAGTTATCTGTTGTCTGGTTGATGGTGAGATTAAGGTACTATGATTTTAGCCTTCAATCTCCGTGACAGCCCCACCATCTGGAACGCCATCACGCTGCACATTTGCGGAATTCAATCTTCACCTATTTTTAAGAGGCACGAAAAGGCCCCCACCTATTTCGCCTGGCCTTTGAGTGACTGTTCATGGCTCCATGCTTCATGGTTATGTCTGAAATATTGTGCACATTACAATTGCATTGTAATTGTTGAAAATGAAGTAAAATGCAATGAACGGTATTTCTTAATGGGTATGGTGGTTATTATCCTGACCTTAAGTTTTATTTATATATATAAAGTGTAGCTGTGATAAAACTGTACAAATGTTTGTATTTATTGTTCTCATATAGCTGTAAATTGCTTTGTATATAAACAGAACTAATTTAAGTAATGATAGTCATATGTCCAGGATGTCTGTTAATGCTTATTATCCTTGTTATATATTCAGATATATTTTAAATTAACATTTCAAATATATATGCATGATTACATGGCTTTAGTTTTGCAGAATCAAAGCTAATTTTATGCAACAAATGGGATTTTCACAATGCCTCATGGAAATTGGGTACATATTGCACCTTAATGGTTTTTGATGTGGTTGCTGAGCTGACAAAAAGTATATTTCCTGCCTCGTTCATGTTTTTTTTCCTTCCAATCTTCATGTGTGCAGCAGCCCAAAAGAGGCCAAATGCACATCCTGGAGATCTATACTTTTGCAAGCACTCCAACATACTGTGTGTGAGGTGTCAGGTATGATTATTCTCTTTGTCCAATTGAAACATTCAATCTTTTAGCAGCTGAGAAAAAAAAGCCACTTGTTGGCAGCAAGTGTTTAAACAAATATAAAGCAATGTTATCTTTATGAAATATCTTTGACAGGTTGGGTCCCATGTGTAAAACTCTGATGTGATGTTCCCATAGGATGGCTGGGTTGGCTTCCGGACACTTGTGCTGAAGAAGAAACTCTCTGCAAGTGACTTCTACAATGGCTACTTGCACTCTTTTTTCCAAGAAGGGCATCACACAGAAAGCACTGTTGGTCAGAGCACACAGCCGGGTGAGGAGCCTGAAGGAGCTGCAAACTGTCCTGGTAGCTTTCATACGCCTCCATCTGTCAAAGGTTGTAATGGCCGCATTGAGAAAAAATCTCATTTTCAAGATTCATAATTCATTATGCTGCTTTGGAATAAAAAATATATTTGGGTTGTTTATCTGAGCGTATATTTTTGTAAATATGTAAAATGATCATGCAAAATATTGATGAAAAATAAAGTATGTTAAAGTACCAAAAATTCTGTGCTCTGTGTTTATAAATCAACACTTAAACTTCAACCACCTCTGTGGATTATTTATATATTACATGGATACGTTTTTTGTTTCTCCTATAGATATATATTTACTCAGGGAAATATATATTGTATCCCTAACTCATCTACACGCATTTTCTACAACTCTTAAGGTTCATTTCACACAGAAGCTCGACCTTTAGTTGTCATGGAAATGCTAGCATGTATTTTTTACAAGATAGCAATTTAGAAATAAAAAATTTACACAGCAAAAGGGTCAGATTTTGCCATCTAGATAGAGATGAACTCGGAATACATCTAGAAGAAAGCCAACACCTAACACAAGCATGTGATAATAAGCATTAGTTTAATACAAAATTAAGCAAATACCTTCACAACCAGTGTTTAAGAGCTACGGCTTGCTGCAAATTACATAAGGCACACCAGACCACGTTTAGGATGATTACAACCCGGTGTGAATGCCAAAGGGCTCTAACGGTCAAATGAAAGCAACTTATCGAATATCCTAAGAGTTCAGGGGGGAAACAAACACCCCATGCCCGTTCTGCACAGTTCACTTGTTCTTAAGCTCTGTTGTGTACTTACATATTTTATCAGATGCTTATTTTCAAATACTGCATCATGCCTAATACTCCGTATATAAAACAGTAATTCTCCCTGTTTAATCAGTGCCGCACTAAGGTTCTGTAAAGGGAATAAATGTATTTCATAAGTCAGTGAGGAGCTGCTCTGATTCTTTAGATGGGGAAGGTTAGATGTGACAGAGAAATGAAATTGCAATGCTTTTCTGCTGATTAAAAATTTCCTAACCTTTGCACATCACAAAACCTGTCTCTTGTCCCTCAACCCTCCAATAAAATAATGAATGCCAACTAGTTTTATAATGGGACTTGCACGTGCATATGCTTGCATGTACAATATGTAATTGTGATCGAGGCATTCATTCAACACAAACCTCTTTACCAGCCGTTACAAAGTATTATCTGCAAGACCAGAGAAAGTGGTCTGTAGAACAGTTGTCAATACGATTTCTTTCCTCCAAACACTATTATAACTGCATTATCCCTGACAAAAATTTGGAAATCACTGCTCAATTAAAATGATCTGAAACAAACCCAATAACAATCCAGATGTTAACAGTTTGACTTCATATGTGTTTAGAAGATGTAAAAATGGCACTCTTCATGCATGGTTTCTACATGTCTTAAAATACCAGTTAGATGAGGTTGTTACTTATGGGACATCAACAGCTGTGCTCTATCCACTGATGGATGGAGTTCTTCCCAAACTGTCCCCATTCCTCACCGCCTTGTTATGCAATAATCCATTGCTGCTGCACATGCACTAATTTCAACGCCGCTGTATCTAATGTGGATGTTCTCTTGTCAAAGTCCACTTTTCTTAACAGAAAATGTTTCCGACTTGCATTTGTTCTCGAATCCACGTGTTGCTCTTTTCAGTGTAAATCCAATCATGCACGTCAGCACTCTTTTTTTGCACTTTCCATCTTGCATTCAATTTTGTCATAGTCGGATGTGTTTTCGATTTGTGTCACCCTAAACAGATATTTTAAATTATTTAGGAAGCTTGTAAATCGCTTGTTTTGCTCACACAGTATTGGAGAATTTAAATATTTAACAATACAAAATATTTCTGCAGCGATAGTTTAAAAGTGGAGTCACGTAGGTAAAAAAAAACAAATAAAATAAATGAAAACAACTAAATAAAATCACGACGTTTCGGGCACAACACAAGCGTCATTCTTCAGGTGGGGACAACTTGCCTACGTAACTTTACAGAAAAACCCAAAGAGTATGAATCCTTGCAGTCACGACAGCTTCAAATCTAGAAAGAATGGATAGTTTAAAACTCCAACATTGTATTGGCCTAAGCCATGCATTGATGGCAACAACTTTTCGCAGTCATTGATGCCAGATAAACAGCTCAAGTGACAGGAAACAAAACTGCATATCCACTAAATAAAAATCAGGCCATACATCTGACATCTGAATCAAGCCTCAATATTAATACAGTAATGCCTTTCATACCGGGAAAAGTTTGTGGATCTCACATCAAACTTTTGTTCAAGGTGCCTAGAAAATATCGCACATTGCAAAGGGCTAATTGTCATCTGTGTGAACCTTTTGAGTGTTATCCCCTATTGATTGGCTTTTCCCACAAGGCTACTCTGGGTTTCCCCACTGCATGCCACTCACACATAAGCGTCGTAATGCTGGAGACCAGTGCTGAAATTGTAACAAAACTAAAAAGTGTCATCTTAAAACGCGCTGAAGAATATGAACTCTCATGTGGCAGTAACTTCTCGAATGTCTTTCGCCATCTGGTGTCGGTGTGCTGTAACTCCACCGTGGAAATGTCGATAAGTTGTTACTGCAATTCACACAGAGTGGAGCGAATCCACGGGCGGGAGACGGTGAGTTTGGGGCAACATCACCGTTTGAGACACAGCAGTCGCCAATTGACTATTCCTTACATGTGTAGATATTAAAAAAACACGAAAGTTTAACGCTGAATCGTTGGTAAATTCGTGCCACCCCCCGACTAACCAAGCAACATTGAACGTTCACCCAGCGGAGGCCGTCGTCAAAGCGATCGGTGGGGGCCTTAGAAGCTGAGGTTGTGAATGGATCTGACGCTGCACGTCAAAGTAAAAGCATTTTGTGAAGTGGACGGACTGCCCCCATGCGTACAACTTTAACTTTAACCCCTCTATAACGTTATAATTGTACAAAAGGCCTCCTGCTGCTGATGGTATCGCGGCTACCGCGAGTGAAGCCGTAGAAGCCCCCTGCCGTCTGACACATTTACAGTAGCGCGTTGCGCTAATGCAGCAAAGGCAACAGCGGCTTTTAAACTTTGTAATTCTTGTTGAAAACAAAACATAGACGTTAAGGCGTCGATGGACGATAATGCGACGAGAGAGGGGGGGTGGTGGGGGTTGATTGTCTTTGTAAGTACGCATTGGGCACGGCGCTTTGTGCGTTGAACCGGGAGGAGAGCAGAACGTGACATTTATTGTGAAATCTTTCATTTAAAAAGGAGTGGGGGTGGGTTACATAAATCAAAGCATAAAAAAAAAACTAAAAAAAATAAATGATGAACGAAGCAAAGTGGCGATTACACCGAGCATCTTCTTGTTTCCTCTGATCGTAAAAGAAATAGAGATGGTGGTGGTTGTTGTTGTTGGTGAATGTCGCGGTGTCGTGGCTGATGATCTTTGCGGCTTTCAATTCCACGAGAGGGCAGCATCGAGTCGCTCACGCGGTCTCCGCGTTTGTTTGGGAAGAGTAAATAAAAGAAGTAATATTTAAAAAATACTTTTTTTTAAACACGCTTTAATGAAATGTACCATACTACCCCATTGGAACCTCATTTGCCGGTAGCAAAATATGATAATTGTTTTTTTACCCTTTTATCTGGCAACAAAACTGACACTTTTTTTTTACAAGGAGTCATGTTTGCATTGACCACAATACCTGCAGTCGGAATGCAAACAAAAAACATAACTCTGATAATGTATGTATCTGTTGGTGCATTGTCTTTGAATCGTGCGTCTTTTGGCGTCATCTGGTCCAACCCATGTGAGACTAGGCTCTAAGAAAAGCTGTCTCGGGTGTGGACCAATCAACTTCAAGGACAGTGCATACATTATCAGAGTTATGTTTTTGTTTGCATTATGACTGCAGGTATTGCGGTCTATGCAAACATGACTCCTCGTAAAAAAGGTGTCAGTTTTGTTGCCAGATAAAAGGGTTAAAAAACAATTATCATATTTTTTACTGGCAAATGAGATACCAATGGTGTAAATGCTTACCCCGAGCTCTCATACTCTGATGGTGCATTGTCTTTGAGTTGTGCGCCTTTTGGCGTCATCTGGTCCAACACCATTTGAGACTAGGCTCTAAGGAAAGCTGTCTCGGGTGTGGACCAATCAACTTCAAGGACAGTGCATACATTATCAGAGTTATGTTTTTTGTTTGCATTATGACTGCAGGTATTGTGGTCTATGCAAACATGACTCCTCGTAAAAAAGGTGTCAGTTTTGTTGCCAGATAAAAGGGTAAAAACCAATTATCATATGTACCATACTAGTAATGGTAGAACTCCACGACTCTAGGAAGTGGCCCCGAAGCTTGCCACAACTGTTGTGATTTACAGCCAACGTGAGTTGAACGTGGACAATTAGACTCAAGCCGAAACATAACATATACAATTTACGTGTAAAATATATATATATTTTTTAAATATAGTATTGTCATCAGTATGACATAAGTATATGGGCCTTTTAAACACCCAATAAATGCAAATCCTATTCAGCACTTACCACTTTAATAACAATGCACTTTTGTTAGTTTCAAATGGCAGCTTATCAATCTCAAAATAAATTACATTTATATTTGTTGTGTCATAAAACATGCATATATGTACATGAAATACATTATATATAATTTATAGGAACCTGATGTTTTTAGCAAATATGATTGAGTACAATGCATTTAAATTAATGAGATCCATAAAAATGTATCCTTTTCCAAAATGTTTATTTGCATCACATTTTACTTAAAATTTCACATTTTTATAGGAAGCCCATTGGTACTAATTCCCAAAATGCTAATAAATACACTTATGGGAGACCAAGCAGTTATGTGCAGTGGTGCTGCACTGTGCACACCATTTAATCTGAAGTATTTTTGTATTTTTTGCAATGGTAGAGGCTGTGTGAGATTGCTGGTGCCGTGCCTGCCCCGCCACATGCTGGCTGTTCGAAGCCTTCTGAGTCTCGGCTTGCTGGTGGCTGGGCGGACCTCCACACACCTTCTCGCCATCAGACACTCGACGAGGTGCAATGAAATGACGTGACTTTAAAATGCTACAGTATTAGGTTGCTATTGTGATTTCCCAAGTTCACCAAGTGGCACTTAATTTAACACGTAGACTTTTGCGACCAGTATTATTCATACTCTTTGGGTCTTTCGGTAAAGTCACCTGAAGACGATTGCCTGTGTTGCGTTCGAAACGTCGTGATCTATTATTTTTCTATCTACGTGACTTTACCGAAACAACCAAAGACTATTATTAGGGATCGTGAAATATTTTACTGGTGCTTATTTTGGATTGTAAAAAAGTGTAGTGGAAAATTTTGTTGTGTGTGTGTATAAAATAAAAATATACTAAATATACTGCTGTTTTACTGCACAGCATTCACACAATTTAAATTTGGTGTGTTTGCTGTATTTTTACTGACAGCCGTTGTGGTTTGTTATTCTTATGTTTAAATCCAGGGTCCAGTTACCTGTATGCGTCAGACAGCACCTGTGGTGGACAGAACAAGCACGCAGCATGGCTGACGAGGGTACCATGCGTGAGACTCCAGACAAAACGATAAAGTATTTAGGGTGAGTTCAACTGAAAGGAAAGGATTTTTAATTGCAGTACTGTATAATTGAATTTATAACTTGCATTCCTCTTGTGACAACCCCACATTAATATCAGTGGTAGCACAGCTGTTTAACCATAACATTGCAATGTCGTAATTGTACTCATGCGTTATATGCCTGACTACAAAGAATCAGCTGACACGAACAGTATACCAATGTTTCCTTTTTTTATTCCAAAGCGCATGACATCACTGTAGCACTGCTAATACATCACAATGTCACTTTGAAAATGAGGGTGAAAATAATTTTACGCCATCAAGTGAAGATCAAAGAATTCATGAAATGGTCCTACAGCTTGTTACAAATTAATAACAATGCTGCACTTCATCAATATAACATTTTTGTTCAGGCTCACGGTGCAAAAATGCACTATAAATCTCAATTTATATTGACACTATTTTTTATTACGTGGTTTAAAACGCGTTTTTATATATTGCATTTTTTAGGCTTACTGGATATCTCAACTGACATGAGAGGCTTGCTCAGAATCCATACATAAAATATTTAAAATACTTTGTCATATACATTGTTAACATTAACTTTTACACAATAACCACATTTTGTTAGCGACAAAGTACTTACATTTTTGTCTTTAAACAATTATGGATATTATATACACAAAATAAATACATTTATTATAGTTACCAAGATGATTTTTCACAAAATATTAATGCACTGTATATTTTTTCTTAATAATTTTTGGAAATCAAATGATTGTTTCCCCTTCCATATTTTCCGCTCATTCATAACAAACTCTTTTAACTAAAATTCAAATGTATTGTTGCTACAGTCTTACAATGCAAACTGAAGTTCATGATACATTTTTTTTATGAAAGTATGGGAGTGATTACCATATTTTAATAAGTCTGCCAATAAAAGGTTAAGCTTGTATTGCCTTGATTTAATTTGGAGTATAACTAATGTACATTAAAACTAAAATGTAGGATATGGTAATTGTACATTTCAGCGTGGTAACCATACGTATAGAGAATTCTACACATTGTTATTATACAAATTGTACATATAATTGTTGCCACATGCAACAGTAGTTGGTTGTATCTTTGCACACTTACAATTGACATTGCAAGCTGTATATGGTAATTATTCATGCATACTTTTCTTTTAAAATAGGCCATTATGTTGGAGTCATATTTTATTTTAAATTATGTAGCCCTTAACATTACAGATGGCCATTATATATTTATGCTCTTATGCCTGTCCCAAGTTCATACGTTTCTTATTCTAAAAAAAATCCTCGGGTGGGCTTTAACAATCTGTTTCATCCAGTTATTTGCTTTTGTAATTTATATAGATGTTTAAATATTAGTTATTTCGTACGTTTCTACATCTATTTTAATGTTTATAACTTGCAATAACCAGCATGGTAATGAAGTACAGTCAAGTAACTCCCATTACCTCCACAGCATGGGTAGGCCTTCACTCATACAGCAGTGGATTGCTCAGAAGGATTCATATTGGTGTTTGTGAACATTTACTTACATTTAGTGAAAACATAATGTTAGGATGTAGTTTATGATAGATGGTCTCATACCCATTAAATGTTTGACCAGGGCAAATTGCATTTCCCATCCATGTGTGAGAATTGTACTCTGTCATTGCTAAAATAATTGTTTCCAAACTATATTGCAGCAGCTGCACAAAAATAAATACTTCCAATAAAACATGTTGCCAGCAGTACAACTGCAAACACTTACCTTGTAAATTGCACCACAAGGCAGCCCAAGTTTTGTCCAGAGAGCTGAATAAAGGTTTCCCAATGGAGAAGGTTAGGTTGTTGTTTCTAAAGCAAAACTTAGAACACCTCATATTATGCCTGGGGCACGGCGTTTATTTCTGTATGTTTTGTTTCTGTAACAAGTTCGTGGCCCATATACCATGTACAATTTTATGAGTATTCTAAAATAGCTGAGGATATACAGTATTTAATGTGTCTGTCAAACATGTAAGTGCCCTGGCATGCATTAAATCAAATGATAAAAAAACTGCATTAAAAGTCTTGAAGCCACTATATTGCCAAGCTGTTTTAAAGGAGACTTGTTTCCTGTCTCTTGTTTGCTTTAGTGCCGTCTTTTGTGTCTGCCAGTCATGCACTACTACTTCGGCCTAAATTATCTGTCCAGAGATTGGTAAAACAGGTACTTGTTTAAAATTTAGTTGGCCTGAAGGGGTCTCTCAATGAGTACACAATCCAAGCAATGGAGGATGTCAGGATTGTGCTTTTTATAACCATTTATATGAGGCCTTCCTTTCTTTGCCAGAAATCCATCGGCAGGCACAGGTCCAGTGGTTGCCTTTTTGGATTTTCAGGGGGCTGGAGAGGACTCTTTATGTTAATGCTATAGTGAGGAGGATGGGAGCCAGTGTCATTCCACCACCCAGTGTAACACATTATTTGGTGATTCAGCAGTGGCTCTGGTGCACAAGTATAAACACCAGAAACTCAACATATTCGTCAATCACACTGCCTTGAAGAGCCATTGCCCAAAATATCACCTATGGTATATTTTGTTCTCTTAGGTTTTTTTGGTAAAGTCACGTAGGTAAAAATAAATAATAAAAATAATAGAAATAATAATAGATACATCACTGATACAGTAAATCTCGCTGTGACGGTCCCACCTGATGACGGAGACTTGTGTTGCCTCCGAAACGTCGTGATTTAGAATTTGATTTCTATTATTATTTCTATTATTTTAATTTGTATTATTTATTTTGACCTACGTGACTTTACCGAAAAAACCTAAGAGTATGAATCCTTGCAGTCACGAAAGCTTCAAATCTAGAAGTATATTTTCTTATTTTAAAGCAGTGTTATTGATGAATGTGTATTTTGTTGTCCAGTATAATACTGTTTTTCAATAACACAGATACAACCAGGCCAATTTGTAGACTGATTAGTCTTTTATAATATTAGTCATTTTTATTGTAACACTGTTTATAAGGATGTGATGCGTTTTTATGTTTCAGTCTCCATCGTGAACAGTCTTGATGATGGGTTTTATTTTGTATATTGGTGTGTGCAATTCAAATGCATGAAAACATGAATTCAATTAGTATTAATACAATTTATGTTGTACTATTATTGTAAATATTGGCAGTGACGTTGCTGTTTCTGCGGCTATCAATGTAACCCAGTTCAACTAAAATTATAAGAATAAAATGTCTTCGGTTTGAGGAACCTTCCAATTTTCTCTAAAAAAAATTCAAATTTTGCTTACATATTTCAGAATATTTTCAATGTTACTGTGAGGAAATTGAAATACTGTATGACCACAAGTAGGCAGAACATCGGATAACTATCAAGCAAAAACATTTTCTCTCCGCCTGATGAAGACCGCTTGCGTTGCGATCGAAACGTCGTGGGTTTTTTGCTTTTATTATTTTCAATTTATGATTATTATTTTTTCATTATCTGTTATTTTTATTTTATTTTCTATCTACGTGACTTTACTGAAAGAACCAAGAACATCAACAAATACCTGTTGCCTTGGTAAATGCATAGACTATGTTCAAGCAAATGGATTTTTTTTTTACCTCTGACAAGGTCTGATATGTGTGAGAATATTGCTCCTAATGGATGTTTCCCAGGTGACGGGTCAGTGTAGCTTGTAAAGGATAGCATTTTTGCTGGGCACTCCAGCAGCTAATAAGCTGCGGCTCGTGGCTTGAACTGAACGAGTCCTAATTAAAGTGAAACGAACAATGGGGCCCTTGGCTGCAACCTTTTAGATCACAAGTGGGATGTCGTCTAATTTTTATGTTTTGCATGCCATAATTGCATCTTGGATGGTACCATATGACTTGCAATGTTAGCAGGTGCGCTTCATTTTTAAGCATTAAAATTGTGCACTCGATTATCAGTTGAAATTTTCCACGAAACATTCATTCATGTTTTTCTACGAATTCATAAAACATATAGGCTGCTCCGTGTGTATTTTGAGGTGCCGAGGTAATCCACGCGTTGGTTAATGCTACAAAATTGGCTGTATATTGTACACTGATATTTATGAGAGGTGTGAGAGTGTGCACAGGTGTTGTTGGGTTCTTTTTGGTTTTGCTTCTTGCTGCGTCAGGATAGCCAGATAATCATTCGCCAGATATAGCCAGCATCTCTCTGAGAGATAGTCTTACTTGAGCATCTTCGTCGGCTGATAGGAAACGTGCACCTTGCACCAGCATGAAACAGTTTTTGTCCAAGTTTTCTCATAACACCGAGGATGAAATGGCTCCTGAGGTGACATATATCAGGTAAGGAAATAACTAATGACGTTTACCTTAAAATATTAACCATGACGGTTTCCCAAAAAATAAATGTCCTTTTTAATAAAGATAGATTTGATCGTAAAAGATTGTGTAATGAAATATAACAAATGAGGAGAGTGTTTATTTTATTACATAAAGTCGTGCTAATACAGTTTGAGCTTTTTCATAACTACTGATGGGTTGTGTATGAAATAAAAATAATACTTTAAATACAATCTTGATGAAGATTGCGTTACCCTTCCTGAAAAGGATATAACATTTTCATATTGTGAGTAATTTGTCATAAACAGTATAGCACATTATATGAAAAGAGCAATGGCTTCCTTGTTCACAAATAAAGCTTATTGTATATTTCGCGATTTCTGTTTGTCAGTGAATGATGAAGAAACCTTTGAAGATAACACACCTGGAGCTTTGTGTTCTTTCATGTATGTCTCTTGTGGATAACTGTTGATAGTTCTCTTTTGTAAAAAATATCTCTTATTGGGCCTCTTAGAATTCAATACAAATGGGTTCAGTAATCAGAAATGATCATGAATGTTGTATGAATTGTAAAAATTTCAATATTGTAGTTTAAATCTTCACCCCCTTTGTTAATCCACTGCTGGATGAACACCTCTCCACAACTTTCAGTGTTTTGATATTCAATGTCTTGGTGGTATGCTTTAGAATTGTTTTGCATTCAATGTTATATAATTAGATGTGCACAGAGCAGCACCTTTTACTGTTTGGCTGAATATTTAAGACCTAATGAGGTATTTCCCCAATTTCCAAAGCATCCATAATGTGTCCAATTTTGTCAGTTTTCAGAAGCTAAGCAGGTTATTACCTGGAAGAATAGCCACAATACACAAGCAGGTTGTCATAAGGCTTGCAGGGTTAGGTAGGAGGCAACAGGGGGCAGATTAATTTTTTTATACTAGACTTCTATGCTCCACCATCTATGCGGCCTGCCTTTACCAACCTGCACTGACCCAGTGCGGTGAGGTATGGTCAAATAAGCCTCACAACCTATACAGTATAGAAAGGCCTTAACATTCAAGTACAGTGACACATCTGTATACCTATTACCCTCTAATCATATCCATGCCTCCAAATCGATCCATGCAAAATCGTATTATTCACATGACAGTTATTCCTATTCGAGCCTATTCTCGGATAAGAACCATGACATTACATTTCAAGCCTCTGCATGGATTAAGGTCACCCACAAGTGGTCTCTTAGAAGTGCTAAATTCAGCCTTTTGTTCGTGAGGCAAGTAGAGTGACCCAGAAATGGTGGCAATTTCATCCTATTCATGTTTAACTTCGATTACTCGCTCGGATAAAAATGAGTGATTTGTGCGGAAAAAAACACCGAAAATAGCATCATCTCCAAATCGGAAAAGATTATTTGCCCTGTAGTAGGAATGTATTAACGATATACATACCGTAGTTTGTGTTCAGCGAATGGTATTGCCAGCTGTCGTTTTATGCTTGTTCAGTCTGTGTAAGTCGTCTTCCCGCTCCAATGAGTCATTCTCTAAATATGTAGCCCAGCATTATTACAAGACACTCCTAAGTCTCTTTAAAGTGTGCTTACACTTTTATTATGAAAAACATTTAGATATTCCATTTGTACTTAAATCTCGAATATAAATTTTCCATTTAAATTATTTCAATAGATGTAGTTACGTAATTTTTAAGCATAAAATGTAATGTTTGAATATATATAACATCTTTTGAGAATAACTTTTTAAAAGTTGCACAGTTTTGGGGTGGAACAGTGGCTCATTGCTGGGCACACTGCGCTATTACTCACCAACCAGAGTTTAATTCCCAACCGCACCTGACATCAGTGGTGACTGATATATGAACCAATCCTGCCTCCTCCCTTCACCAACTCGCATTGACCATAATGGTGAAGTATGGTTAAATAACCCCGATGACCATGGCATCGGGAGGGCTTTATCCAGCAGTAGATTGACAAATTGCTTTACGTAAAATAAACAATGTTATACTTCGTTTAAAGTGCCATTACAAAGGGTACACTTCAAATGTTTCACTTGTTGTGCATGTTTTACTGATTTAAGAATTTGTTTCTGCATGTTCCTTTTTATCCCCATGATTAGCCAAGAGGAGGCCCAAGCCATTGATCAAGAGCTCTTCAACGAGTATCGCTTCAGCGTCGACCAGCTCATGGAGCTTGCCGGTCTCAGCTGTGCCACTGCCATCGCCAAGGTCAATCATACTTAATATTTCCTTTGTCCATGACCACCCGGACATCGTATCAAGTGGCCATGCTGCTAATTCTGTTTGCAATGCTTTTAATGGCTTTTCTCCAGTGGTTGACTTTCAAATAAGCAATAAGGGACTTGTAAACCGAGAGGCAGCCATCCAATTCTGTACTGACCTTGAGTATTCAGGAGGTAATTGTCTGTCTGACTTTCCATTTTTCAATGATTAATACATTACATTTGTTTGAATTAAGTGTTTATAGTTTTTCATTTTAGACTTTGTTAGCCAAATTAGACCATACTTTACCAGACTGGTTGTTTGACCATACTTTACCAGGCTGGTTAGTGCAGGTTGGTGCAGGGGGTTCTGGGACCGGATCACATATCCCTTGCAATTGGTGCGAGCCATGGCCAGGAATCGAACTTAGGTTTCCGGGTTCGTATGGCAGTGCGCAAGACCACTGCTCCAACACTCCACCCCACTGGTTTTATTGTAAAATGATATTCAACAATGCCATGCTTGATTGAAATAGATGTAGCTAAATGTGCTTTGTCTTTGGTGTGTGCGTGAATACGTGTGCGTAAATCTGTGCGTGTTTGCGGATGTAATGGGAGGCATGTGCCATATTTAGTACGTCAGTCCAATCGGGCTATGGTTCTAGCTGATAGTCTAGTAGTCCATTAACAGATTAGTGGTTAGGTGTTTGTGGCAAATGTGACGTAGTTAAACTTTTGCCAAATACTTTGCAGACAATAGTATCTGCAGGCTACAAACAGATGTGAAAAAAAAATGTGATGGCTGCGTAAGAAGGCAATAGCGCATTTGCAGATGTTCTCACTTGGCTATACTCTAATAACCAGTCTGACGCAATTGTAAATTAGAGAAAGAGGGAAATTATTGGATGTTGACCGTCTCTTATGTGCTGCATTACAAGGAAATATTTTTGTGATGAAACCAACACCATATTAGGGTTTATTTGAAAATCAGAAACATCATTGTTTACTGAGAGTCTTTCAGTATTCTAATAGGTTTAAAATATATATATATTATTTGTGTATATGGTCAGGGTTTATGAATTGTGTTCATGCACATTATGAAACTATAGCTCAATAGAAAATCACTTCCAGTTTTGTTCACATATATAGCGAGTATTCAGGTAAAGCTCTGCAGCCTATGATTGCACACACATCTAAAGCTGCTCCTCGTATTTACTAAAAGCTGAAACAAATGCCTGCATTACATTGTATGTGTAAGATAGACTAATTGTAGTGTTTATTTGCTTATTTAAAATAATTATATTAAATTCACAATTGTCTAATAGCCTACATCTAAAACAAACCAGGAAAGGCCGGTAATGTATTTGTGTGTTGAATGTTTTTCTCGTTTCTAGCTTTATGTTTAAGTGTATAATGTGTTGTTGTCATCCTCAATATATCTTGAGGGATGGTTTAACTGTTGTGAGAATCTATTCAGAATATCAGAAACGTACTCACACCTATTGATTGAATACTGTGTGTTATAACAATCACTAACATCAATGCACGTTTCTTTACTTGTCTCTGTTTTACATGTACTACTACCCGACACCACTCACCAGACACCACTTGCCAGACACTCACCTTTATCTGACACATACCACTCACATGACACTCACCTATCACTCATCATTGTGTATATATATACTCACCTGACAACCACCTAACACTTGGCAGACACCACTTAATTGACACTCACCAGACACTGGCATTCACCAGGTACTCACCACTTTCCACTCACCATGCATCACATACTCGGTGATGACGACTGACACCATGGAGCTTAACATTAATCATTCACATTTCCCACTTCATGTAAGGAGCCATCAAGTAATTTCCCTCCCTTCACTCCCCCTCTTTATTTAAACTAAGACATGTCTCTTGAAAAAAGCTTAACAATCGTTTCGTAACGATTTTCATACCTCGTAATTCAACAAATGGTTACAATTTTGGGTAGTAATTTGTTTTAAAAAAATCTAGATGTTTTTTCAACATTGTGGTGCATTTTATCACTAATGGTTGTAAGGGTCACATATTTCTGTCATTACATGCATCATATATGAATTTGAACACAGCGGTTTTCACGCACACAATTGAATATGTATATTGTAAACATAAATAAATGTTATCCGCTGAATTGCTGGATCATTACACATTTACCGGTCATAGTCAGTTCGATCTATTTAAACGTCCTCAAACCTTTTTGGCAGCTCCTCTTGTGTATGTGTAAACATTCATCTACGGAGACCGGAAGCATCGTGCTTAGTGCACTACTGGAAGAACTCGGTGACTCAAGTTCGATGACGACTAATAACTGGAGAATATTTGAAACAGTCCTGGGCCTCCCCTAGGTCGACTCACCCTTTAATGGGTACCTGGTGTGGTGCTTACACATCAGCACTGGGGAGACAAAGGCGGCCGGGCATGGTGTTAGCCATCGGCCCAATCGTGCCGCTCACAGCACTAGCTGTTAAAGGCTATACTATACAGGGGATCTTTGTTTTTGTTATACATAACACATACATATCAGTGACTGCAGAAAGTTTCTAAACATTATGGCATGTAGGGTTCTAGTTAAAGGTTCTGCAGGCCTTTTTAATGGCTTATCTGGTTGTTCTCTGTGAGTGACATTCAGGCAGCTGCACTTTTGCCAATAAAAACAAGAACAGAGGGTTTTTTTATGTGATGACGGTGAACTTGAGGTTAAGGTTGGAGTGGGGGGGGGCACACATGGGGAAGTGTGGTATCTTCATGTGCTTTGTCACGGCTCCTTTTCTCTTTGGCTAAAAACATTCTTCAAGTGTGCAACCTGTGACAAAATGTTACTCTTTTATTCATTGAGTACAGAACAGAGTGCTGCGGGAATGAATAACTGTGGACGTGTTTCCTTTCTGGAATCCGTTACAATGACATTGAGTTTCCTTTTGAAAGTGATGGTTATGTTTTTTACATATGACTCTTTGACATCATTTGTCAATATGTCTGATCATTAAATTATGTGAATGTATATATTTATAAATATGCTAATTGTCCACAGTAATATTTCATGGTATTTTCAGATTAATTTCTCAGGATAAACCCATGTTTCCGTAGAACGTGTGTTTTTTTTGGACTTCACCGAATGATGGCACAAGCATGTGTTTTCCCTAAGCGCTGTATGTCTCCATCCTTCATGCACATGACTACACATCTGTCTAAGTTTTGTCGACGCATCGTGAAAAAAACAGAACATGCACGTCTTTCATTTTGTTTTTGTTCCCTCTAGTTTGTGAAACTTGTTTGTGCTGCGTATGATTTTAAACAAAAACACCCTTCGCTCGTTTACATTTAATTCATATAGTCTTTATATAGAAAATGTATATTCTAATTTAGTTGCAGGTATAATTGTGTTTAAAAAAACTTTCATGGTGGTGAAAGGTTTAGTGTTATTTGTTTTGGAAACAGAAACTAAGTAATTGGGGAAAACTATGTCCTTTGTACTCTACATGTGATATTGCAATACATGCTCGTATGAAGGTTGTCACAAGGTGGGAAAAGTCAACTATTATGGAAAGAAAGTCTTCAATGGAAAAATATGTATCCACTCATTGTCTAAGGATGGTATATCCCCAATGGGTCCGTAAGACTGTCAATGCCACACATTTATTTAAAAAATATATGAAAAAACACTTTAAACTTACATTCATGAGGCTGCCAAATAGATCGTTCGGAGGTCAGAGTGCTATCCAGCACTGCTGAGATCCTGGGTTTGAATCTTCTGGGAAGCCACCCGTCATTAAACCGGGTTCTCAAGTGTATTCAGTTGATGGTCTAATTCCAGTGAAAAAAATGACAGCACAAAACACCTAAATAGTTTTTTACTTAATTTGGAAAAATTCCAACTGAGATTAAGCATTTGGCTGTAATATGATAATCTCCTCTCATAACGTGTGCGAAAGTGTTCCCCTTAGCATATAAATAAAATAAATTTAAAGCCACTTGAAGGATGTTTTGGGCGATATCCTTGAAAAGTTTGCTTCCGCAACCATTTTCTCAAGTACTGGGTGTGCTGCTTTGCAAAAATTATGAACGGACTCTTCGTCTCATGACATGATGTCAATGAACAATTGGAATAATTTACAGGGGAAAATAAAAAGTAAATACATCTAATCTAATTTATAGGGGACCTTCATTCATAGCTTGCAAAATAATGACAGATTGGAATGATGTAGTTGACAGGGGCGTACATTGATTGAGGCATGAGTGACAGCGATAGAGGGTACTTGGGGATCACGAAAGGGTAAGGGAGGGATGGGAAGGAGTGGAGTGGTGAGGGGAGAGAAGAGGAAGAGAATGGGCAATAGAGAAAAGGTGACGCTTTAAGAGAGGAATGGAAGGAGGGGGACTGCTACAAGGGAAGTGTATTCCAGTGTGGAGTGGCGTAAGGAAGGAGAAGGACTGAAACAGGATTTGGCACAGGGAATATGAGGGACGGAGGAAGAGACAGTGAATATTGGGAACGAAGAGGATGAGAGGGGACATGGAAGGAGATGAGAGAGGCACGGAGAGGTACGTAGATAATAACTTTGTAATCTGGCCACATGGCCTACCAGCTCTGGACCAATTCTTCAACCACATCAATTCCATACACGCAGCCACCAAATTCACCATGGAGGTGGAAAAGGATGGCAAGTTACCATTCTTGGATGTTTTAATCGAAAAGAGACCTGATGGCTAAATGGGACATTGTCTACAGGAAAGCCACCCATACGGATGCCTACCTAAAACCTGACTCCCACCACCATCCACCCCAGAAGAATTCCCTCATCAAAACTCCACACCATAGAGCTCGATGTATTTCTGACCATCATCACCTAGCCAGTGAACTGGAGCACGTACACCAAGCCCTCAAGAAGAATGGATATTCAGCCTACACAATCCGTAAAGCTATCACCCCAACCGTTGGGAAAGAACCATCTGAGGACCCAATCAAAACCATCACCTTGCCATACATAGCGGGAGTCACCAAAAAGATTTCCAAAATCATGAGCAAACACAAGATCCAGGTACGAGTCAAAACAGTACATAGAATTCGTGATTTGATCCCATCTGTGAAGGATGTGATCCTCGACATGCAATACCCCAGTGTCTACAAGCTAAGCTGTGCGGCAGCAGTTACATTGGGGAAACTAAGCGACATATCTCGGACCGGGTTCGTGAACATAAGGCAGATGTGGCGATGTTCCTTTCCGATCTCTCTGTAGCTTACATTTACAAGCAAATTTCTTACATTGACATGCTAATCTCTCACAATACAATGGCCACCCCCACAGCTTCGTTTGTCAAGATTTCTCTGATCGTACATTTACATGCAAATTTCATCTCTAGCCCCGCCCACTGACCCTTGGACTACACCCATCTCAAACCTTTATAACTCCCTGCCTTAGCAGTGCTCCCACCATTTATACTCAGCAGCTCTCCCGATATATTTTTCACCTGATGACAATTGCTTGTGTTGCGATCAAAACGTCGTGATATTGTTATTATTTTTATTATTTGTTCTATCTACGTGGCTTTAGAATATGTATAAGATATATCAGAACACTACAACTTTCGAATTTTAGCTGCATTTGAAATACATTTTATAAAAAAATTCATGGTATGCAGGAAACATATACAAGTTTGGTAATAATTGGTATATTTGATTATGGGTGGATTGTAGATATTTTTGGACCTGAACCTTCATTTGATTCAGATTGGTCACGTGCATTATCGAGCCGGAAATCTCCAGTGCACTACAAATTACTATAATTTTGGGCCAGTGTTGAGTCTTAATTAATTGATCATTATTAACTATCAACAGTATTTCTGCTTTTAATTAAAATAATTTTTTAACCTCTTTAGCGGTTATTGTTCTTCATGTGCTTCAGTTTTTCTTCAGACTTTCAAAAATTATGAATCGCTTGGCCCATATGTTCCTTCCTATTTAATAATTGTGCACTTTTTATCAATAGGGTTCATGCAGCCAGTGTGTAAGACTGCTGTTGAAAGCACAAAGAAACAACGTGTTTATCTCAACTCCATACTGCTGTATTTCTCTTGGTAACAGCTACGAACTATTGGAACCTCATTTGCCAGTAAAAAATATGATAATTGGCGTCATCTGGTCCAACCCATGTGAGACTAGGCTCTAAGGAAAGCTGTCTCGGATGTGGACCAATCAACTTCAAGGACAGTGCACATTATCAGAGTTATGTTTTTTGTTTGCATTATGGCTGCAGGTATTGTGGTCTATGCAAACATGACTCCTTGTAAAAAAAGGTGTCAGTTTTGTTGCCAGATAGAAGGGTACAAAACCAATTATCAGCTACGAACTAGTTTTACATGCGTCAGATACATGACACTGTGATACGTTGTCATATTATGTTCCCGGCACAGTGACGTCATTATGCAGATGTTAGTGGTGACGTCAGCACCCAGCACCAGGCAGGCATCCAGCAAGCCAGAGTTTTTTGTTTAAATCCTTTATATTAAGTTCACTTGCTTGTTTGCGCGCTTACGACCGTGCAAATCTTTCAGTCGTCTTTTAACCCACTTCCCGTTATCCAATCGAGCTGACATTTTGCACACAGACTCGTTGTGCGTGACAATTTATTTTCGTGAATTTTTTTCCCCAAAATTTTCCACTTTTTAGGAAGAAAAAAAATTCATATTTAATTTAAAATACCAATGTGATAAAAATGAAACTCTTACTCAAGAAAAACAGAAATGAATAATAAAATAAAACCGATGCCACGCATGTAAAGGATTTATAGTGAAAAACGTAGTTTTTACGGGTTAATTTTTTTTCTAATGTACAGGCGACCCCCGCACCTGCGACCTCATTGGTCCTGAACGACGGTCACGAGTGGAGCCGTTGTAAGTCGAACCCTCGTTTCCCATAGGTGCAAGGTTATAAATTGGGGTTCCGTTCCTGGAAACCCAAAATATACAACAACAAAATACCAAAATTGACCACAAAAATAAATGAAGATAATCCTAACAAATATTTTATTGCAACTTAACGTAACTTTTACAAACATTTGTTAAGTAAAAACAAACACATTTGAAAATGCTTAAGTAATTTTCTGCATGTGCATCACATTACCTCTTCTCAGACATCGCAAAAGGCGACATTTTTTTAAAAGTTGAAGAAAGTTTACAAAAAAGTAAAGAGCGTTGCGAAAGAGATGCGTTTGCTCTAGGCGCAGCTGCAGACTATCGGGATATACTCTACATATGCATACGGCGGAAGAGCAAAGCAGCGCCATCAGGCGACTCGTCTTCGGTAGCAGTCGTTAGGCTGTTGTAGATAAGAGTTTTTGTTGTTACTGTGGGGGTCTTATTATAAGAAAGGTCGTACAAGCGGAGGGTCGCAAGTATAGCCGTTGTAATTCAGGGGTCACCTGTAGTATGATTACATTGATTCCTGTAGTCTACACTCAAGTTCATAGCTGTTTGCCATTGCATACGCATTTAATGTGAATGGTATAGTACGTACGTCAGAAATTAAACCTTATATTATGATCTTTTATTTTAACCAATGTACATTTTTGTCAGTTATCGAATATCAAACCCCCCAAAATGAGTTTAAAGACTGCAATAAAAATATATTTTCAATATTAATGTAATTTTGGAACATACACCTGCATGATTTTGTTTCCAATTTCTTAAAGTATTTTTTTTTATTGTTTAACATTGTTGTCCTATAATGGTTGCTGCATACAGGCATACCCTCTGGAAACCTTGCCAGCCAAGAAACATACACTGCTCATCATCTGTGGTCCAGGAAATAATGGTGGAGATGGGCTGGTATGTGCCCGACATCTCAAGCTCTTTGTAAGTATTTTTTTTATTTTATGCGAAATGCAATATTTGATATCATATTCTTTGGTTCTTTCAGTAAAGTCACGTAGATAGAAAAATAATTAAAATAAAGTTAATAAAAAAATTAAAATAATGCTGTAGCCTGGTTCTTAATCGGAGTGAGTGTATTGGCAGTCTATAATATAGACTAGCCTGGTTATTAAGTTTGGTGAGTGTACTGGCAGTCTATAATGTAGACTGTAGCAATGGTTCTTAAGCTGGTATCAGCTGAACAAAGTTTAGCACAATGATCCATTCTAGGAATTTCAGGACAGTCCACATGAGATGTAACATGTAATGTGCTTTGCATACAATTATATTAATCATCCAATTGCAGTATTTGTATAGGCTGAACATTTGTTCCCCAAAGAGCTACTTTTGGTGGAAGTTAAAACAAAATGCAGGTGTTTGCAGCAGTCGGTTTTTGGGTTAGGCCGCGTAATGATTGGGCCAACTTTGTGTCGATAAGATTCTCCATTACCTGGTATAGGCAAGCAAATTAAAATGCCTCGTATACATGCATTTCATGCACCAATTATTATGGATTAATGTAAATTTAATGTGACAGTTTACTTTAGAAAAACGTCAAGTATGAATCATTTGATTAAATTGCATATATTTTGCAAAGTACTGGGATAAAATACCAGAGTTAAACATGAAAGACATTCCTCGTGTATACAGTTATTTATCATTGAATTATCTCCAGTATGAGCAACAATTGTAATTTACAACACTCATAAGAGACGGACTCATCAGAAACCTACTTTACCATGCAAAAATGTGGCTTAACGTTCAAAATATTAAGTGTATTAATATCATAATGGCGAATACATGTTGCGTATTCCCATATGCTGCATGCTCAAGATGTTAGAAAAATACATCTATTGTATTTTTGGAAATTGGGATATGGAGTGCACAAGGGGGTAGTCAAAAAGTTTAGAAAATTAAACATATCAAGTATAACTTTAGTTTTCCATTCAGCGTTTTGACATCACCAAGAAATGTGAAAAATGTCTGTATACTCTTCCCTTAGTTTAGATGGCTTGGACAAATGGATGGAAGCCATACAGAGTAGTAGCAGGAAAGACAACGCCAAGCAGCTGCTGTTTATTTTGGTGATCCTTCACGCAATCTGCAGCATGTTGTTTCGATGTTTCTTTCGGCACCTAAGTGACTTGTCTTCTAAAAACTATGATCTAAGATTTTTTAAAGGAAAAACACAAGAACCTTGCATTGGGATCATATTTTTTTTTGTTTTAACATCCATCGATGAGGAGTTATCAATGGGTGCACTGCAGGATACCCTAGAACACTGCACATGCTGCAGAGTAATTGGCGTATGTGTGGCTGCGTTGCCAAAGTCTAGAAGTCATTTATAGAGGCCCGCTTCGAAACCAGACGTTGCTGGCACTTATCGAGCATATCAGATCTCTTTGTTAGTCCTCTTATAAATAAAAAAAAACATGGCCTTGAACTGCACTGGTGCAACAATTATCCTGGGAGTAAAGCCACACTTGACTTTATTTCAAGGCAAATAATAAAATGCGGAAAAATATTGCTGTTAATCGTACATTTTATAAAAAAAAAAAACAAGCAAGGTTTTGTTTGTTTAAATGACAGCATATGAGAATTGTTTCATATCATAAGCCCTGTTTTTCAAAGAATGCATATGTGTTACTCTGTGTCAGGGATATGAACCAACAATTTTCTATCCTAAACGTCCCAACAAGCCTCTCTTCCAAGCTTTAACAACACAATGCGAGCGGATGGACATCCCATTTCTCTCATACCTGCCAACACAGGTGGGGTGTTTCACATGGATACACCAGAAAGCCTCCCCACATTTCGCTGGGCTAAAGAACACAAGCATGGCTTTACTCTTGCACACTTCAGTCATCGCTGTTGTCATTTTAATGAATGTTTACACCAATAGACATGCCAGCTGAAATATGTCATCACACTAATAAGCACACTTGTAAGTGCTTTGTGAGCCTAGTTAGGTCTTCCACATGATCATGGACAAGTGTGACACATTTAACATGCATAGAGACTCGATCCCCAAGGATTAGTTTGAATGACTTGGTCCGCACGTGACAAATGACATCGTGCTACACATAAAAAAACACGCTTGTGGAGGCTGTGATCGAACTTATTATTTTGCAGGTGCAGCTGCTGAATGATGCCTACAGCTTGGTGGTGGATGCTATTTTTGGGTTCAGTTTCTCTGGGGAGGTACGCGAACCATTTGGATCCATTCTGACCACGCTCAAGCAGGTCAACATGCCCATTATCAGCATTGACGTGCCTTCAGGTACCATTGCTTTTCAAAGTTGTCTCTCTAATCTAATATAAACACGTGTTTGAGTATCTTAAAAACGCCCGTGACTGTATGTATGTTAAACGTCTTTCGCACCATACATTGCTAACTGTGCTAATCAGAGGTGCGGGAAAGGACGACAAACTAAACACAAAAATCAGTTCTAAAGACATTAGTTTTTAATCTAAATTAAAACATTTATAGCTCCAGTGGCTTCCTAATATTTGAAGGAAGAACATTCCAGACGGCCACAGAAGCGCATCTGAAAGTGCGCGATGCGGTAACCGTCTTTGTTCGATGTCCAGCCAAAAGCCGATTGAATCTGCCCTCGTGCTAAATCTTATTCTTTAGTTGTGGACATGGATGTGGCGTTTTCCTTCGATGTGGCCACCCTTTAAATAACAAGAGTTTTGTATTTTACTTAAATAGAATCCGTATTCGACATATTCCATAAACATTCAGGCTGCCAAATGAAAACTTGCCCCAGTCCTTCTGCAATGTAATCTGTCTGCTTTGTTTTATCTTTCATGCTGAAGGCTGGGACGTGGAGGCTGGTAATCCGGACGGAATTCAACCGCAGATGCTCATCTCGCTGACGGCACCCAAGCGAGCCGCATTGCATTTCCGTGGGAAATACCACTTCTTGGGCGGCCGCTTTGTCCCGCCCGATTTGGCTAGGAAGTACAACCTCACTCTCCCTGAATACCCTGGCACTAGCTGTGTCCTCTCTCTTCTTTAGTCATTGCTGGTAGCAGTATATAACAAACAAAACAACTTTCAGGTTTATTTCAAGGTCACGAAATAAGGATTCTTATTAAATGCATCGTAACATGAAAGATTATCAAGCCACCGAGGCTAGGATTTATTTGTATACGTGTTGAACTTCTTTTTTACAGTACTAGCCAACCAATTATTATTGACATTGTTAATGCAAGATGTGTGTCAGGCTCCGTACGTTTGTGTTATCAGCATTTTGCAATGTGCTTTAAATCCGAGTAATTATTTTTGATATTTCGACAGCAGTATGGCTAAATCTGCTAGGGTTTCCAAGGGTCTACAGACTGTAAATGCAGCACTGCTCTTCCTTCGAGATGTTTCATTGCTATGGAGTATTTTATTTTGCAACTGCTTTTTGGTAGTTACATGTTTTGAATTGTGAAGATTAATCTGTCATGGAATGAATGGTCTTTAATTGTGGTATTCTAAATTGCAAAATAAATGTGTAAGACATCAGTGTTGACCTTTTTGAGGCATTCATTTCATAACACTATGCAGTCGTGTTCATTTTTTTTATTTTAAAATCTTAATTGAGTTACTTTCTTAATCCTCTTCATTAATATAAGTGGAATGTTAGTTTATTTTTTGGTTACAGATGAAACAGTGACAATCCAGTCAACGCAATGCTCATGTATTAAAGCTATCCCTATTCTATAGAACTTTCATGAATTCATTTCAGTAGTTTTCATTACACAGTATTAGGTTTGATTGTAATATTCAATTAACGTATGAGCTTTTTTAGATAGAGCAATTAACACTTATGTCACCTATTTGAATAATATCTTAGGAAATGTTTGCCATTTTTTTATGTTGGCAAGCATTGACAATGCTATTGTTTTTTTCTACTAGCATATTTAATATTTGGTTTATCAAGCATATTGTCATGTTTTTTTTTTCTGAAGTTTAAGTCACCAATACGGGAATGCACACAATTTCAACAACGAACACCACGGGTTAATTTTAATTTTGCCACGTGTCGCCAAACGTGTCGTGCTTTAACCTTAGCGGCTTGTTACGGAATGTAACTTAAGCGCAAGCCTCCAGCCTAATCTGCTGCTTGTATCTGCAGCGGTGCATACTTGTGGATGGCGATAAAGAGTCTCGCCCGTATCCTGCGCATCTGCTGAACAGCTTTAAAAAGTGGATGGATTTAGAAGTCCTGGCTTGGGTGCAACAGCCAACGGCAGGTGTGTGGTGCAAAAGGGGCCCCTTGCCATGGCACCGTGGGTGGTTTCCCCTGATGACAAGCCATGTTTTCATCCTGCAGGATTTCAGTTGCTTTAAGCCCTTATAACCGAATAACACTTGTGTATTTCCACAAAATGCACTGTTTTGAAAAGAACACCACTTTTATATATATGTTTCACCACTCGGTGTATCCTGTAAGCAATTTAATTTGGACCAATCTAAATACGTGAAATGATGTTACAACGTCATCTAATAATTCCTTTAAAAAAAAAAAGAAAACCTGCCGTGATTTCTGAGAAAACCTTCAGCACCGTAATTAAGGAAAATGCGTAAGCGCGCAAAGTGACGCGTGACGCGCACGCTGGCACTGACTCGTCCTCGCACGAAAACTCTCAGCACGCGTCCGCACGCTGTTTTGAGCGTACAATTTCCTTCAAACCCAGACACCCTTCTCCACCCTCCCCCGAACCCCCAAAGTCCTGACCCACCCCTCCCACTGTGGCCTCCCAATTGCTTGCCCAGCTTCTATCCTCAACAACAAACTCACTCGCTCACCCACCCACCCCACGGACAGACAAGAGAGCCCCGCTCCCCTCCGTTCCACCCCATTCCACACAGCCCCCCCCCCCACCCCCCCGGGGATTCGCTAGGCGCGTGTTTAAAAGGACGAGGACCTCGCCGATTTACGTAGTCTCTGCGACCGCGAGTCGTCGTTGCGGGGCCGCCCTCCGTCCCGAGTCGTCCGCGTAAGTGCGCCTTGACACCGACGCGAGCATGGTGGGATTTGTTTTGAAGTCGTCGAGTAACACGTCGACGAATTTTCAATTGCAAGCAAATGGACCCGTTTCATGTCGTAAAGAAATGTGAACAATCTGCCAAGGTTCTCATTTTTAAATTGCTTCCTTTTTTTGTTGCTATTGTATACTTTTCATAATTGCTGCTGTTTCAGTATGATTTCTTATTAAAGAGTTGGAAGTTGGTTCGTATAGAAATTATACTATAAATGTCCGTTCCAGAAGCTGTGCTTAAAATACAATGTTGTATATATTCTTTATGCTACCCTGAGGTTGAGTCAAGGCTGCTGCAGATGACTAACATAAGAACTTGCATACCATATATCTCAAAACATTATCTGCATACAGATGCAATATGCACTGTTAATAACCCTGTTCTCATAATATAAACATTGAATACAATCGCAGCTTCATAAAAAAAAAAGGGGGAAAAGAAGATCTTGGTTTTTCAGCTGATTGCCCTTCTTTGGGAAATTCTGAGGTTTACCGATAAATTTTAAGACCTGTTATCTTCAATGAACATTATTTTATGTACAAGTTCACTGAAGCAGTAACTTCTTTGGAATAGGGGACTTAATAATATGACTTAAAGCTTTCGTGACTGCAGGAATTCACATTCTTTGGGTTTTTTTTTGTAAAGTCACGTAGATGGTTGCTATTTTCTTCTGATGACGATCGCTTGTGTTGTGATCGAAACGTCGTAGTTTTTTGTTATTTTCTTTGCACCATCTACGTGGCTTTACCGAAAGACCCAACGACTATGACTTAATATGTTTGCCTGATTACAATGTGTGTACTCGAGTATTTATTCTCCAGAACCATCATTAATATCGCTTACATTGTACATGGTTTTCCTTTTTTGTACTTGATGAAAAAAAACATACTCGGGTGACTCGGGTGGCTATTTATCTCACAACTTGTTCTTGATTATAAATACCTACATTAATTATCTCATGTAAAGATAGTTACATCCTTCATTTAAACCAGGAGAAGACCTGAGGTCAGTACCCATGACGCACTGAATTTGATGTGCCCTGGATCATTCTATTTCTATCGACACAAACGACCCAAGCTGCGTTAATTCTATTTCTACCGACGCAAACGGAACGTATGCTAACCACCCATAGCACGCGGCACAGAGCAATGCATGATATCAGAACAATTCAGGTATCGCTGACTCGGAAATGCAGGGCACGTTTGGGGATCGAGATGTTGTGGTGGGGGGGGGTTGAGCACTCGGGAACGGCTGCAGAACGAGCATTTCAATCTTTCGTTACTGGTGGCTGCGTCCAAGAGAGTCAGATATATATAGCGGTACGGACCGTTATTGTGGGACATTCCCAAAATGAGCGCAAGCGTCAGAGCAGAGAGTGTGGTGCTGGTGTCCCTGTGACCGCGAGCCATTTCTGTCCGCATAGCAAGCGGCTGAGGTCACCGTTCGGCAAAGCGAAGCTCGGCTTCAGAATCGGCCGCGGGTCGCTCACACCGCCGTTTCGCTCTTGCGGAGCGAAAAAAAACCCAAATTAACCTCATCTCCGGTTGCGAGATATTGATTTAATGAAATTCCATCACTATCACAACACCGCTCTCGACTCGCAATTAAAGATCACTCGGATTATGCCCGGTCGCTTCAGCTACGTCCATGGCAGGGTCAGTTGGGGAGACGAGATATAATTGTCTCCTTCTAGCTGTTTTCACATCGTTACATAAGGATATGCAGCTGTTGAACTCCGCGTACGAAATAACATTAATGTTCAGCGATTTAACGCATTGCTGAACGAGCGGGCAAATTAACTTGCAACGAGTCTACACGCCTGATTATGTAGTGTCTGCTTCCTGGGCGAACTTTGTGGGGGGAAAAAAAGACATGTTTTTCTGTTCTGTGTAATACTTATTAGGCATACCCCGTATTCTCCAGATGATAAGATGATCGGAATATTAAGCCGCACTTTCAATTTGTGTCAATGTTTTACAAATCTGGTCAACCACAACAACCGCCATTCGCCACTAGGTGGCGGTGACGTTACCACGGCGCTTGTGCCAGGCTAAGTGCACTTTAAGGCCACGTGAAGTGTCGGACGCCCGCTGGCAGGAGGTCACGGGACAGACCCAGGTGCCATGGGTTGACTGACTGAGATGACTGGCCGATGCACCACCTGTGCTCCCTACTGTGCTAACAAATCTGGTCACATACACACAACCACCAGATTATAATACTTACCCCCAAGTTTTGTTTAAAATTACGGTGTAAAAAAGCGTGTCTTGTGATATGAAGAACATGGTAACAATGTGTTTATTCGATGATCAATATAAAGTATTACATTCGCGAAATAATGTTTCAAATCATGTATATATGCTTGATGATGTAAATTATATGCACAATATATGAAAATGAATCATTAATACCAAGGTGGTAAACAAACGTGTATAAACAACGGGCAGAGCTGCAGCCTGTGGATGCTAAAGCTCGCAAAGATACTATATCAGCCAAAAGTCTGCCAGGGATTTGATTGAAAACCGGCCAAATTTAGCAAAAATGTTGCTCAATAGTGGACACAAACCAGTGCTAACAGTGGCCACCTTGGCATCCCAGCCGTTGACAGCCATGGTCTACAGATGTACTGCTTCGACAGACCAAAACATTTATCTTACGTGATGGTACAGAATAGAAATGTATTTACACATCAATGCCTTCTATGACATACGCAGCTTATCGCCGTCGTCGTCATGCACATGCTTGCTGACATTGTGCCTCGATGCATGTTTTGACAGCGCCTTGATTTAAAGGTGCGCATCTCCGTCGCCTGTCGCCTGCCGGATTTAGCCGGGGTCAGGATCCCTGCTGCTGCTGCTGTTGTCCTCGTGTCCTCGTGCCTGCGGCCTCCTGGCGACATGGGCAGTGGGCGCCTGCTTGCTCTAGTGCTGGCTGTGTCCCTCACGTGCTGCTTCGCGCAAGGTCGGTATTTATAGGGTGATTTATGCACCTGGGGGGCTGGGAGCCGCACCGCACTGTGAACTCGGTGACGTAAGTTCCATACCTGGCCAATGCTGACATCAGCGGCGTGGGACATCTGAATTGGTCCTGGACACGCTGACCAGACGTCTGGCCGGTGTGGAAAAGCGGGCCAAATTATCCTCCAGAGGGGCGCTCTAGAGCCCCTTCTGCCAGCAGTGGCATGAACTAGAAAATGCGGGGCTGCACCTTAACCCTGAATTACATGGACACTCCCCGACAGTTCACCAATCCGCACTCACCAGCGTGGTGGACGAGGTTTAACAACCCACTGACTGACACTGTCTGAGATTGCCTTCATCCAGCAGTGGAGTGACAAAAGGGCTCAAACTATTTTCATAATATTTTTTTAGGGACCTGAGTTTCATGCACAGTCCTTGGGTGCAATATTTTAGCGCATGTCGCCCAGTGCCTGATTATCCTAGTAGCAAGAGTAGAATTTGCTACGGGCCCCGCACTTTTAAGGGTTCCACGCTAAATTATTTCAAGCTATCAATTCCGGTTCAGTGATTCTACACTTACTCTATTACTATAGTACTATACTAACTTCAACTTTTACGAATGACTGGATGTTTAAGGTTAGCGATTTTTCGTATTATTTGGCTGTATAGAAAATGAAAAAGTATGTTTTTTTTTTTATTTAGGGCCCCTTTGTAACATATGCTACAGGCCCCGCACGAGCTTAATCCAGCACTGATGTCGCCACGGATCATGGCCACAAGCGCATTAACAGCACGCCTTAAAGTTGTCTTAAACACACACACACCATTGACAATTGATCACATTTTATTGTTCTGTACGGAAAGTGGTGACTGACACATACCAAGTAATGCTTTCATTGAAACCCATTTTAACATTCTGCAAAAATAGTCAGTCCTACAAATCAGAGACGCCAGTTAAACATGTAATTGAGTCATGGGTGTTACCTACCTGTACTTATCGCATGACTGCAAAGGATGGTGAAAGATTTTGGAGGGGCTTCATTTAGCCGTGGATAGATTCTAGCCTGATGATGATGAGTGCCCATTGAGATAATTGTCTCTTTCACTGGCAGAGCCATGGGGGGGGGGGGGGCATGTGTCCCCCCAATGATCCGATCGAAATCCCTAATTTCGATCGGATCATTGGAGTTTATTAGTAATAAATCGGCATTTTGCGACCCCCACTGCCACTCTGTAGCATATTATTAAGCGCCAGGGACTCTGAGATGATAGGACAATAGTCTGAGTCCATAATTGGCAATAAGTAACGGCAAAGCAGTTATAAGTGACTCACAGAATTGTGCGTAGTTGCGTATCCAGTCCACGACTATCCTGAAGGCAAACACCTTCAGCGAGCGCGATGTCGATCACACATGGTTCGAATTCGACCCTCGATCTATGGCTGCGCCATCGCCGCACATGCGTCGAATAAAAATCAAGGGACAAGTCCTTACTTGCTAACAGCTCCTATCCTTTTTCATTGCTGGAGGGGTTGCCCCCCCCCCCCCACTTGAAAATCCTGGCTCCGTCATTGCTCTATTTTGCCTGTGATGCACGGTAAAAAAGTGGTTTCCTACTTAATTAAGCATGGGGTGGTACTCTTCTATTTATATCCCTGAGCCAGTGGTACAAATTCCACATTCCTATGCCAGGGTAATTATTTCCCGAGGACAACCACTGTTGACTTCCCCACAAAATAATTAAAATGTTATCCATCCTGGAGGGATCAAGGGTTGGGTGAACCTCAAATCGGGATTTGAACTCTCAACTTTCCTTTTGCAAAGTGCACACCGTTGAAAGCACCTGCAAAGGATGGTACAAAATATGTTGGTGCAGTGCAATGGACATTGCAACTCTCACAAAAATACGTGACAAAAAAGCACGACGAAGCAGAAATATTACATCGAAAAAACACAGCGCATAATCTATCGCGGGAATGGCCACAAATATTGTTTTGGCCCATCCATCGTTCCGCTCTCACGATTGAAAGTGTATCTGTCTTCATAACCCCCCCCCGCAAATTTTGTCAGAGCTGACTGAATGGACGGCGTGGTTCAACGTTGACCACCCCGGCGGGAACGGTGACTACGAGCGCCTGGAGGCCATCCGCTACTACTACCGGGGCCGCGTGTGCGCACGCCCGCTGGACGTGGAGGCGCGCACCACCACCTGGGTGCCCGCCGATCACACGGGCGAGGTGGTGCACTTCAGCCCCGAGCAGGGCTTCTGGTGCATCAACAAGGAGCAGACGCCGGGCAGCGAGTGTTCCAACTACCACGTGCGCTTCCTCTGTCCAGTCGGTCAGTGTACAAGAGTATGTCCTGTTGGGGTTCGAAGTAAACCGAGTCCCCGTGGCTGACGCTTAGATGCTGCATTGCGGGAGGGCTTTATAATCCCGCGTTGGTTTTTGTGGTCGTGCTGCCGTACAGCTCTGCGGTGTATTATCGGGTTGTTAGCGAGTGAGCAGGTGAAGGAGCTTTTCGCGTGTGGAGCTCAACCCCAGAGATAATAGCACGCATAAGCACTCACTAAATAGCTGAAAGGACATTAATTTTTAACCCAATGCGTGGCTCGTGAATAAGAGTCCTTGGATTCAGGTGTAGCTTACTTGGGTAAGTAAGTCATTATTGTGACAGTATTATTATTATACCGAACAACACGCGGTACAAAAATATTGTTGGAGATTCCAGATGTCAGGATTATGAAAAAGTGTGAAAACAAACTCTGCATGAATGGGGCCCACGTTTATTTTTGCAAAGGGGTATTTGTGTGCGTTCACACCGATGTATATGTATTTATAAATGCATATTTACATCTGTGCGTTTTATATATATATTTAGACATTGTATTTCACAAATAACATCCAAAAGGAAATGCGACCCCTTTGTTCAGACTCCGCTGCAAACGTATTCATCTTTTGTGTCACGTAGTTTTGCCTCGTGGTCGTTGATGTGAAAAGGGCCAGCTTCAGTTTCATGAAATACAATTAATTATCGGATGGTCATTGGCAGAGTCGGCGAGCAGATGGACCAAGTGGTCGGGCTGGAGCAGCTGCTCTGTCAGCTGTGGGCCGGACGGGGTGCAGACCCGCCAGCGGGAGTGCATGCCGAGTGCGCCAGACGCGTCGTGCCCAGGCGCGAACGTCGAGGAACGAAGCTGCTTCCCACCTCCTCGAACCTGTATCCTATTGCGAACCCGGCCAGCTGTCAAACGTGGCAAAGGACCTCCCGTTAAAGGTGTGTGTGTGTATATATTTCTATATATTAAACAGCTCCTTGCGTTTACCTACAAGCACATTGGAGGGTCTGCAAAATTATTAAGAAATCGAGTGAAACAACCTTATTAGACTAAGTCATGGATTGAAGACTACAGCGCAGTACAACCCAAAAACACATCAGAAGATCTTCGCAGTGCTATATTAAAATGCGTGTGTGTTTGCGGTAGTGTAGCGGTTAGCGTGATGCGTTATGAACCCAGCGAGCCCAGTTTGATTCCCGCGCACCGCCAACACCAGGTGACGATTATCTGAACCTGTTCCTGAGCCTTTCCTAGGTCGACTCAGCCTCAAATGGGTACCTGGTGCGATGTGTAAACATGATCGCTGGGGAGACAAAGGTGGCCGGGCATGGTGCTGACCACCCACATCCTCGTGTGCCACGCCAGCCTTCATCGTTCTACTCGCCAACAGCATTTGACCCAACAGTCCGTCAAGGCTACACGGGGGATCTTTGTCTCCGTATGTATGTGCGACCTCTCATTCAGCCTGCGCGCTGCAGTGTCCGGAGGGGCGGCCGGACACGTCTTGCCGCGTGTGCCTCTGCGAGGGCCACACCATCTACGGGCGGGTGGCAGCAGACGGCGGGACACCGCTCGCCGGCGCTACCATGCGTCTCACGCCACCCTCCGCGGTGCAGCAGCTCGTCCCCGAGCGCGCGCTCGCTCGCACCGACCACAACGGCGTGTTCGAGATGCACGGCGTGTGCGCCAACAACCACACGGAGCTGAGCGTGCACCGAGACCGCTTCGCTCCGGCGGTCTTTCGAGTGCAGCCCAAAGTTCGTGGCAAAGGCATCCTGCGTGCCACCCTGCAGCTGGCCGGTGAGTTCACACGAATGAGAGAGAGACGCGTAATTCTAGGCCACTGCCGTGTTTTTTAACCACCTTTGTTCACGTTTCCGACACACGGTACACTCCCAACAATAGACAAACCTGCCTCGCGTTACGGGCCGTAGTGGGGCCTTATTCACAGAGCTTATTGTTGGGGTGCAATTCAGAGTTGGCTGTTTTTTGGTCAGTAACAATTTTTTACGTACAATTTCAAACGTTGATTGGCTTTTATGGCACTGGAACTAAAGAGATGGCATTGTTATGCGATGCAGTGGCACCCCGTTGTTACGAACCACCTTTGTGAGTTCTCCCACATCCAATATTAAAACAATTTAAGTCACCAAAAAAATTCACATTGACGCAATTACAGTGGTTCCCCAATTTCACGTTTTCCCACATTTAGCATAACATCTGTCTGGTCGCTTGTAAAATGTTACATCCCCGTGTTATTGTACATTTGACAGCAGTTCTATTAATGCAGGGATGACATTTGTCCAGTGGTTCATGAGCTGCGCTAATACCTGGGGACCTGATTTTGATTCCTGGCCACGTCAGTGGGGAGTAATATCTGAATAGGTTCCAGTCCCCACCTTGATCAACAAGCGCTGACCAACATGGTGACGTATGGTCAAACAACCCCTATCACCAACTTGATGTGGGGAGGTCGTCATCCAGGTGTGGATTGATAAGGAGCTGTACATTATTATTATTGCAACATTATATTCAATTAAAGCTAATAATTACTTTTCGATGTTTGAATTATAATGCGGACATTCTGCATAATTTATTTATCATAAACATAAATAGGGCACTAATAAAGATGAACATGTGGCTTGGGACGGGAAAAAAAACGCCACTACCTTAGAATGGTTCAGGAGGTAACATCCTCCCAATGTAAGCTGGTTTATGCGATTCATAAATGATTTTCTTTTGCACCTTCGATGGCCAAAGTTGTATAAACGTACACTGACCGCGTCTATTTTATGCGTGCGCAGAAAAGCCACAAATTGTCAAGCACCCGGAGAGCCGAGCTCGGTTTGAGGGCCAGAGTGTCACCTTTTGCTGCAAAGCCGCAGGACACCCCCTGCCCACCAAATACATCTGGTGGGTACTATGATGCGGTCTCTTCACAAAGGGACCCTTTATCAAACGGTGTATATCATCTTCAGCGTATGTTTGGGTAATGCAACTGCAAACACACGCACTCGGTAACGCGTAGCTTTTATTTTCGTGCGGGTTTTTCAAACCCTTTAAACCTCCGCATGTCAGACATAGCGGCGGTGATGTCTGTCCGATTGAAATTTTAGAGGGTCCCTGGGTATTCTACAACATCCTGACTGTGATTTTTTATGAATTACATGCTGTCAAGATCACTCAAGCTTTTTGGTTTACAAAGCTTAAGTGCATAGTAAGATATTTTAGCTGTGCACTTCAAACTGCTGTCTAATCACAACGTTTTAATTATTCATTAGTGATTCATAATATCATAACATTGGCCGTGAAAGCCTTCGGATAACAAAATGGATGATATCATTAAAGACACCTTGTAGTAAAAAACTTAATTTGGAGCTTTCGTGACTGCAGGAATTATTCTTTGGTTCTTTCGGTAAAGTCACGTATAAAGATAAAATAATAAATTAAATTAAATACTAGCATACGACGTTTCGATTGCAACACAAGCAATCATCATCAGGTATAAATTAAATAGAAACACAAATCTAGTTTACTTAGAAATGTAGTGTAATACAACAGAGAGTCGGATAACATAACAGTCAACACCCTATCTGGTTGATTACGTTCTTCCTGAGAATGCTAAATTTGAGAGAGAGATAAAACACAGAACCAGAAACATATAGACAGACATATAAGCAGACAGATATCACAAAGATACATAGGCACACTCTTTATGCTAGTATTTAATTTAATTTATTATTTTATCTTTATACGTGAATTTACCGAAAGAACCACAGAACACCTTGTAGTTTTACACTTTATCTTCATTACTGAATATATCTCCATCATAGAGGTTTTTTGGGTTAGATCGCGTAAATATACAAATGTGTCGTTAAAACTCGCCACCACCTGACACAGCCAACTAGTAAGGGTTGTCACGTGAACAGAACATGCCAATTCGTCACTAGTACAGCACACCGGTGTGTTGGAGAGCCAAGCCACAACATTTACAAACTGAGTACGACATTTCGCCAGTAATTACAACTAGCTTCATCAGGCGACAGCCAGATTTGTGGAGAAGTCTTACTGTTTCGTTCCTTATATCGAGGCGTAGATGTGTTGACCACCCTTCTGCGCTCTTGCACAATGTGGGGGGGGGGGATTACTGAGGCAACGTACATTATGCATGTGCATTATGCAAGCCCTTTGAACTTGTCGTTCCTGTCAATTGTTTTTTTAATTATAATAGCCCGACCAACGGTAATCTCTATTGAAGTACGCTGTCCTTTGTAGGCATGCATTTAGGCGATCTAACCTAAAAAATCTCTATTATGGATGATATTGGTCGCAAAAGCCTACGTGTTAAACTGAATATATCTCCACAATTTTTATGATGTAGCAAATTGCTTGCAGTGGGTATACCTGTTTAGAACACCGTGAAAGTGCAGAATACATTTTTACTGTTTTGCTGTAATATGCTGACTGGGTCCTATAGTGTTCACAGAAGGCTTTTGCCTCAAACGTCAGACAACCCGGCATGATTTGTTTAATAGGCCACTCTTCCGGTAAGACTTAGAAAGTTTAAACCAGACCAGAATTTTCTTGCCTAAAACATGCTTTTGGTAAACATGTTATCATCATTATTATTATGTCATAATACATGGGCTGCATATTACATAGTTAATTAACAACCTACACGTATCGCCTGCATCTAAAAACCCACGGCGTCGTTTGTAGCATCACGGTAAACCCCGTTAGAGTATCTCAAATGACCTTTGTGAAGATGACTAAGCTCCTGCTGTCGTTTACAACTCTCTCTAAACAGAATAACGGCTTGCATCATGCTGCGATGCATGTGTACAACTATGCGTGTGCTGGCTGGTGTTCTAATGTCCGCAGGTACCACAATGGCTCCATGCTGCAGGGAGGACACAAACAAGATAGCAGCCTCGTGCTTTCTAATCTTCGGCTCCACCAAGCCGGCGATTACCACTGTAAGGCTGTGAGCGAGGTTGGCGCTGTGAAATCCTTCCCAGCCAAGCTCTCGTTGCTGCGTAAGTTTTTCACGGAGAACGCACGGAGTGTCCTCCTTGCACCTTAGGCCTTCTTATTCTTAGTCGTGGCTCGGTTCAGGTTTGGCTTGCTTCGAGCGAGCCAGCTCAAAGTCACGCTTAACTTGAGCCGGCTCTGAGCACGCGTACCACCCAGGCTCAGGATTTTCACGAGCCGAACCTGAGCCAAGCCACGGCTGAGCCTGTCATGGCGTCTTTGGAAGAAAGTGAGCGGCTCATGCCTTGAGCTGAGCACTGAGTGTTAGAGGCCAAGCCAGAGCCGAACCACGATTAAGAATATTCATATTCTAGGGTTTTTTTGGTAAAGTCACGTAGGTAAAAAATTTAAATTAATAAAAGTTAAATAAAATAAAGACGGAAGCTTGTGTTGCCTCCAAAACGTCGTTTTTTTTATTTTTTTTATTTAACTTTTATTAATTTAAATTTTAAATTTTTACCTACGTGACTTTACCAACAAAACCCAAGAATATGAACCCTTGCAGTCACGAAAGCTTCAAATCTAGAATTAAGAATATTCATTCTGATGCCAGCGCATGCACACCCAACCATGCAACATTCGTTCCCTTTAATCATCCCGGCTAATTAATCTAAGCTTTCAAGCCCCCACAAAAGAGCCCCCGTGTTTGCTGCCAATGTGCTGCTGTGGCTTTTGACAGCAGTTATTTTTCGTTTGTTTTGTTTTTTTAAGAGGCCACAATCTGTTTTCCTCCACCCCAAGAGATCGTATTAATTGTTCTCGGCTGTAGAAAACAATATTGAGTTCCCAGAAAATATACTCTTGAGGGCAATTACATTACCACGCTGTGCTACTCGATGTAGAACACAAAACACATTAGCAGGTCATTTGTTGCATTGCAATAGTACAAAAAGAGTGTGTATATTGCCATGAATAACAAGGTGTACTTTAACGAGTGAATGATGCCGTGATGTAATGATTAGCTCACTGGACTTTCAATCTACAGGTCGACGGTTTGATCTTTTGGTGTGGCATTTAAAACAATAGTGCAGGTTTCTTTTACTAAACTAATTTTTTTTTTTACCAGGGAAGGCCCACTGAGCTATAGAGCTATTTTTCTGAAGCGACCTGGCCACAAGTGATATCTCAACGAAGTGGCTTATCACGTGGATATTTGTAGCAGCCAAATATTCTCAACACATATTTCTAAATGTGGAGGGAAAACCCGGAGGCTCCGGAGGAAAATCCACGCAACCACAGGGAGAGCGACATGCAAACTCCAAATATAGAGGAGTCCGTGTCAGGATCAAATCCACGACCTCCTGCGTACTAAGCGAGGGAGTTAACATTCCGCCACTGTGGCGCTCAATATCCGTGCCACGCACGTGCCTCTGCCCATGCCTCTGTGTGAACGGGAACACCTCCATTAGACGAGCGGCGGGCCGCATGTGATAGGGTAAAGTGTGGGTAGTCCCACCTCTTCCAAGATGTCTGTCCAGCGTGGAAGAGTAGGCCAAGTACTCTATAAAGGAGCTCCCTAGAGCTCGCTCTGACGGAGGCCCTTCTGCCAGCAGTGGTCTGTGCAAGCATTTGCAGGGCTGCACCTTCGCCGATGACAGTAATGACAGGGCTGTGTATTGTAAGATTGATGTAAATATATGATGCTTAAAAAAATGTTAACACTTACATGGAACTATCGTTTTTGATGGAAAAAGAACGGGTAATAATACGCTGTAACATGATAACAAATATAATGTTAATAGCTTCAAAAAGTCAAAGTCTCCACTTGTTCGCCATCGTTGTCAACACGTGCCTGGAATCTTCTCCAGGTGGTCTCCAGAGCCCGGAGACACATTTATTGTGGTATTGTTGCAAATTCTCGGAAGTGTTAATATTTTTCTGAAGCACCCTATATGAAGCAGATGTACACATATACCGGCCATAGTAGCTGCCTTGATTTAATTTAACCAGTTGTACTGCCACTGAAAGAATACGTCTCTTATACAAGAAAGCCCTGGGGTAGGTACAAAATACACAGTAAAATAGGGGCAAAAAAAAACAATTCAGAACAACACAATGTGCATAGCATGAATAAATGTTTAATAAAGTATATATCCATACATACATATACAGAGGCATACAGTATATGTACAGAGCACAACAGGTGGTATAGGCTTCTGTGGGGGGCTACATTATGAGCAGCAGAGGACAGTGCAGACCAATATATATTGTTGTACCATCCTTCTATACCCCCATGGCAATGTTCCCTGCCTCCACCAACCCACACGGACTGGCACGGTGAAGTATGATCAAATAACCCCCATGTGACCCACAGAGCGTGGGGAGGCGACCGTCCCCCAGCGGTGGATTAAAAAAGCACGATGCATCATTGTTGAATTATATTCTATTACAGAATAAATATTACAGAATAAATATTACCTAGCAAGATCCGATAAAAAAAATTAAGAAGTGCCGTTTTGCATGATTTCTTTATCTATATAATGTGTATTATAATGGCCAATACGTGACTGGTAATGTAATGTGACTACAGGGGCTCATTTCCAGCTCGTTAAAATACCGCACTTGCGTTCAATGCCCCGTGTGACATCTTTGCCGTGCGTTTGTGTGGACGTGCCGCTCCTGATGTAGCTGCGAAGGACCCGGCCTGTAACCCCACGCCGACGGCGAATCTCATCCGTCTGCCACACGACTGCTTCCAGAACGACTCAAACTCCCTCTACATGGACGTGGGCGCCTGCCCCAGCAAGCCTTGCGCCGGAGCCGCCGATTTTGGCGAGTGCGGCGACCCCACCAAGCACTGCTGCGGCGTGGCGCGCATGGAGGAGCGCGACATAGCCTGCCAGGGCTACAAGCTCACCACCATGGCGGTGACCGAGTGCGGCTGCGGGAAGTGCGTCAAGCCCAAGGTGTTGGTGCGCGGGCGAGCGGTGGCGGCCGACAACAACGAGCCCCTGCGCTTCGGGCAGATCTACATCGGCAAGAACCGCGTCGGGTTCACGGGGTACAAAGGCACCTTCAGCTTCTCGGTGCCCGAGGAGACCGAGAGGCTGGTCGTGACGTTCGTCGACCCTTCGCAGAAGCTGGTGGACTCGACTAAAGTGTTGCCCTTCAACAAAAAGGGAGGCACCGTTTTCATTGAGGTCAAGATGCTGCGGAAAAAGCCGCACGTCACGCTGAACCCAGCCGTCACTAACATAGTCCCTCTTGGGGAGGCAGAGGGCCAAGATCCCATCGCGGAGATGGAAATCCCGCCGAACTCCTTCTACCTGGCTAACGGAGAGGTGTACAGCGGCTTCGTCAAAGCCAGTGTTACATTTTTAGATCCACGCGTGATAGCAACGTCAGCTGCTGCACCGAGCGACCTGAACTACATTGACACGGAAGGTGACATTTTCCCCCTTAGGACGTACGGAATGTTTTCCGTGGACTTCAAAGACGAGCAACTGCAGGAAACGCTCAACTCGGGCAAAGTGAAGATTTACATCGACTCCAACCAAATAAAAATGCCGGAGCATCACAACAAAATGAAGCTTTGGTCATTAAACACTGAGACGGGGCTTTGGGAGGAAGAGGCTGATTTCAAGTACTCGGAGAGTCGCCGTAGTAAGAGGGAAGAGCGTACATTCTTGATTGGAAATGTTGAGATCCGTGAACGGCGAATGTTTAACCTAGACGTTCCCGAGGAGCGGCGCTGCTACGTCAAAGTGCGCACGTATCGAAGTGAAAGCTTCATGCAGAGCGAACAAGTTCAAGGAGTTGTGGTTTCGCTCATAAACATGGAGCCCAAGGCCGGCTTTGCCAGCAATCCGCGGGCATGGGGCCGCTTTGACAGCGTGGTGACTGGACCCAACGGAGCCTGCCTACCTGCCTTTTGCGACAGCCTCCAGCCAGATGCCTACACAGCCTACGTGACAGCGAGTCTGGGTGCCGAGGAGCTAGAGGCCGCTCCATCATCGCCCAAACTCAACCCCAACCTGGTGGGCGTGACGCGCCCCTTCCTCGATAAGCTGCAGTACCAGCGGACGGACCACGAAGATTCGGCCGTAAAGAAGACAGCTTTTAAAATCAACCTCGCCAAGCCTGATCCCAACCTCCCAGACGAGACTAATGGCCCCATTTATGCTTTTGTTAATCTCAAGGAGTGTGAGCAGGCACCGTACTCGGCCAGCCATTTCCGCTTCTACAGAGTGGAGGGTGACAGGTACGAGTTCAACAAGATACCCTTTAATGAAAATGACCTCATGTCCTGGACGGCCAACTATTTGTCTTGGTGGCCCAAGCCACAGGAGTTCCGTGCCTGCTACGTCAAGGTGAAGATCAATGGGCCCAAGGAGGTGATGATTCGCTCGAGTAACGTTGGCGGCACGCACCCAGCCACCACGGGCCAGCTATACGGCGTGCGTGACGTGCGCAGCGTCAAGGACATGACCTATCCCAACGTGTCGGCTGCCTGCGTTGAGTTCAAGTGCGGGGGCATGCTCTACGACGAGAGCCGCATCGACCGCACCCTAGTGACCGTCGTTCCGCAGGGAGACTGCCAGCGTCAGAGCGTGAACGCCATCCTGCAGGAATACCTGGCCAACCACCCTCCCCTTGCCACCAACAATGCGAGCCAAGCTTTCACCATGTTCGCCCCGCTCGACCCACTGGGCCACAACTACGGCATTTACACGGTGACGGACCAGGACCCTCGCACGGCCAAGGAAATCGCGCTCGGCCGCTGCTACGACGGGACGTCCGACGGGGCGTCGCGTGTCATGAAGAGCGACGTGGGCATCGGCCTCATGTTCGCCTGCCGCGAGCGGGCGGTTGGGCGCGAGAGCCTCTTCGAGAGGGTGCGCAATTCCCCGTCCGTGGTCACGCGCACGCAGTCGTCCCGGGTCGGCGTGGCGTCCGGAGGGAGGACCCGCAACGGAGGGCTGCGGCGGAGGGGAGCGACGGTTCGCGGAGGCAGGGCCTTCGCCAGAGTCCGCGAAATGCAGAGCGGTGGCGCGGCGAGGGCGAGCCAATGAGAGCGCGGACATCAACCGAGCGGCCAACCACCGACAAAATATTTACGTGGACAAAAAAAAAGGAGTGGGACGTGTGCTTGCGTCACGTGAAGTAGCAGCATCGTCTCTGTTTTGTGATAAATATGTGGTATTTTTGTCCACGTGAAGATGTGTTGTGCACGGTGAAATGATGTAATGCAGTTAATTGTTTTCGGTGGCTGATGAAAACTGGAAAAATTCCGTTCAACTGCCATTCAATTTCATTGCAGTTCTTGCACTTGAAAATGTAATTGGTTGCTTTTGCCAAACATCACTTTATCATGTATATGACCTTTACTCATAATATAATTTTTTCCGTATGACCTTTGCTCATAATAATTTGAACAATAATTTCAAACTCGATCTATTATGACATTACCAACATGCCTAACACGCATGCAGTGGAACAATAGCAGAGATTGTTGTAAATACAGTGATATGTTTAATATCACAATAGCATTGGATATTTTTCAAGTCAATGTTTTGATCACGAATCAACAATGATCATTTAATAGCTGGTTCAGCTGGCATCACCAAAAGCTTTGAATTTTTGCTAATTACACATGTGCACACACGTCCAATACCCACAGATGTGGATATTGTTGCAGTATTCAACAGATGACTTCATTGTCTAAAATAAGACTTCAATAAAGGTGCTCAACAACTATGAATTACTTAAAGACTAGTGTGGTGCTAATAATTACATTTTGAGTTTGAAAATGTCGATAAGAACTCGGGGTTGTTGTAAACTGACTGCAGTTAATCATAGATATGTGAGGCATAGTTATTATATAGGGGGCGCCACGGTGGTGAGACGTTAACTCCCTCGCCTGGTATACAGGAGGACGTGGAGTTCGATCCTCGACCCTGACGCCTGCTATATATTTGGAGTTTGTATGTTCTCCCCATGGTGGTGTGGATTTTTTTCTCCGTGGTGCTCTGATTTTCCCCTCCACATTTGAGAATCAACATGCGTTTTAGAGTGTTTGGCTGCAATTTGTGGCCAGTTCGCTTCTGAAACAAGAGCTGTATAGCTCAGTGGGCCTTACCTGGTGAAATAAAAAAAAATTGTTTAATGTATCTTGAACTTTGCCTGAAATATACGAACGTGTACTCGTTACATGCCTTACCTTTAAAACCAACATTCTCAGAATAAATGACCTAGACTGCTTGACGTAACCAAGCGAGGCATGAGCTTATTTTAAAAAAAATTGAAGTAATAGCAACCTCATGTATTACGTTATGTGATTGTGGCATATGCACATTGTTAACCTAAAAAAATACACACACAATGTTGCTGACATCGCCAAATCAATTGTTTAACCAGAGTTAGTAAAATGCGTTCCCCTGTCTCTTCACGAGACGGAATTTGCCATCAAGATTTGTAATTTAAAACTGAAACCATAATGAAAATGACCTACTGCTGGACACTATTTGGCATGTTTTATTAATTTATTGTAGCATGATTTGTTTTGGTATATAGTACATAGCATATGACTATCACGAGATTTTCCATTGTGCGTTTTAAATGTTTGTCCATCACGTAATTGTTTATTTATCTTCATATATAATGTAGTATCGACAATCTTTTCACTAACATCTCAGACTTTGATATTTGTTCCATATATATTTACTGTGTATGTTAAAGAGTGCCATAACTTGGCTTTAAAGCTGAAAAAGTTTACCAGTATCAACGGTTGTATTTTTTTGTATAAATAATGCAACTTTTACGATGTATAGCCTCTACCTTTTTGATCATTAATAAAGTAATGCTGTATATTGAAATCTGTCCGTTTAACACGTAGACTTTGTCTGTCCCTTTATAATATTTTATTGACCTGCAATGAATTGTACTGTTGCAATGAATTGTACTCGAGGTAAAGGTAATACAAGTAACTGTTGAATGGGCGACGTTAGAAAACATGCCTTTATATTTGTATAGGACTGTGAGGTTCATAGTTTAAAAAAAGCCATGTAACAATACGTACCCTTCATCATAACCATCACCGCCACTTAATAACCCATGCAGTACATCTCCAGGCTCCCTGCGACGTGAGAGCCCCTGCTGGCAGCTGTCCCTGTGTGGCGCATGGCGAATACAGCGCTCGCATGCAAGTGTCAGTCGGGGGCTTCTGTTGTTACGTTGCTTTCCAAATTAAGTTAATTTGCGAGTAATGTATCAACTGCGCACCATGACACTGGCACACACGGCATACTCGTTTTAAAATAACGCCGCTGAGAAGTAGACGGCGAGTATTTGTGATTCATGCACCAGGATCGCGAACTTTTGCAACAAGCGACAAACGCGAAACCCCTGGGCCACGTCACCATCGTTTACCACTTTGTGCGGCTACGATTAGTAGCGCGGTCGGCTACGTACGGCATGAAAGAAGTTCAACGTACGTACAACATGCATGGCAAATGTTAAATGTCATCGTGACGCGTATTGCGGTATCGAAAATATGATGGAAAATGGTGAGCGCACGCTTCATGATAATGCGGTATAAATGTATTAATCATCAATGTGGACATTGGCTAAAGAAAATGTAACAGGGTGAAATGTGCGCGAAGAGCGACGGAGAGTAGCATGCTTGGCATTGCACTGAAGAGCAGGAGGAGGAACACACGGGTTAGACATAAGTTTCACTGTTCGAACAAGTAAGTGGGCTTAGGCAGGACATGTCACTCTCAGGGTATGCCGTGATGTCACAGAGCAAGAGTTCAAGGTGTGATATCAGTGCACAATGCTGTCATGTTAGAGAGCACAGAGAAAGCCGTCATGGCATAGAGCACCGAGCAAGCTGTGATGTCACAAAGAATAGCATGCAGTGTAGTTACAGAGCACGCTGTGATGTCACACAGCACAGATTAAACTAATGGCACATAAAAGAGCGTAAGCTATGAGTATAAGAACGCTGTTGTGTTATAGAGTGCCGAGCAGGTTATGATGTCACTGATGTAGTGTTGGTTAATCCTAGTACACATTAAGAAGATTAATTCTTATTCAGACATGAGTAGCTTGTCCCTAACCGTCGGTAATGTATAACAATGAACAACTAGTGATATCAGGCATGTGAAAGTTGTGTATTTAAAAAATATACAACTAAACGGGCAGAATCTATGCCCGTATTTACAAGTCAACAATTTATTTAGTTTTTTTAAAGTTCATTTATGACAATTGTTTCAATGAATTTGCAGTTTTGACTATACAGGAAAAACCAGAGTTCTTAAACTTGTGACCGAGACCAAATCACGTGGGATGCTCCCTGACTCATCAGATCTCAGAAGATGAGCAGGGTTGAGCTTGAATCGTAAATAAATTGTTGAACACAGTAGATGACAGCCCTTACAGGCTGGGGGGGCGAGGGGGAATTGCAGTTTTGTCATTTAATGCTTCCCTTATTAAGAACCCTACTGGAGCTATGCACCTTTAAACCTAGATTGAGAAATAATTTCTTCAGAACAGTTTTTTTGTGTTTAGTATGCTGGCCCTCCCACCGCACCTCCGATTAGCACGGTTTGCTACGTACGGTGCGAAAGAATTCCAACGTTCATACTTCCACATACATGCTGACTATCTTCACCAACCCTCACTAAGCAATGTGAAGTACTCAAATAACACCCACTATCAGCATAATGGTGTGTGGAGGCCCTCATTCAGCAGTAGATTGACAATGGGCTGTACATGTTGGAACGTGTACGTCTACTTGCAAGCCGACGTGAGCCGAGAACTAAGCTTGTGCGTCTCCGGCGATGAAAAAATATATAATTACTGCCAGTGGACGTATATGTCCTTCCCTGGCACACAGCGATTGCTGCGTCGATAATAATTGCCACATGTTCGAGGGCTCACGTGTTAGGCTAGCGGTTGCCATCTCTAGTCTACTCTACGTTCACAGCTAAGCCCTCTTGAGTGTTATAATCTCTTCCATTTGCACACATTCAGACTGCATCAATTCCATTTCTCATTTTAACACAATTCCAGACTGCATCAATTTCATTTCTGAATTTGAACACAAATCCAGACCGTTCGTCTTTTGACGTATAAAGTCGCTTTCGTATCCATGAATGTACAGGATAAACATGTTTTGTTTGATCCTAGCCACTGTCAATTCACGAGTGAACGAAGGCTTCTTCTCCAGGGCATGTCAGTAATGGGGGGGGGGGGGGGGTTATTTATTAATTTATCATACATCACAACGCTGCTCAGTGCAGGTTTGGTGAAGGGTGGGTGAGTGCCAGGATTGGTTTTGATGTCACTTGCCGCTAATGTTAGTCGACGCGCTCTGCCAGTGCTACCACTTCAACACACTTAATGTTTGTTGACTGTAAATGTATACGAAACAAAAGTTTAGATTAGGCCCATTGTGTTGAACAAGGTCATGCCAAAAACTCCATCTGTCTATTATAAAAGCCCGGCGTTCCATTTGTCCGTCAGCTAAATTATATGAGAACCTTTCAGAAGACCTGAATCAAAAAGTTATAGAAAGTAATCTCCCCCACCCCCCAGATGTGGGGTAAAAAGTTGATCCAACAGGTTCACAAAAATGATCGACCCCCCCCCCAAAATAAATTTATTTTATAGGCAAATATGCCTACACATCCTATATACAATATAATTATTAGAAGTCAGTAGTATCTACTATCTACTGACTATATATGCCTACACACCCTACATACGATAGAGTCAGTAGTATCTACTATCTCGTGACTATATATGCCTACACATCCTATGTACAAGAGAGTCAGGAGTAGCTGCACACATTTGGGGGAGGGAGGGGGGTAAAAGGACATTCGTGGGGCCGACGGGCGAGGCGCACAGGCCGCCGAAATTCGAGTTTATTCAATGGCCAATCTGAATCCACCCAATGTTGGCCAGAGAACTCATCCCAGCAGAAGGCTCCATCGATTTCAATGCATGCGAGTGCCATTTGAAATCGCATGGTGTGTAGTTGATGCATTTGAGCTTAGAATTATTATAAACTATTAATTTGTCTAATTAAATTCTTGTCCCCGTCGCTGTTTCATCACTTTACCCTTTGTGTCGAGGCTTTTAAACAATAGGTTGTTTCTTCTACAATTCCTCCACATTTATCAGTGTGGTATCTATGAATCGATAATCGTCTGCGGCAGCCATGGTCAATCTACTGCTGAATCTATTGTCATGCACAGAGGCAGGGGTGAGTGCATCGGAGCCCAGAGTGTCAAGAGATGCTGACGGGAGACACGTGCTCAGGGTCAGTCGTTACAGTGCAATGCGAGTGCATTGCGGAGCATTCAGACATCTTCATCCCATTACGCTCTCGAATTCCTGGCATTGGATTAATTGTCAAACTTGCAAGCCCACGATCAAAGCCCAATCAGGGATGCATGTTATAGGGCTCCCTTAATATTCCATTGGGGCCTTTCAGTTGCCAAAAAAAATAATATCAGCACCCCAACGTTGCCATTAATAAACATAAGTGGTTTAATTTGTTGGCATCAATCTAATTACCACAATTTTAAGTAAAAAACAATTATTACATTTTTTTTACCATTAAGGCCCCCTGAGCTTTTGAGCTCTTTTTCTGAAGCAACCTGGCCACAAGTGAAAGCTCAACGAAGTGGCTTACAATGTGGAAATTTAGAGCAGCCAACTACTCGAAACGCACGTTCATTCTAAATGAATTCACGAGCAGTAAAAGCCAACACACCCGCGTTCGTGAAATTATTTGGCTTTCATACGGATCACACGATAGTGGCGTGCGTGTCTACTGCGCAGCTTGTTAGATGTAGCAAGTCTTTGTAGATTATCGTCATTCAATTGTGATACATTGACAAGATATCTAATTTTCGATTTAAAGCTTGCGTGACTGCAGGGATTCATCTTCTTGAAACGTCGTGAGAATAATTTTATTATGTTTTATTTTTATTATTTTATTATTTCCCTTCTACGTGACTTTACCGAAAGAACCAAGAAGAAGATATCTAATCTTACCGAAGGCATGGCGTAGCATTGTTCAGAGGAGGAATATATACACTCTACAGTGTTTTTTTTATTGTAATAATCGTGTGAAGGCTGTGGACACACTAGTGCCCAGGTGTGCACAGTTGTGCTCTCCAGCTTTCGAATCTGTTTCTGGGTTGTACCGTATGTTGCTGGCACGATGTCCGACGTTTCGCTCCATGTGCTGGGAGCTCCTTCAGGAATTGACTTGAGCACCTTACTTGTTGTTCTTACTTTATTTGAGTACTGGGACACGCATTGCAAATTAAGTCATATGTGAGTACTCCGCTATAAATAATATATGCGCAATAATAAACGTCCTCAACAGCTAAACATAACAGGGCTCGCAGCGTGCTAGATTGCCTTCGTAAAACAATCTTGCGTGATAGACTACAGTCCGTGCGCATATACAGTTGACGTGTTTCGCATATTATTTATGGGATGCTGCGTTGGCTGTGGTGCACAAGCACAATCGACAACGCAAAAACCTCAACAGAATCTTCAATTTCCTTCTTCTTCTTTCGTGCGGCTGATGTGGATGCAGGGCAACGACTACGATGTTCACATTGAGATGGTCAAGCCCAGGTTAACCGCGTCAGGAGCAGCGGAGTCGTATCACTGTGACAGTCGTCGGCAATAGCATTGCCTTGAATCTTGACTTAAAGATTTCGTGACTGCGGGAATTCATATCACTGGTCAACAATAAAAAATAAAAATTCTGGCCTGGACTTTTGCAGCTGTTCTAGACTAATTTCAGGGTGCTGATTCCAAATCTGATCTCAGATATGCTCTATCACATCTCATTTTTATGC